AAAACACTCATGTTCTAAAATTTTATTTCAAAATCCATATATATATATAAAGAAAATAAATTTATTAACAAATAAAATTATATCAAAAAAATGAAAAATTAACTTGATAAGAATTTTAATAAGAAAAAAATAATTGAAGAAATAAATTTTAAACAATAAGAGTAATATAATCGGATATATATGTTTAAACAAAAATATTAAAAAATATATCATGTATATTTTATCATCGTCAAATTATACGTAGAACGAAAAAAAAAGAATAAAGATCTATTTTCTATAATTTTTTCACACTTAATTCCATGATAAAAAAAATATCAAAATAAATTATTAAAAGAAAAAATTAAAAAAAAAATGCCAAGCTCGCGCGCTTGGGCTGCTTGGGCAGGCCTGTGCACAAGGCTAGGTTGGCTGAATTAGGGCTATGAGGCCAAGCCAGCCCACCTAGTTAATGCCTGCATGTGCAGGCCTGAGTGTCAGGCCAAGGCTACTTAGGCCTCCTTCTTCAAGCCTGGACTGCTAGTTAGGGGAAAAAAAAAACAAAAGAAGAAAAATCTGCAACTTCTGGCAAACTGAAGGTCGTCGGAAGCTTTGTCGATAAATTAGAGATGAAGTTTTAGACCTCTAGAAATTTAATTTTGGTATTATCTTTTTCTCTAAACACCTCTAAATGATCAAAATAAAATCAATAAACACATTTAAAACCTTAAAAATTATTTTAATGTACATCAAAATAAAAACATACATAATCAAATCGAATTTTTTTTTCTTTTTTGGCTCTAATCTATCTCTAATTATTTAATGACTTGAAACCATAATGGACAAACTCATCTCTTAAAGATTAAAAAATTTAATGGAGTTTTGCTGGCCAAAATGACCTAAATAACCTTGGCCGATGCTTTCTTTCTCTGCTCCCATCTCTCTCTTCTTCCCTCCCTCCTCTCTACACTTAGGGACCAAAATATATTAGTAAATGAAGATGTGAATTAAAATATTTATTCAAAAATATTAGGGATCAAAGTTTAAAATATTGCATAATTTTCATATTATCACCCACCAAAGTCCAAAAAATCACAAAAAAAAACTATTCTTCCGTCCACAATATAAATGAGTTTGGTGAATGAATAGTGATTACTGTTCAAACATTCTCGTTCTTTTAGTTTCTTTGTAATAATGGACAAAAATAATTTATGGTTTTGTAAAATAATTTTCACTTTCTGGTTGAATTTAGTTTAAGAAGGGTTTTTCACTTTCTCTTTTACTTCTTTTTATTTACTTTGTCATTTTGCTCTTTCTTTTGCTTTTAGTTTAAGATTTTTGACAATGATCAGAAAACAGAAATAGCCCAGATTGTTTGCTCTTCGTGCTGTTTCAAGCCAATACCTTTTGTTTATGGACATTGGAAGAGAACAAATGCTCTAGTTGATCAGATTTTCAAATGGAAGTTTGGAAGATACCGATAAAGGCAACAATTTGGACATCTTCCTTTTTCTAGGATGAACTTTTTGAGCAGTATATGAATTTCTCAAATTTAAACAAATAGAATATCATGACACCAAATTGTAAATATTTGTAAAATAAAGAAAGGAAATCGAAACTCAAGTCATCTCTTTCTCGATTGGTCAACTTAGGTCTTCCACGACTAAATACAGAATTGTGGATGACATTAATTTAATTATTTATTCTATCTATTAAAACAAAATTTATATCCATGTCTATTAAAACATTATTTTTTAAACTCATATATGATTTATCCGTTCATTTAACAACATCTAAAAATTATTTATCAAAATATTTTTTAGCCCTTATAACTTTCAATAATGTTATTTTGGTCCTTAATTTTTGTTATAGTTTGGTCGTTATAGTTTGGTCCTTAATGTTCACACACACACACACACACACACACACACACACACACACACACCCAAATCAAGATAAATCCCTATAAATTTTAGGAAAAAAAAATCTCTATACCTTATCAAAATGCTTGAGATTTAGCATGTGCATATATAATGGCAGAAACCATTACTATAAAAAATTAATAGCATAATGCACAAAACTTATCCCCCTAATTTAACCTTATTAATTTTGAACCTTTATTTTTATTTTTTTATTTTTAAATAAAATTAACAACAGGATGCATAAAATAATGCTCGTTTTGGCATTTCGTTTAACTGGTCAATCCAATCGATTGTTACGGATAATGAGAATTATAGGATTTGGATCAAATTTGCCTACAAACTAATATTTTGGGATTTAAATTATGTAATTTAGTATTAGAAGTCCGAAACCGCCAAATTGCAATAGAACGGATGTAATTTTTTTGCATTAAACCAACCAAAATCTATAGGTTTTATTATGAAAAAAAACCTTAAAACATGTTTTTTTAAGTTTTAACTAGACAAGTTATTCACACTTGCGTGAGTATGATTAAAAAATTTAACTTATACATATAAAAATTCTAAAATGAAATTTCGGGTTTATATCGGTAAATTTTTTTTTAAAAAAAGCACATTGATTTAATTCGACTAAACAAAATATAATGATGGATTAAAAATACTACTGGTAATTAAAAAAAAGAAAGAATAGATATGAATTCTCAAAAGAAAAAATTATGCTAAAATAAATATTAAATAAAATTTATAAAAAGAAATAAAGAGATAGAAAGAGATACAAGTAATAAACCACACACACACACACACATATATATATATATAATGACCAATTATATTGTAAAATGATTTTATTCGACATTAAATTTTTATTAATTTTGTTATAGGAGTTTGTGTTTAGGAATAATACTTATGCAATTAATTTTATTTTTAATCAAACACTAATTTGTCCAACTTTCATATTATCAACTCAAAAGAGGAAAAAAAAAAATCACTCGCGCATTTAGCAGCAAAATCAAGATAAATCCCTACAAATTCTAGGAAAAAAAAACTCTAAACCCTATGAAAAAGCTTGAGATTAAGTGTTTGTGTATGTACTATAATGATAGAAAAATGCATCACTATAAAAAAATTAACAACGAAATGCACAAAACTTATCCTCCTAATTTAACCTTCTTTATTCTAAACTCTTATTTTTAATATTTTTTTCCTTCAAAAAAATTCATAGCAAAATGCATAAAATGGTATTGTTTTGACATTCAGTGTAGCGGTCAATCGGGTTGACCGTTACAAATAACGAAAGTTAGGGAATTTGGATCAAATTTGCCTAAGAACTGATATTTTGAGGTTCGAATTACACAATTTGATACTAAGATATGAAATTACCAAATTGCAATAGAATAGTGAAATTTTAGGTCTATATCAGTAAAATTAAAAAAAAAAAAAGCATATCGATTTTATTCAACTAAATATATATATATATATATATATAATGATAGATTAAAAATACTACTAGTAATTGAAAAAAAAAAGACTGGATATGAATTCTCAAAAGAAAAAATTGTACTAAAATAAATTTTAAATAAATTATATATATATATATATATATATTAGTGACCAATTTTTATTGTAAAATGATTTTATTTGACATTAAAGTTTTATTAACTTTATTATGGGAGTTTGTGTTCAGTAGTAATACTTATGCAATTAATTTTGTATTTAATCAGACACTAATTTGTCTAAGTTTTAGATTATCAACTCAAAAAAGGAAAAAAAATATCACTCGCTCATGTAGCACCAAAATCAAGATAAATCCATACAAATTCTAGGAAAAAAAATCTCTTACCCTCATCAAAAAGCTTGAGATGTAGTGTGTGTGTGTGTAGAAAAATGGATTTCTATAATAATTAAAAGGAACCTTAAACCTAGATTTAGTGAAGTAAATATAATGGAAACTTCTAAAACTTTTGGTGGAATATAGTGATGAGAATGAGAATAAAAGTTTTACTCTCATTTTGTAGTTGTTTGGTTGAAATGAATGAAATGAAAATAAAAATGAAAATTATATATAACTTCATTCTCATGTAAAAAGTGGGAACAAAAACAAGAAATGCCAATGAATTTTTTTTCAAAATAATAATATATTATTTTTACTTATTGTATATTAACTACTTCTATTACTATCATCACCACCACCACCATCATTACTATTTTTTTTATCATTATAGTTGATGAAATTATTTTTTAATCATTATTTTTATTTGTATTAAAAATCATACATTAAAAAATTTAAATTTCATTTTGATTCTTTATTAATATTCCAAACACAATACGAGAGTGTAAATGCTATTTTGATTCTTGCATTCTCATTTCGAATTTTTCATTCCCGGTTACCAAACAACAAAATATAGTTTTTACGTTAGAAACAAATAAAAAGTGATTTGTTTCTAGACATATAGTAAAATAAATAATGATTTATTTTCAAAAAATAGTATATGAAAATAAAACCTTCTTTTTTTTTTAATGGTAATTGTTAATGATCACAGTTTAAAAAGATGCGGTGCTGTGCGGCATGTGATTTATAGCAGAAAAAGATTTACAGACTTCAAAGTTAATTATTGTTTAATAAAGGGATGAAAATGCTTAAAAACAGTAGACAAGTCTTTGCTTAGATGGAACTTCAGGCTATCTGGATGCATATTTTCCTTGTCACATGGTGCCAGAAAAAATGTTTATATTCCTTGTCACATGGTCCAGAAAAAATGTTTTTAGTAAGATTATTATTAGTATTGTTGTGGTTGTTGTTGTAGTATTTTATATTGCTTGGTTGTTGAACAGGCATTAGCAAGACATTTTTATTCCTAGATCAGTGAATCCCATGAGTAGATTTGACACTATTCTGTGAGAAATCAAACAAGGTATAAACTGTCAAAAAGTAGAGCAATTTAAGATTTTTCTTTAAAAAAAAAAAAACAAAGTAGAAGCAATTTCTCTTTTATTCAAACACATATTTTAAGCATGTTTAATTTGTTCTTTCACAATGGATAGATCCTTTTGCAGGAATCATATTCTCCATGTAGAATTGGTCTAAAAGAGGTTTACAATTCAAATTTACCACGTAAAAGATGGTAAAACAAATGATGGATATGCATCGTATTTGGATGCAAGGGCTTGTACAGAAGATAAAGCTGCTTCTTCTCCAAAACTATTAACTCCAAGTTCAGTTGCATGGATCCCTCCAGTTATGAACGCTGACTGGATCCCAGCAGCGTTTGCACCTTTGATGTCATGGTGAAGAGAATCACCCACAGCTATAGAATCAAAAGCATCAACACCAGCCATGGCCATAGCAGATTTATATATTATCTGCCGAAAAAAGCCAATACACTAATCAGAGCATGCAAAGCAAAACAATAACCACGAGAAAACCAGCAATGATAGAATTACAATGGTAATAACAGCAGCTTTACATCAAGGATTTGCACTAATCATATAAAAGATGATCGAACTGTAGGTTTTACTCCTAAACACCTCAAATTGCAGTCAAATATCAATGTGTGATATTGTGATGATAAAAATCCGAACTGTATTTTCTGCATAATATTAAAAATGAACAAAATAGCAGTGGTCCATAGCACAAAAAATAAAAATTCAATGCTATTTGGTACTTGCAACTTGGAGCAAAGACAAGATTGTCAATATCACAAAAGCATACAATACGCATTCCTGAATGTCTGGTAAGAACTAACAAGAGTAATATGCATCACGTCACCTTGTCTGGCTTGCCCATCCATTTCACTTCACCCCCAAGCTTCTCATACTTGGCAGCCAATGTACCTAACAAGATAGCACACAGCTTGTATCACAAGAGTTAACAAAAGACCTCTCTCTATTTTCTTGTGTTTTTGGCTTTTCTTACAAGTGAAAATCAACTAAAATATGAAAGCCATTGAGAACAATAAAAAACTGTTTTTCAGTTGATCTATACCTACCAGGTGAGAAAGTGAGAATTAGCGCAGAGAGTAACTAACTCCTTGATTTATATTATTATTCAAGAAATAGCCAGAGAAGTACCCCTTGCAGTACATATTTTCTTGAGAATTTGATCACAAATTATCAAACCACAATGAAATTTTCTTCCAAAAATCATATATCAGACAGTGGCAAACAAGTGCAATTTGTTCATTTCATCATACAATATTGGGTTTATGGCTACACATTTTGCTGCTTTATTTAGATAAAGAAGAAACTGATCAAAGAAATGACAAGAAAATACAATATAGAGGAGAAAGGATCCTCCAAAATACTATTGCTACTAGATTACCAAGAAACATCTTCAAGAGATATTTAGTAGAAAAGTCAATCTCGTTTAATAAAGATATAGATGGCATCTCATATCTCATAAGGGCCATTGGCGGTGTAACTTGATTCTGTTTGGATTGGGTCTTGGGATTTTTGTAACTAAACCAGACATTTTAGGTTATTAGAAACTAAATCTAAAACAGAACCACGTCTCCATTGAGACTGTCGTGCTGAGCTCCCATTCGCATAAAAAATCATTTCTGATTACGGATTCTGTAAACAAGAGAGTAAGGTGAATCAAAATCTTTACCAGGCATGACTCGCAAGTCTCTAGCTTCAACAGTCACAAAGTCTGGATTGGCTACTATCATAGGAATTTGTTTAGCAGCACAGCCCTCCAATACTTTCTCAAGCTCCTCAAGAGTCATGGGACAAGAAGCACCAGAAGACTGCCCCAAGGCTTCAGTTCCATGAACCAAAACAAACTCAGCTTCTTCAACCTTGTCAACAACTTGTAAACCTAATCCCTAGAAGGGAAAATGGAAATAAAAGCAGGAGTATTAATGACGAGTTTGACTCTGACCGTATGAGACTGTATAAGTCTCCTGATTAGCTCCAAAGGCTCATTCGTGGCTCTTGACACAGTCACTTAGCATGAATAGAGCAATGCAGTGATAAACATATTATCTACACAAAGATAGTTCAAGTTGAACTCCAAAAGTTAAAGAAAAATTACAGAATTTACTTGAATGAATAAACTAGCAAGAACAAAAGTTGCAGAAGATATTGTGATGGGTGCTTCCTGGTTTGTTTAATCACATCCAATGTCTTTGTTTACTAAGGGAGAGATGGGGGGAGAGGCAGATAAGGCAAACTAGAAGGCGTAAATGAAAATAGGAAACAGAGAAACAGTGTAGGAAAGAACTCAACCAAACAGTATACCTCGAGAGATATCGCACCCCTGTCTCTCCAAGTCATGTGAATGCAAGATTTTCCTAGTGCCCCAAACCAATCATCATCTCTCCTATCAATTTCAAATATGAATTACGAATAAGAATCAGGAAATTTATAAATATCTATGTGTATTTAAAAAATGTAAAAACAATTAACTATGACATAACTAAGTCAAAAGGAAAGAGGTTTTGCCCATAATATGACCCAAAAAAAAAAAAAAAAAAAAAGTCATCCCCATTTTAGAACTGTCATTGATGCCTTCTCTAAATGGTAGAATTATTGATTACTTTGCAGGATGGATCCTTGAGGAGGGGGTAAGTCTTCACATCATTCTGATTTTCAATCATTAAAGATGGATTCTTTTTCACAAATAAGGATGTCGCAGAGTTTCAATCCAATCAACATTTCTCCAATAGTATTAGACATAAAGTCCACATCCTTTCAACACACTTTTCTACCCTATATGTTGGGCCATTCATTATCATTAGGTATACAAAAAGTATAAAAATTCAGTGCAATAAATTGATTACATCCAAACACAGAAGCTTTAGTATTTTCGGTCACCAAAACAATACCAAACATTGAACATAACTCTTCAAGTACAAAAAAATGCATACTAACCTCTGTAAGTATTGATGTGTTAACTCCCCACTAGTAATGGCTCCAAGAAATAAAGAAGGATCAAATCCAAGACTCTTCAGTTTCTCCATTGTCGTAGATGCACGCCGTGAAGAATTACTTATAATCACCATTTTGGCACCAGTAGTAGCTAGCTTTTGCACTGCCACCAACACATATAATAGAAACCACTTCCAATATAAAATTTTATAACAACATAGCAAACTAAAAGCTAACCCAGAAGTCAAAACTAACAGATGAGCACATACATGTTGAAATTGCACCAGGATAAGGTTGTTTTCCATCATGAAGTACTCCAAATTGATCTAAAAACCATGCCTGCAATACCAATTACCAAACTAATAAGCAAAAATTATAACCTTCAAATACAATTTAACACAAGAACAATGAGCAAAGAGGCCGAGTTCTAAACTTTACATAGAATTCAATGCAATCCAACAAAACCCATTTGAGCCCAGATGCTAGAAAATTTGTAGAACTATAACTGCAGTGATGTTCTTCCTAAAATTAACAAGAAGTGAAATGAATCTTTGAAAGCATATAGTACGAAAGAAAGAACAAAAGTTTCAAAATTGACACTTCTACTGTCATGGTAAGTTTAGTTACCTTGAACTGATGAGTTTTAGTAAGATATTGAAGCCCATTGAAGGTCTGGAAGAGCTGCAATTCCGAGGACGGTGGCATTATCTTTGCTTCTTGCTTTTCTAATTTCCGAAATCAAAGTGTGTTATCATTTCGAATTAATCTTGGTACAAAGAAGAATGTTTCTTAAACAAAACACGAACAGATTTCTGATGTAAATGACCAAAATTTTTGAATTAAATTACAAATTTTTCGGTTTATTGGCAAAATTTTGACTCATTATTTGAAAATTTCATATAAATATTATGTAATTTAAAATCAAAGTTTTAAATATTAGATAAATATGATATAAATTACCTAATTTCAGTTATACATAATGGTTAGGTTGATTATTTTTTGAATGCCAAAACATATCATTTTATCATTTCATTATTAATTTTTTTTTTTTTTAGAAAATTCTTTTAACCCTTAATGTTAATTTTTTTAATTTTTTAATAAAAAATATAAAAAATCTAAATATTTTTTAACCCCTACTTTTAATTTTTTTTAAAAAAATTATAAAATATTATTATAAAAAATAATTAACAATACACAATTTAAGATCTTAAAAATATTTTATAAATAAAAATAAAAATAATTAAAGGTTGATCCTCCTAAATTCATAAATTATATAAAAAAAAATTCTATAAAATGAGTATAATATTTATGAAAAAAAATTCATCTTTTTTTTTTTTTCAAAACTAGGGGTTTAAAACTATTTAAAAAATGGATTATAAATTAAAACAAAAATAATTAAGGATTGACCTTCCTAAATTTATAAATTATATAATTTGTTTTTTATAAAATGTGTATAATATTTTATGAAAAAAAGTTTAATTTTTTTTCAAAATTAAGAAGTTAAAACTATTTATAAAATATTTTTTCATATAAATTATAAAATATTTATAATTTTATAACAGAGATTAAACAACTTAAATCATATTTCCTCAATCTTCAATACTTTAAGATTTAAACTACGTGATTTAATATTATAGATCCAAAATTATCAAATCACATATATAAAATTTGCTATTAAACCCAATTTGTTTTACAATTATGTCTTTTCGTGCTGTTTAGCTTTTTAAGCTGAAATTGATACAAACCGAGGTTTGGTTATTTTATTGGGTCTTGATTGGGCCGGGAAATCTATTGGGTCTTGACTGGACAAAATAAATGGGCCATTTGACCAGGTTAGTTATGGAGCCGAATTTGTTATCTGGTTTTGATTTACTTTACAATAGATATGTTAGACATAAAAACCATAATATTGCCTTTGTATAATGTTAATTACCTTTAGGAGAAGTGAAATTATAATTTAATACAAACATTTAGCTTATTATTTTATTTCAGGTTAAAAACAATATTGCTTCCATTCCCTTATTATTGATCCTTTTTGCAACAAAAAAAAAAAAAAGGGAAAAAAAACACCAACGATAGATTAATTAGTGTTAACTTTTGCATGTTATGTTTTTTCCACCCCTAATAAGCTGCTTAAACTTCTGTACATTCTTGAATTGTAAATTTAAGAAGTATTAAAAACATAATAAAAAATTGACCAAATGAGTGAAACTTGTTTTGAATTTTAACTCTTTTAAAATTAAATATTTAAATTTCAAATTTAGTTTTAAGATCCCTAAATGTTTTTTTTTTTTTCAGATTTTAGTCTATTCTTCAGTTTATGCCATTTGTCCCAAAAAATAACAATAACATTAATAGTTCTCTGATGAAAATTAATCAATAAGATTTATATGGGCTCCTCAAAAAAATTGGGATCATTTCGGATTATTTTCTATTTTACTTTATTTTTTTTTCAATATTTAAAAAATAAATAATATATTTTTCAATTATGAAAAATTCTAGGTTTTTTTTTTCTAGAAAATTGATTAAAATTTTCTCAATGTGTGTGTAAAATTTCGAGTTCAAAATATCAAGAAATAATTTTTTTTAGATGGAAGGGTAATACCTAAAAATCGTTAGATGGATTAAATCTAAAATAATTAAACATTCACGGATTAAGAAACTAAATTTAAAATTTAAGAATTCAATTACAAATGAATTGAAGTGTAGAGGAGATTTGAGTCTTTTATTCTAAAAAAATTAGTATTTGTGAAACTTCGACTTTCTAAATGGTGAAATAAAACGAGACAACTATAAAAATTACAAAATGGACAATAAAAAAAAGGGATGGAGGGAGATCACCATATATGTACAAGAGTGATTTGTTGAGGTTTTTGCACCACGAGAGAACAAAGAAGTACAATCTTGATGAATGGTCAACAAAAAGAAGGCACCACCAAGAATCCAAGAAATTCAACTTGCAAGCTCATCGGATCTAAGTATTCATATGCAACATTGACAAAATATTATACATGAAGGTTATCCCTTAGATTACACTCACATGAAAACTCAAACTTGGCGAATTATTAGAGAAAGAAAAATTATTGAATGTGTGAGACAACTAATCAATACACAAAACATATCCTTTTATCGAAAAAAATACACAAAACATATCCCGAAGATCCATGGCTTCCACCCACCAATGCATGCTAGGTTGTGCAGAATTATGGGCTCCAATTTTCCATGTCGCATGGTTCACGGTAAGGATTTTTAAAAGCCAAATTCTGCTCAATCTCCATCTATAAATTGCTCAACCCACAACTGTATTTCTCACCCTTCACCATTCAAGTTATCTAGCTCTTAAGCCAACAGTAAAGCTTGCAATTTAGAGCTCAAACATGGCTTCAAGAGCATTAGCCTCCGCTGCCCTTCTCCTCTCCCTCAACATTCTATTCTTCACTTTGGTGAGTTCTGGAAAGCCTGAAGGCCCTAAATATCAGCCATCAGGAACATCAACAACACCAACATCAACGGGCACTTGCCCTAGAGATGCCTTAAAGTTGCAAGCATGTGCAAATGTGCTGAACTTGGCTAAAGTTGTTGTTGGTGAAGAAGAGAAGGCCACTTGCTGCAGCCTCATTGCTGGTCTTGTTGATCTTGAAGCTGCTGCTTGCCTTTGCACTAGAGTCAGAGCTGATCTCTTGGGCCTCATTAAGTTGGACATTCCTGTTGCTGTGACGCTCCTGCTCAATGAATGCAATAGGGAGGTTGCTAAGAACTTCCAGTGTCCATGAACTAAATTTCCTTCCGTTCAATCCGTCTCTTGTATCAGCTTACATTTCATCTCGTCAACCTCATGTTTTTTTTTTTTTTTGAACTTTAGCTGGTATGTTTACTGGCCATGCCATAAACATTACTTCATCAATAATTTGTTACTGTTATTGTCATTTTGATGGGTAGAAGAAAGACTCATTGCCTTTCTCCTTCTCATTATCTATATATTTTGGTTATGTTAAGAAATTTGCCTCTTTCGTTTTCCTTCTTGTTTTTCAGTTTTCTTTTAAAGCTATACTATACCACACACAAATTTATGGTGATCTTCCAACTCAAACATGCAAAACTTCATTCATAAATAAAAGCTAAAATATTATTATTTGGAGTACATATTTTCCTCTCAGCTCAATTTTTTTTTTAAAGAAAATTATTCATAATTTAACCCGTTTCATTTTTTTAATTTATTTTATTCTTTAAATAAATAAAAAATATAATAGATTAATAAGGAAAAAAGATATATGTTAAAATAAAATAATATTAAATTAAATATAGTTAAGAGATTAATTAATTAGTTATTAAAATAAAAAATACTATTTAATTCATTTGATAAAACCAGAGGGACTAATTTAGAATTCACTCCGTGACGACGAGAGCTTTTCTTCCTTGACTTAAAGTGACCATGACCAATTGATTATAAGAAGTCATTGATCTTTTTAGACTGGCCCGGAAAAATCTTTGTATGGCCCATTTGACTGGCCGGGGAAATCTATTGGGTCTTGACTGGTCCAGGTAAATGGTCCATTTGACCCTGTTAGCGATGGAACTAATAACTCAATTCGTGAATATTCGGCTGGCCCGGGAAATCTATTGGGTCTTGACGGGTCCAGGTAAATGGGCCATTTGACCCAGTTGGTTATGGAACCAATAACTCAATTCGGGAATGACTCGATATGTTCTTCTTTTTAGTTTTTTTGGGCCATCAAGTGAGCTGAAGAATTAGAGTGGACAATGAAATTTGCAAGAATTCTTATTTATTGCTTAAAAGGCTTTTCTTTGATTAAAATCGAAAAATGTACTTAGTTTAAAAGCATAAAAATTGATTAGAGAGAATAACAGCATTCGACTTTAAACTAAAAAAAACCTATAATCAATTTTTTAATCCAAATTTGTTATCTAGATTTAATTTAATTTAAATTGGATAGATCTCTTGGACATAAAAAACCATAATATTGCCTATATATAGTATTGATTTCCTCAAGGGGAAGTGAAATTATAATTTAGTACAAGCATTTAGCTTATTGTTTTATTTCAGGTTAAAAACAGTATTTCTCCCATTCCATTATGGTTGATCATTTTGCGAAAAAAAAAAACCAAAAACAAGAAACTATAATATATTAATTAATGTTAACTTCAGCATGTTATTTTTTTCTACCCCTAATAATTTGTTTAAAAACTTCTGTACATTCTTGAATTCTGAAATTAAGAATGATTAAAAACATAATAAAAAAATTTAGTATTTATGAAACTTCAGACTTTTTAAATAGTGAAGTAAAATGAGAAAAGCCAATAAAACTTCTAATGCAATAGTAATGAGATTCTTACACTTATAAGAGATTATAAATTCAAACCCTCTTCATGAAATATTAATTTGAACTTGAAAAAAAAATCATTATAAAAAGGGTTATAATAACATCTTATTTTTATAGCGATGACTAATCCAATATATCATAATAATACAATTTTTTTTCCTGCGTCGCTAACTATTAATTATTAATGCTAATTCTCTAATGTATAACAACTAACGTGACCTGCTGGATCCTATTAAAAAAAAAACAAAAAAACAAAAATTGAGACAACTACGAAAATTACAAAATGGAGAGTAAAAAAGGGATTGATCGAACCGAACCGTTTCCTCACCCCTAATTGAGGGAGTTGACTATGTACAGGAGTGATTTGTTCAGGTTTTTGCACCAAGAGAACAAAGGAGTACAATCACGAGTGGTTAGACAAAAAGAAGGTACCACCAAGAATCAAAGTGCAAACTCATCAGATCTAAATATTCATACGCAACAATACATTGATAAAATATTATACAGAATGATATCCTTTAGATTTCCCTCAAATGAAAACTCAAACGAGGCGAATTATTAGAGAAAGAAAGATTATTGATTGTGTGAGACAGCTAATCAATACACAATACATATCCCAAAGATCCATGTCTTCTACCCAGCAATGCATGCTAGGTCATGCAGAATTATGGGCTCCAATTTTCCATGTCGCATGGTTCACGGTAAGGATTTTTAAAAGCCAAATCGTTCTCAATCTCCATCTATAAATTGCTCAACCCATTTCTGTATTTCTCACCCTTCACCATTCAAGTTATCTAGCCCTTAAGCCAACAGTAAAGCTTGCATTTTACAGCTCAAACATGGCTTCAAGAGCATTAGCTTCCGCTGCCCTTCTCCTCTCCCTCAATATTCTATTCTTCACTTTGGTGAGTTCTGGAAAGCCTGAAGGCCCTAAATATCAGCCATCAGGAACATCAACAACACCAACATCAACGGGCACTTGCCCTAGAGATGCCTTAAAGTTGCAAGCATGTGCAAATGTGCTGAACTTGGCTAAAGTTGTTGTTGGTGAAGAAGAGAAGGCCACTTGCTGCAGCCTCATCGCTGGTCTTGTTGATCTTGAAGCTGCTGCTTGCCTTTGCACTAGAGTCAGAGCTGATCTCTTGGGCCTTATTAAGTTGGACATTCCTGTTGCTGTGACGCTCCTGCTCAATGAATGCAATAGGGAGGTTGCTAAGAACTTCCAGTGTCCATGAACTAAATTTCCTTCCGTTTAATCCGTCTCTTGTATCAGCTTACATTTCATCTTGTCAACCTCATGTTTTTTTTTTTTTCTTTTGAACTTTAGCTGGTATGTTTACTGGCCATGCCATAAACATTACTTCATCAATAATTTGTTACTGTTATTGTCATTTTGATGGGTAGAAGAAAGACTCCTTGCCTTTCTCCCTCTAATTATCTATTTCGGTTATGCTGAGAAATTTGCATCTTTCTTTGCCTTCTTGTTTTTCAGTTTTCTTTTAAAGCTATACTGTACTACACACTAATTTATCGTGACCTTCCAACTCAAACATGCTAAACTTCATTCATAAATAAAAGCTCAAATATTATTATTTGGAGTACCCATTTTCCTCTCACCCCAAAGAAAATTTTGTAGAGGATAGAGCAAATTACAATAGTGGAGGGGTGTTTATTATTGCTGTTCAAAAGGTTAATTTATTGCCTTTCCTTTCTCTCTTAATTTGGCAACTTCTTCTTTCATAGCTTCTTTCCTCTTCTTGCTAGCTAGTATTTTTGCTTGCAAACCACTTATGCTAGGGTCCTTTCTCTCCTCTGGCGGTGGAGGTGGTGGCCTTCTGGCTGCTGCATTTGCATTCCAGCCACCGATGTTCAAACCCATCAGAGCAGCAGCCAAGCCCAATGCCATTGTCCTGCACCATGAAGGCAGGAACCCCATCTCAGTATACAATGCTTACATTTAGCTAAACAAATTAGCAAAATCGTAGTTCTTTCGAGTATTTAGTTAGACTTGCAAGTATTTTTGGTAGTCATTACATCAAATTCAACACAAGTCATGGTATATAGAAAACATAGAGTCATCTACATTATACTAAGGCTTTAATATTCAAGAGAAAGATACCCACCTGCGATGGAAAAGCTTGTTATCCGAAAATGGCTTGGAATCTCCATGGGAAGCCCTCACTCTTTGAAACCGTAGAGATTGAACAGAAGATGTCTTCTTAGATTTAGCTGAAATAGGCCTTGTAGTCGTCGCTGGTGTTATGGTTAGCGAATGAGCCATGACCGTAACTTACTAGAGATTGTTTGAACTCAGCAAAACAAGATGGACATTCAAATTTATCAGGTAATTTGTGATGTGGCATGATGTTACAAGCGGATAGCATTTTGAGCTCTAGTTGAAACTGGAAATCCATTGGTTGATACTAGATAAGGCCTTACAGTAGTGCTTTTTGTGGACCCTTTCAGTTGCTGTTTTGCTAGCTTTAAAATCTACACGGCACCTTTCTACTCATCCATGGACCATATGCTCCTCCAAGCCGAAACAAGGGCTTAAAATTGACGCACGAGTATTTCTTGTATAGTGTTAGGACACTTTGCAAACACCTGTTGGCAATCCCAAACTCACATTTCACTCCTAGTTGTAGTTCGCCAATGCCCTAGAAAAAAATTATTTCTGGGGACAAGACGTCACCTTACCCTTCCTTAAGGACTTGAAAGAAGACATTGTTAAGCATGAGCGTCAACAGTAGCCTTTCAATACCTTGAATTTCAATGGCACATTCCATTAAATCCAATAAGGGAAATCTTCCTCTGACATTCACCACATCTAGGAATCGCATTTCATTCTGAACTAAAACCATTAAGTAGCGTGCACCTTTATGGACTTTTCTTCCAATCAAGGAAAATTACATCATTTTTCAAAACACAAGTTTTCCAGGAATTAAACCCGACAGAATTAGCTTATCATTGACGCTAATCACCAGCTTCAGATCTGCATTGCATTTCATTCAACTTTAAATAAAGAATTCAATAAAGAAATCAGAATTTAATCAAAGCAAATTTAATAAAAGTCAAAATTGAAATTGCATTCCATATCGAGCTAAAAAATTCAAGATCTTGTAATCTAAGAAAGTTAGTTAAACTCCAGGGCACCAAAAAGGCAGTAATAAACAAAAATGACTTTAAAGACATAACTAGGTTTCAAATAAAAACTCCAAGTGGCCTGTGTGCCAGAGAAAATTGACATTTGAGCTTAATTGATGGGTGACTGTTTTCACTCGTCATCTTCATCATCAGCAGCTGAGTTGAGAGCATTCAATCGCTCCACCAACTTCGCTTTCCTTTCCTCGTAGGTTAGCTTCTTCAAGTTATACCTGTAATACACAGAAAATAACAACCTTAAAGAAAATGCGTAAACATATAGACCCATGCAAAAAATGGCATGAGAAGCTGGAATAGGGCAATCCAAACAGAAATTCATACTGGTGATAGCTCCACAAAATCAAAACCACCCAAACACGTAAATGTCTTAACAATCGCAAGGTTGCGAGGAAACGGAGTCATAACATAAGACGTGCATTCAAAAACACCACAACAAAAACATCATCATTCCTAAATCAATGAACATTCAAATCAAGTATTCTAAAACTAACCACTCTTAACAGATGAACAGACAACAAAAATTAAAAAGCATCTTTTCAAAATAACCAGAAAAACCAACAGCGCAACTAGAAACATGTGAGCCTAAAAAGAGAAATCAATATATCTAATAGGACAGTGATTTGCCAATTAAATGGAGATCTCTCCAATTTAACCATAATTTAACCAAAAAAAAAAAAACAAATGATAACGACTAAAACTAAAAATATTGTAATACAGGCACTAGTTGAATATATAAACACAAAACAAGATGTGCATATGATAGTATTAAGCAAAATAGCAGCAAACCTCTTGTGCTCCTTGGGTGGCTGCTTCTCTGATTTCTTGGAAGTTGGATCAGCACGAATAGCAGCATGAACCTTCTTGTACAATGCCTCCATACCATCAGCATCAATTCCTCTCTTGAGGAACTCACTAAAGTGAGCCTGGTATTTCTCAGGTTCATCCTCCTCCAAAGTCTGGGGTGAAGAAACACAAATTACACATTCAAGAACCATAGTAAAAAAATATTACAAGAACTATTGCTGATCAATGCAATTAATGATGCTGAATCAACAAAATAAAGAAAGAACAATGCTAATTTCAGCTAGCCAGAATTACCCTCATGTATGCTGCAACATGTCCACCATAAATATATTTGCGGTGAACTTCAGCATCGAGCTGCTTATTGTCCTTTGAAAAACCAGCAAACCTCTTGTCACTGTGAGGAATATCCAAACCACCATCAAGAGCTCCCTATAACAGCAAACATCATGAATTAGTTACATGAAAAAACCAAAGATGCACTATTAAACTACCTTAAACAAATGATGATATGTATAACATTGAAATTCAGAGAGACTATAGATGACTTTTCTAAACTAGAAAGAAAAAGAAAAAAAAAGACGAGAGCCAAGAGCATAAACTATTTATTTCATGGATAGGAAGACAAAGGTCAAAAGATCAAATTGGATAGTATACAAAAATTGTCACTTGCAACTTCTAAAGCATTTCAGATACAGCTCAACAATGAGAGCAACAATCCAAATATTATTGAATTATAACTTTTTCCACCTAATAGATAAAATTGACTGCATCAGTTCTTTAACAAAAGAATATAGGACAATGAAAAATCATTCTATCATATCACAATGAAAAAATCATTCTATGCCAGCATTGCCAGCACACAATTTATGACAAAAGGATTTTGCACAATATGTCTTAATATATACCTTGAGTGCACCAAAGACACGATTTCCAGTTGTAGTTCTGATTAAACCAACATCAAGTAGAGCACGGAATGGCCTCCTGCTGTCAGCTGGTTCAACTGAGAAATCCTCCCCAGTGGCCTAAACATAAGATCATAGTTGCTAAGTAAATGTTCAGATGAAGAAAAGTTGAGTCAGTTTAGTCAAGGAAAAAGGATCCTTTATCGTGAGAGTATACCTCAACATTGCCCTCATATTCCTCATCCATCTCAAGCTTTTTCAACACACGTCGAGCCAAGAGAAGTCCAGTGCAATAAGCTGATCAGGTTTATAAAAAAGGAAGGTGAGAATCACATATGAGGAAGCTCATAGTTTTCAGCCAAAGGATTACCTGCTGCATAGTTCGTAAGACCAATTTCAAGCCCATATCGGGGAAGCTCGTGAGAATAAGCAGAAGCAAGGACAATATCTCCAGCAATGCTAGCTGATGTTATTTGTGCAGTAATGTCCTTGTTGGTCTAGAAACAAGATGTTAAGGTGCCAAACATATAAAACACAATTTAAGACGGTAAATAAATTCCTTTTCGTATTCCCCATTGAGCAAGAGCATAAACCTACACCACACTGTAAACAGATTTCCATGCTGGTACAGCAACATACAATATCCCAAGACCTAATGATGCAATTCAAATATAAAAATATCCAATCACGCCAACACTCATGCAAAATGCAGTTTGCCTCCCCTAAATTAAGGAACCCAGAAAATTCTACTACAACCGTTAACAAAACAATAAATAACGAACCCAAAATATCAGCGGCAAAAAAGCTAACAAAAAACATTAAAAAAAAAAATCAAAACACGTTAAAACCAAACCAACCAGAAGGATACAAATCGGACAACAAATCGGTACTTGGGCGTATTGTACTTGTTCTTGTCCTGATTAATCAGGCGAATCCTAGCCCTGTAGTCAGTCTTCCCCGCTACAACAAACAATTCCCATCCGTTTATCAAAAAACAAAAAAAAAAAAAGAAAGAAAGAAACAAAAAGAAGAATCACCAAAAAACCCATTGAAGCAAATGAACTTTAATCAACACACTACATATCAAATGAACAAAAAATTGGCCAATCTTTTACCTCTTCTTCTCTTAAACTTGACTTGAAACCTCTTGAAGTAAGCCCTGGATTTCTGAGACTTCACAAAGACCTGCCAATAAAAAACAAAACAACAAAACAAACAAATTAGTAAAAACCCATTTCAGTAAAGCCAACAAAAAATAATCACTACTTATTTCTAGTTTTAAGCAGGAAAAAAATGAAACTGCCGTCAGGATCAAAGCTTTTTAAGTCTAATAGAATGGAATCTAAGAAACAGTTTGTTTCTCCGTAAGTTGAAATGAAAGGAAACACGTAATGTAGTTGAAAGCTAGGGTTTTGAGAGTTACCATTGTTGAAGCTTGATCTGTGAGGGGGAGAAGGAGAGAGTGGAGAGACGGCTAATAGGGTTTGAGAGAAGAATGAAAGACATAAAAAAGCTTGAATTATAAGCCCTAGTGACTGGCATTTTGGGTCTCAAGATGGACGGCTGAGATTTAATTACTAATAGGCAGCTAGGGTTTCGTTGATTTGGGACTGCATATAATGGTGTTTTGGTCATTTCATCAGCCCGTTTATGAGTACGAAGCCCAAATAATTTTTTGATGGGCTCAAAACTTAAAATCCATAGTCAATTAAAAAGTCATTAAAGTGAAATTATAGATGGATTTGCCCTAGTTTTTTCCCCTCCTTTTTTTTTTAAGAAAGTATTAACAAAAAAACTAAACCAAAAAGGTTAGTTTACTATTCATCGATACTGGTTCAAATACTATTTATGCAAATTTATTTGTATTATTCATACAGACTCATATACATCATTCTTTTATTATGCAATAGTTTTTTTCTTTTTTGTGACATTACACGTTGATTTTTTTTACGAAACCAAATCCTTCTATATTTATATTGGTATATTCATGAAAAAATACTTTCTATGACATTCCTTGATGTTAATTTTATACCCAAATGACAAACAAATAATCATAATTTTATTAATTAAGCTAACTAGTGCTTTAAAAACGGCCAATAGAGTGGATTTTTCTTGTTCCCAGCCATGCCCTCTTCAGGATTGTGGACTACCGTATCAAATCGTACATAGCACTTTGCTTTGAACCAGCATCTGACTTTTCCACAAAAAATAAATAAACAGGTCTATCAAAGCCCTTGATCCCCACAGCAATTTTTCGAGTCGTTAGAGAACCTGTGTACGTAGTTTCATGAATCATGCCAATCACGCGTGGAGAGATACAGAGTTAACTATGGCAACACAGGAAGGACATTTTCAACTGCCGGAATATTTAACGGTGACCCTAAAGCTTCAGTTCTGTAGAATTAAAGGCTTCCATCTCCAACAATGGATTCCGCAATCCGTTTGTTGGAACCCTGCATTGGCATTCACAGGATAGCACAATATCATGTTTGAGCATTACCAAGATGATGATTAGGAATTTGTTGTCAGAGAGAGAGAGAGAGAGAGAGGGGAGAAACTGAAATTTATAACACTACTAAGGACGATATAGATCCCAACCAAATGGGAAAAAATCAAAATCTAAAAGCAAAGAATTTATGTATTCTTACAAAATTTATCTTGGAGCACCACTGATTATTACATGAATGAATATATTACTACAATTACAATTTCATAATATACAACAGAAAAAAAATCAGAAAAAAAAATGGCAACCAAAAACCAACCACAATCAATTCTCAAACCCTTTTCCTCGTGCATAGATGATCATTCAAATTGCTGAAAGGCTACCCCATTTCCCAAGTTCGTAAGGATCAGCATAGTAATACAACTTAATTCGGTTTAACAAAGACAACCCTGCTGCCACAGGTAAAGTTCTTGAGCTGGAATCATCCACTTCTGCTGAATCGTCTGTGAAAGCTGCAACATCCCCTAAAAGATTGAAGGAAACTCTACGGGTTTGTATTTGTCTGGGGAAATCAAAGTACATTGCAGTTCCAGCCTTGGCTTCTGGTAGTCGGTATTCACCAATAATAACCATGTTGTTTGGTTCCTGTAAAATTATTGCTTGAGGTGATCGCTCAATAAAGATGCAGTAACTTCAAGTCCAAACTTGGATCAATTTAATTATACGTATGAAAGAATGTGCTACAAAAGGAAAGAGCAAAGCAAAGCAATCATAAGTGCAATGAGCTCAGGCTTTTGAATTTAGCTATTTTTCAGTTCAATGGTTTGTCCAACATATTTGGACTTCATTGCATAGATATTCAACTATTACCCAGTTCTTAATATTCAGACTCTTCAAGCAATTATATTTCAAATGTTGTTTTTGTTGAAATAGGGGATCCTAAACTCCGATTTTCCACCCTCTCTCTCTCCAAAGTTTTATGGATCACTTTGTTATAGAATATAATAGAGTCGATGGGAACAAGCAGTCACTTATTCCTCTCAACATAACCCTAGAAAACCTAAAATCCTAAAGATAGGTTTGTTTCCATAACGAATAGATTCTATCAGCATGTAGTTTGAATCAGATTTAATTAGGGCCAGGATTTATTTTTTGTAGGATTGAATTCTTCTTCTGAGGATAGAGAAGCCATATACAGTTGTTTTTTCAAAAAAATTGTTAATGATGTTTTTATGTGGCTTTCAAGGTCATTTGACAACTTCACAGTTGCTCCATTCAGACGCAAACCCTTTTTGATAGGAGGAAAGGACCGGATACAGATGTAAAATGAAAAGGGTGGGAAACAAAAATGGGTTATGGTTGAACAAAAAACCCTAGAATCTGTTGAACAATGGCCGCATTCTATTTGCTTTCTCATAGAGTTATGGTTTGATGGTGATTTTACTTGCTGCTGCCTACTTGCATTTCAAACATCAACAATACTTGTTCCAATACTCACTAAGAGCAACACAATAAAGCTGGCATGATACCTGGAGTGCAGATACTTGTATATACAGCACAGCTGGAGAGATGTGTCTGTCTTCTAAAAATGTCTCCGATGTATCCCATATATCAATATCTGAATATGAAGAATGGCTAACTCGAGGCTTAATTGCACTGAAAAAATCTAGGCGAAATCCAGCAAGCAATGGAGAGGCAGGAGGCAAATACTGTTCCAAGACAAGATCATTGTCAAAGGGTCTCTCAACTTCGATTGGAACCTGGAAGACGAAAGGAGGTTTATAATTAGCAAATACTCATGGCACGGTTTCAAGATTAAACTGGGTTTAAAAATTGGCCAGACAAAAATTTTAGTACCTTGAATCTATTCAATTGTGGAGCCCTATCATGCCAGCTGTTGAAATTCAGTTGATCAGAGCTTTGCGATGTTAGCCCCATCTCTTTTTGCACAGAAGTTCCAACCACTAGAATTCTTTGAGCATGAAGATATGGATCATTTTCAACTGCCCCACCAAAAGAGGCACGTCGATTTACTTGTGCAAATGGGTTTTCATCAAGGGACAAAAGATTGAAGTCTTTCTCAAAATTAACAGAACTTGACCCAGGTCGCTGAAGTCGTAGTGTTATCCAGATGATTCGACATCTAACAGGATTCTTAAAGGTAAATTTCACATGCCTAGGTACTTTATTCTCTGCACCTGACTTTTCTGGTCCATAAATTTCTGATGAAGATGTGGCCAGGGACTGGACGTCCCATTTTCCCATGCACGACCTTTCCTCCTTCTGTATTTTATTGCTGGCCCAGATTTGAACCTGCAGTAACAACAGAAGGGAACTTGTCAAAATCTGTTAACTTCTGTAAGCCAGTTGTTAACTAAGTTAGGTCTTTCCAAGTCCAGGCCATCTCAATTTCATGAGTTTAGGAGTTCATGAGCTAAGCCACATTGCAATTCCTGATTTGAGAATCCTGTTCTATTTTTAATTTATAATGAGCAAGGAAGCAATCAAAGGGATATTCTTACTAGAGGCTAAAGGTAGCATCCCTTGATAGGCTGTCTATGGCAAGTGCACACACAATAAATGTGAGAACTATAATAGCATACATTGCAGAATCCAACAGTTGAGTACAGCTGATTTTACAATTGTATCAAAGCAATTCCAAGCAAAAAGGACCATTGGGACACAGTACGATGGAGGCACAACTAAACAGCAAAATCCAACCTCATCCAACAGAAGGACATGGGTACGCCAAGGGCGTACAGTGGTACAGTTAAATCGCAATATTGCTTGTTACAGATATGGTAATATGGCAACTTATTGTGATTTATCTCTGGAAACAATCTCCAATTTAATGATAACAATCCAAAAACTAGCACAACTGATGGAGTATTCCAGATCCAGATAAAAGAGAACTAGCAAATCTGTTAATCCTAGTAGACTATAGTTGTAACAGGAACCCGACTACCCCCCCCCCCCCCTTTTTTTTTTTTTTTGCATAGATACAGGCATGGATATCGGTATTTATTTAATGCCAAAAACACCTAGTCAAAATAAGAGACAATTTATAAAGACTTTGGATGCACATCAGACAGAATAGGTGCCAACATGCTAACCACTAAAGAAAAACATTGTCCAGTCTCCAGTAAACTATTTGCCAAAGGAAAACAATAAGCTGCTTAAGAGCAAATACAAACACAAGCCTGCACAGCTATGCACCTTTTACTATTAAGGTTAGAACCTTGCTTTATGATGTGAGGGAAAAGTTAAATTTCAATTTTCAAAGCCAGAACTTGGCTCACCAGATTATCTATCTCTCATCAATCATAACAGTGAGTAATCTCTAACAAATCTTCCGAAGTTAAAAGAGTACAAAACACTGTGTCTGCATAATTACTTAAACCACTTCAACTCAGGTGTCTTATCCAGCTCGGACAAACTTTTGTTAAAAAACTGACCCTTGAGTGTGCTTACACAACTTCAACTCGGGTGTGTTTTTAACTCAAACAAACTTTGTTAAGAAAACAGACCCTTAATTTCATTTACTGGAAACCACGTAAATGGATGAAAAATCATCACATGCAGGGCTTTTGTGGAGAAAAGAAAACAAAACTTTTACAAACTTAAACCGCAAAAGATAGCACATTGACATTCATTGATTGAGAAAGTGTCCTGCACTTCCAGTGCTGCAGTTCTATAGCCTGTAACTAGAGAATTGAAAGTTTTAAGGAAACTTTTTTTCCACGTTGAATACCAAGAGATGATCTGGGACAGTTTATATGGCAGGAAAGCATACTCTTTTAATGCTAACTAAGGATTTTGAGAAGATTTTTTACAATTTCAAGCTCAAAACTGACTGAATGAAGATGGTAACATCTGACTGGCATTACATGCTCATTTAGTATTCCCATTCTGAGTTGCAAATATAGGGTTTTGCACCATTTATCTGCTTCCAAATCTAACTAACAGAGAAGGACAGGAGCACTCACTGTGGGAGCATCAGTTACAGAATAGCCACAGGGACTAACAAGCAAGATAACTCCACTGACATCAGAGAGGGTGCCAAGAACAACAACAAATTCAACAGAGGTGACAGTTGGAGGAGCTTTCCAGTATGACTGTCGTGATCCAGAATTCAGTGGAGAAAGTAATGACAAAAATGGTGCTGAATCTGTTGCTGTTTCAACCTACAAAACATAATCAATTGTCAAAAACGAAGGAAATTTTAGAGAAAAGAATTTAAACCATACCAAAAAAAACAAAAGGAAAAAAAAAACTGTATAAATAAATAGAATCATGATCAAAGAGCGAAACTTGTATTAAACTTCTGTGTGGCTTTAAATCTTTGGCCATGGAGAGTAGGCTCTCTTTTATTTCTTTATTTCTTTTCTGCCTTTTGTTTGCTTGTAGGTCTAGGGATATGAAAGGAGAGGGATGTCATGGCAGGCCCATGGAAAACTAAGATAGGGAAAGTGAGGCAGAAGATGGAACAATCCATCCCACCAAAAGAGTCAGCAAACTGCAACAGCAGATTATGAGACATGGCCTAAGCCATAAAAATTGTCAGGCAAAAAAAGGTTATCAAGATGGTATACGAATGATAGATTGAATCCAGAACATACTACTGACTCTAGTTAGAAGTAGAAAGAACTCCAATAGGTATCTTTCTTGTGGAATTCAACCATAAAGACAGACGTGGATACAAAGTAAGTATCATCGAAACATTTGGCAGACTAATTTGACAGCCCATTCGAATGCTACACAGAGAAATCATAATGAGAAGAAATAATACCGAGTGTAAGAAACTAGCGAATGGAAATTCAGCAAGCGATTCCAGCCCAGAAAGCAAATGATGTAGGACCCTAACAGTTTGCTGACGATTAGAAGACTGACTTTTTTCAGGAACAAAGTCCCTCAGGGAAGATCCTGCAACCTGGTCCAAAGCCTTATATGCAGCCCTGTCTGCACGGTCTCTTCTTCGCAAGCTAATCAGAACCCTTACATAGTCTAATATCAAAGCATGAAGCACGATATCATGGCAACATTGTTTACAAAAAACGCCATCCAGTGCTACTGAACGATTAGTGCAGCTGTCAACCTCCCTTGGGTTATTGAGCAAAAGAGCTCCTCTCCCAGCACAGCAAACTTTACAAACCTTTCTTTCGCACTTAGAACACAGCAAGATAGGTTTTGCAGCTCCCACAGAAGGAACCGCAGAGGATGCAAGTGGAGGTGCCGCTGTTTCAGCACGCACCTCACACATGCCACCAGAACAGTGGTCCCCAAGTCCATTAACATTCCAGAAATCTATCACATTATCATCAACAGTCCCAAGACCAATGGCAGCATTAAGTTTGTCCTCCAGCGAAGCTTGTCCAAGCAAAGCAAGCGCATTTGAAACTTTACACAATCTATCCATGTATGATTCATCCATCAAAACATTTGGATTTATCGTAGCTGGATCAATTCCAATTGACAGCAAAGCTCTATCCCTTTCAGCAGCAGAAAGATTAAGCCGAAGTCTTTCAATTTCAAGCCTCATAGCTTCCACAAAGTTCAATTTTCTTTCCTGCAAAATTGAGTTGAATTAAATGGAAGCAGTCCTCACTTTATTGAGTCGATAAATCAAAACTTATAAGCTGACCATCTTGAATAAATGTAAAGGAAGAAAATTTATGCAATTTAAGGACATAGCCACAAGAAGAAATTAAATGGCAGTAATTTCACTGCTGAAGTGGTGTTCATTATCTGAAATAAAATACTGTAATTCAGTTGGTCATGTAATAGCCTGGATTTTAACATTTAGGATTAGGTAGAGTTTACAATTAGTTAATTTTTTTGAAGCCATGCCAAGGAGAAAAAGTATCAGCCAAAGACAAACGATGGCCTGTAAACACAAAACTGATAAAGCTCTATAAAATGTGTATTAAATTTCATATCTAACTGCTTCACTACTGGTTTTGCTTCTTCAACTACTCTGCTATTTCACATAAGAAGTCTTACACCCGAATGCTAAAAGCTACATCTTCTGAAAATCAGTATGTTTTTTCATGTGTGGTTGAGCAGTCAGAAGGAGAAACCATAGAGAGGGCCTTGAAGCAAAGCATGGTGTTTGATCTGAGCATTGCAGCTATTGTATAGCACAAGACATGCACTAAGATTGAGCTCAAAGATCAAGCATCATCCAAAAATTCAATTTAGGGTCCCAATGTTAGCATCAACATTTCTCAAATTTCAGGTGTCTTGCATTTTTAAGTTTACAGATTATATCCTCGAATTCCCAAAGGCTTTTGGTATGAGCTTATAATATTTTTTTCTTCTACATGAGGCATTTTTTCTACTTAATTGTCTCCCCCTTTTTCTCTTTTTTATTATTCATCTGTTCTTTTTCCCCTCTGTATATTGTACACTGCTCTCGATCCTGCTCTTTCTTTACCGTGTTCCTTTAATTAGCTCACAACTACCACTCACATAAGTACCCTTTTTTTGCTTGAAAATAAAAGAAATTCCTTAAAATCTAAGTTCAAGGAGTAACTAATTTTGTAGTAAATGATTCGTCAGAGAATCCCACATCCACCCAGTTTGGAGTTTGTTTTCAAACACCATTTGGCCTTTCTCCATCTAATCACTTTTGCAGTGGTTTTCAGGTTTTCCTAAATTATTTTACAGGATATGACGAAATACTAAATGTGGCTACAACTACACTAATATAGAATGAACACACCAAGCATTTGACCAACCAAAATGAAAAGATTGGTTGACAAAAGAAAATCTTTGAATAAGAAAGAAGGAAGCAATAACATAGCAACTGAAAGCAAACACAGAAGCAGCAGCATACCATTTGTGGCCCTGCAAAGGATTTCAGACTATTGAGGTACTTCTGGGCACTGCTACCTTGTGATGAAGAGAGCTTATCATCAGCTACAGTACCATGATATTCAGTTACAGCTTGGTCCAAAAATCAAACAAGTCACTTTCCTCGTGTACATTGTTCTGGTTTACTGGTTGAGAAAGAGGATGAGAAAATGTGTTGTCACTTCCCTCATGTACATCATACTGCATCACTGGCTGAGAAAGAGGATCAGAAAACGTGCTATCTCCAGTCAAAAGATCAAGCCAGTTTGTAGAATCACTTTTTTGCACTGATGGAGTTATTTCATTGGATAAAGAAGTGCTGGAAAACGGATTGGTTTCTGTACTAGACAAGAATGGGTTGGATTCCTTAAGAAATTTTGTGGCAAGTTCATTTATTCTTGCACCAGGGCCTTCATTCCTGAATACTCCTCTCCACGGAAGAGAAACTCCAAGGATCTCTACCTGTGAGAAAACATACTACAACATCACTGTCCATAAACAATTAAAGCAAACCCGGGATGCTCGAGAAAGTTAATGAACAGAATAAACAAAGAAAGTAAGGGGAAATCATCCTCTGATAGAGGACACTTTCTGATGAATGTCCTAGGAAAACATGGCTCCACTATCCACAGCTCCATGGCACGGACAACTAGTGAAAAGCACAACATGCAATATAAATGAAAATTTTCTACTTTAGGAATATAAATGAAAATTTTCTACTTTAGTTGAAGCCAAAACTGCTTCTCCAGCACATCAACCAACCCAAGAACTCTATGACACCACCAGACCCTGCTCAAGAAAAACTAATTCCAAGTAGCACAGGTGTAAAAATAAAAAGTCCAAGGGAATCAGCAAGCTTGATCATCAGGTAAACCAGCTCAACAGGGATATTTTTCAAAGACTGTCATCATGAAATTTAACTTTTTCTCTCTTTCCAGCTATAATTTCTCTGATCACTCGATTTTCTCTTATCTATAAAAAATCTCTCGTACTAGTAATGTATTATGGTTATTCACATTATTTTTTAATTCTAATGCATCTATCTCTGTAAAGAAACAAAGAAAGTCATCCTCCAATAATATTACAGTACAGAAGTCCTACAACCAATTTTGAAGAACTTTTTCAGAAGCAGATTCTAGTGAATGGCAAGTCCAATTGCTATGAAGTTTTCATCTATGAAGTCTCTGAGTGAAGCAATGCATGTCATTTAGCATGACCAGGAATTAATATTAATATGAAATGAAAAGAGCATGCATTAGATCAAGAAATATTCATGAAAAAATGGCGTTTACCACGCCAAGGGTCAGAGGACTCCTTCCAGAAACCGCAGGATAAAATGTAATTGCCACTACACGAGTAAGGAAGTCCAGCTCTCCCTCTAGTTCTTCAAACTCGTACAAAAATGGCAGGGTGGATGTATCATGAGCATGAAGGCGTGCACCAGCTCCAGTAATAGCCATATCCTCTGCATTAATTGGTCCTGGCAAGGGTATCAGAAGGTTTGTCCCATTTATACACTGAGGTATGGAAGCACCCTGTCAAGAAAGTCCAAAGTAAGACTAGGAACAATTAAGAGATTCTGTTACGTCCATGTGAACATGCATGCTTTCCTTCTGCATCTAGGCATGCATATATATATGTAAGCTTTTCCTTTTCTTTGGCCACTTATTCACTAACCTCGTGTGGGGCCAATAGTTTTCATTTCCTGCTAGGTAGCATGTAATGCATGTTTGTAATAAACTAAAGTAGCCTCCAAATGTTCAAAAATAAATACAGAGTGTACCCAAGTAGACACCAAACAGCATGTCTTCCATCAGATGATAAACCAAACTTTTATACTTCAAGATCAAGAATACCAAATAACTAACCCTTATTCCAATATGAAGAAAAGGGGGGAAAAACAAGAGAAGAGCAATGAGATTCTATCCATGGCCCTTCAAACTAGCACCTTAAAAAAGAGAATAATTCTGAGCTCTTCAGTGTATTATACTCTATAATCAAGACCATATTTTTACAAAAATAATAAATAAATAAATCAACCTATACAAAAGGAGCATTTATCAATGTAACGCTGAAGAAGCATTCTGTATAAATAGATAATACAGACCTCCACAACTAGCTTAAGCCCATCTAGGTAGCGTCCTGTCCTCACATCAACAGTTGATGGGTATGTTGAATCATCTGCCCCATGAGATACTGTTAGAAGAAGCTGACAGACATGGCAAGGCTCACCAAGATAGATAAAAAGTTCAACCACGTCTGCACCTTGTGGGCAAACCTGTTAGATGAACAATGCATGAAGTTATAAACACTTTCAAGGGAAAAAAAAAACAGTCCCCAATTGGAAAGAAGTTCTATGGGATGAACCAATTCAAAACTTGGATATCATTTCCTCCTAACGCAAAAACTAAGCAAAATAAAAATAATAATTACCCATATCAAGTCTTTTCTCTTGAAACTCAGAAGACTGGATCCACCATTGGAACTTGGAGTGATGTTGGGAACTGGCTTAAGAAAGAAACCGGAAGGCCGAGAAGGAACCTGGAATGATTCGCTCATTATATACTCACACATAAACAGCTACCTTCAATGTCTACTTAGACCAAAGGTCTGCATTCAGTCATCACCTTATTTCTTATCAATGCAACAGTCAACAGGACTTAATATGCATATCCATGGATAACTCTTACTATATTGCAAACGTGAGAATGAGTAATATGATACAACAAAATTGCATAATTGATGAGCTGATTGATAGGAATCTTGGCACCAAACCATAAATCTGGTATTTGAATTTCAGGAACGTTTCCACCACAAGCTTTCAGGGAAACAAAGAATGCTAAGACAAAAGTAAATATGTATCTCACTGGTCATACATGATAACTCATTAATACATCAGAACAAAAGGACAAATATTTAATAATATAGTACCCAAAAGATCAATGTAACTATGTTTAGAAAGGGTTCCTAACTTTACACCTAATTTGTCACTTAGTGAGCTCAATTTAAAAAATGAAATGCGTTCTAATTACAGAAAACGTTCAATATTTGGGGTCAATGTAAAGTATATGAATGAAAACAGCAAATGTCCAACATGGAAGTGTTATAAATCCGAAATGGTTTGGGATTTAGTTGTGAGGTACTCTAAACAGGGATGAGCACATAAAGTTGCACAAAATTCGTAGCTGATATTGAGAATACAGAACTTACATTTAGAGGTTGAACTGGAATTGATGGAAGATGCTTGAAAAGTCTCAATCCAAGAAACATCTCTAACTGCTTCTGACGAGAGCTATCTACAAGTACATTTTTATATCTTCTCTGTAAAGTGATTTGAAAATTCTGAGCTACAGAAAACTGTTTAAATTTTCCTGCTTCTTCATTGAATATGCTAAGAATTTGGCTGTGCATAGCTTTAGAACCAGTATAAAGTGTTGCATGGATATCACCAGCAAGAAGGAAAAGATTAGCTAGCTGAGATAGAGGAGATAGAATAGTTGATCTCTTGAACTCTTCAAATGTCATGTCAAACCTTTTCCAAGGTTTATCTGGACATGGATGATTCCATGTTGTAGTTTTAGTGTTGTGATCAATATAATATGTTTTCCCTGTTACTGCATCAGATCGTTTCTCCCAGCCAGGCGGCAATGGAGCTGTATATTCGCCATAGTTATTGGCTGACTGATAACCATATGCCAAATCACTATCAAGTGAGATGGCCAACCTCCTGCATTGCTCCACAAAACATTGTAGAGCACCAAAATAACTAGCAGCATTGGTTCTATCCAAGGAATCTGCACAATTAAAACGGAGGACTCCATTTTGATGTGATCTTAAGCAGAAGGCACCTGCAAAATCATCGGTATAGATGATTTCACCCCTGCAATCATTAAGTCTTTGTCGTGAAGGTAAATAATCCCCTTCAGAAATGCCAACAGCCAAAGTGGGTAGTTTGAGAAGTTTCCACAGTCCTTCAATTGTCTGTTGTTCACCTTTTAGTTTTACACTGGCATGCCAATCATAATTTATAAGATGTATTCGAGTATAAGGAAGTTTTCCAATTGATTTGATATGGTTTAAAGATTCCTCAAAATGCTGAACTAGAAGAGCTTCTGACTTTCCTGCTCCATTCCTAAGCAAGTTGATGCATACAATTGGAACAAAAGGTTTTTTCTTCTGACCTTGCCCAACAGCTATATCTGAACTGCGAGCATCATATCGTTTACTCAACCTCTGATAGTACTGTGAGCTTCCTTTATAAGGATCCTGATCTGAAACATAAATCTCTGCTTCTGCAGCAGTCATCTTTAATTCTGCACCCCACCATATTGGAATTGTTCCTCGTCTCCAAATGTATGTGTTGAAAGGAACGCTCTGACCGGTCCTTTTTGGCACCCATACAAGTTGCTCACATTCCACTTCATTTCCTGTTTATTTGATCAGTTATGCAAAACTAATTTCAAAACCATGCACAACTTAGAAGAGAAATAAGTAACAAAATGAACATTGTAAATAATTTAGAAATTGAATAGGAACATAAATAAATACGTGCAATAACATTGTTACTCATACATGAGAAGGGGTCTGAAGTAATAATGACTTCTTCAACAGATATAACCAGATAAATATATGTATCTAAAGCCAATTCCTTTCTCTATTGCTCATTGTTCTATGATGATACTTTATTTCTACAAAATAGAAACCATGGCCCAAAGAACCAAGTATATGCCAAACAGGTGTTGTTATAAAAAAAAATTAGTTAAATAGTTGTGATTTGTGAACAGTCAAAAAAATAAGAAGACAGAACATGTGAAACACAAACATATCAAATCTAATGCCTCCAATCAACCAAACGCAACAACTTATGAAATTTCAACAAGAAAAATGGTGGTCATCTAACCTGTGCTAAAGCATGAATTTATCCCCCTTGCTAAGTATCGGGTGCCAGGATGCAGCCTACTACGACGAGCTGTGAGAGCAACTATCCCTTCTAACTGCCCAGAGCTTCCAAAACTTCGACATTCTGCAAAGCCCTATACATTAATATCAACCAAACAGTATCAAAATGTAAATTTTATGTTGTAACCATGAAATTATTCCTCTTAAGATAAAATAAGAATCTAGTGCAAGGTAAATCATTGCGAGCAATAGAGTGGTAACCAGAGGCAAACTAGAAACTGGAATCACATGGACAGTTATGACAGTGAAATTGCATCTGGTTAACACAGCTGAACCAACTCAAACAAATGGACTGTACAACTTTTTTTTTTTTTCAATAATGATGTTGACAACAAAATTTTAAAGAATTTAAAGAGTTAAAATGGTGCTAAAAAAACTGAACACTGTACAGCTTGTTTTAATCAGTTTGAATCTGATGGTCAATGGATCACGGTTGGTTCAATACTTGAAAACAGACAGTCATTTAGATTGGTTTCCTCTGGAGAAATTATAACCTGATATACTTAATTATGGGCATTCTGGCCCACAAGCATGGCATTGGGGATTGCTGGACAAAATTCAGTGGTCAGGAAAACCAAAAGAGTGGTTAAAACAACAACATGGCAATGGGGATTGCTGGACTAAATTCAGTGGTTAGGAAAACCAAAAGAGTGGTTAAAACAACAACAAAATCCAATCCAGACATCCTGCCCTCATTTCTTCATGAATGAACCTGAGATGTCATACCTCAAGGTAAAGAATTCATTCTCCACTGCTTAGGTTTCTACCTAAGAACCAGCAAGCTAACTCATAAGCTTTTAGCCTTACCCTCCTTCATTCAGTAATTTCTTGTCACTTCATCAACATTACAAGTATGCAAGTACAGATTAAACATCAAGAATGACAACTTTTAAAATATTTGACAACCAGATACACATTAGTAAAAAGACGTTGAGCACAAAGCAAAACCTGCAGGAGAGTGACACAGTGTTGTGGAAGCCCAATGTTCTTGAAAGGCATTGAAAACCATCCATTCCAAACAAATTCATCATCAGGATTTTCCAAGGGCATACGACTCGGAAAAGGTCGAGTGATATCTCTCGTCTCGCAGAAGTAGTGCTTCCCATCAATGTCAAGCTCAGTTAACTCTTGAACACTTTTCACCTCCCCTTTACCCTGCTGCTGAGGATTTTGAAGAGATATTTTGATCCATTGGCTCTCTGTCACTGTATCCACGCACCCTCCACCAGGCAAATTTGGAATGCTGGTAGTCAACTTTGTAGCTACAAGAAGCAACCCAAAGCTTCCTAAGGCAGCATATCCTAATATCGCCTTTGCATACGTAGTACTCCTACATAGCCATCGTGATCCATTTGTAACATAATTTAAAGCTTCTTCTTCGGATTTAAAGACATCAAAACCTAACTTCCCACTGAAGCGAAGCAACCCTGTTGTTGGGTCAATATATATCACTTGAGTATCAGTTCTAGAAGACAAGCTGGCAATAATGTAAACTTCGCCACTATCCAGAGTCGCAACAACCACAGATGTGAGTCTTGAACCACCAACTGCAGTAAAACCCAAGGAGCAAACACGAATGATAATATTGCCTAAAACATGGTAAAAGCAGATACACTGCCTCTTAACATTAATTTTCGTCTAAGCAGACAACCAAACTGAATTATGTCGGCCATATAAAAATGGTGAAAAAAAAAAACATATGAAACAAGTTGACACCAAAAAGGACTGAAGAGCTCCAAGAAATGTTAATCAGCAATCATTTGTCCCTCGATATGGTATAATGGGTCTTGTGATCCATATACAGTGACATGTCCCCCCTCCCTCTCCACAGGCATTCATCACCAAAACATTAATTTAACCGAAAAAACCCAAGTGATCACATAAAAAATGCACTAATCTAGTTCTCCAATTGGTAATAAAATGACCAAACCAAACTGCTCTGAGTAATCTTTCTTAACTACCGAAGATTCATTTCCTCTGCATAATAACACTGAAAATGATAGAGGGTTTCATGATCTTTACACTCTGCAATCAACAAGCTGTTTATCAACAAAACCAAATTGAAAAGTTCAGTCAAGAGTCGAGCTTAACGGAACATATCCAAGTGATCCCATAAAAAGATGCATTAATCTAATTCTCCAAATAAGGTAACTGTCCAAAGAAACCTTTCACATTAGCAGGAAAGCAACACGATGCGGGCTGTATTCTAGAACTTTGAATGATAATAGTAGTAGTAGTAGTAGTAGTAGTAATTAAGCAAGTGCAAGGATTCTTTAAGCTCACCTGGTGATTCCATGCGCCCTTACAAAAGCTGATGATCAGTAATAACTTCAAGAAGTCTCAAATTTTACCACTAATCAATAATCTGATAACCAAATGCCAAAAATTAACTCAATTTCTACATACAATTACAAAATATAAGCAAAATCAAGAATAGGAATGGCAGTCTGCAAAAAGAAACTGGTTTTCTTAAATCACAGTTTCTTGCTTCAGTGTGTAAATATGATTAGATCAGAAACCGTTAAGATCTGAATTAAGAGATCCAGAAACACCAACAACTGCTTTTGCGATTTAAAGAACGCGAAAATAACAGAAATTCCAAATGCAAAGAGAAATTGATGGGACGATAGTCAAGAATTAAGAAATTAAGAAAGACTGAGATTGAATATGCAATCAAATTAGCTCATTGATTGAATGTGTGTGTTTTTAGAAAGAGAAAGTAGAGAGAGAGAAAGCGCTGACCTGAATGGAAATTTTGAAGATTTGAGAGAAAACGAGAGAGAGAGAGTTAAAGAATGTGGAAGAGCGAAGAAAACTAGAAACAAGAAATTTGCTTTGTTCGGGAAAACAAAAAACAGAGAGAGAGAAATTTGCTCGGCAAGGGTCGTATGAGTCCCCAACTTATATACTAATTCCCAATTGAGTTGTTAAACAAACTGTTTTTCCATTAAGTGCTTATGTATAATTTAGTTATCATGAATGAAAAGTCTGTAATAAAAATATAAGAATAAAAACGTAAATTAAAAAATCAAAATAATACTTATATTTGTATAATGTATTTAAAATATAATAAAAAATAAAATTAAATCTTAAAATCTTAATTTAGTTTTTAAAACGAATAAGAATAATAATTTAAAAAATAATTTATTTAAATAATAATTCATTTAACTATGATGATATGATATAGATGATTATAATGGTGAAAGAAAAGAAAGAAGTGATAGTTATAATAATATAATAATAATAGTAATGTTTTTTTAAAAAAAAATTGATGTTACATCATAAGAAGTGACAATAGAAGAAGAGCAGTGGTAATTATGATATAATAAAAGTGATGATGGTAGTAAAAGAAATAAAACCAGAATAATAATAATAATTTTTTTTTATGACTACCTTTTATAGTAAAAATAGTTGATACATTATAAATATATATATATATATATACACACACACACACACACCTATTTAACAAAAAAAAATCATTCTTATTTTTTTCTTATTCTCACGTCTTTCACGAAAAGGAAATTATGTTTAATTTTCATTCTCATATCCACTTTTTATTTTCAATTTTATTTATTTATTTCAACTAGACATATAAGAATAAAACTTACGTTCTCATTCTTATCATTCTATTACCATTCTATTTTTAGTTACCAAACAACACATCAATGTTTTATGTTGAAAGCTTTTGTTTTATGCAATAAAATGATGTCTAATTATTTTTTTAGAGGTTTAGCTTTGTTGGTATCCTCCCATTTTATAAATAACATCATGTATTATGTTAAGTAAATTCATGCTATTAGTTTTAAAAGCAATGGTTAGGATTTTCATTTCAGCAAATTAATGGGTGGTTATAATCTTTTTTCAATTGATAATTATTTTTTTATGAAAAAATCTAAATTATTGATTTTCTCACTTCACACTTTTCTATTTAGGATTTGAATTTAAAAAAAAAAACTATAATTTTTTTTTTATGAATATATAAGCTTGATGTGGATGACGTATTTAATACTTGATCATTTGCAGTGAGCGAAAAAGATATGGCTCCGAATCCAAACCAAATTCGGACCATTTGTCCCATGATCATGATTAAATACTAACTATAAGATCCAAACCCAATACATATTATACATGATACACACATCATTGCATTAGGGGTATCAAAAAGTCAATAAACATAGATTAACAGTCCTGGTTTGAAAATAGAAAACAAAAGACTTTTACAATTATTTTCATCCTCGCTGTTGACTTTTGCTTTTCATTCTCAAACAAACTAAAGGTGATGTAACGTTTATCACTTTATTTTTTTAATATGTAGATATAACAAAACAAAAGATTATTATTTGTAGGTTTTATTTAATAAGTGCAAGTTTTCTAATTTTCTTATTTCAGGCATTGTTTTTATTAGCACCTTTTTCTGTCATCAAACAATTTTTTTTCCCTCTTTACCACTAAAGCAAGTGCAGGGTATGTTTCTAATTTATTTTATAATTCATATTAATTGTTAGTTTGTGAAGCATATTTTTAGTTTTTTGATAGATATGAATTTAATTTTCCTATTTGTTTGGAAATGGATATTACTTAATCCTTTAAGTTTACTCGTGACAAATTATATAAAATTTATCCATTAATTACTTCGTTAATTAATAATTATGCAAAAACAAACAATAATCAATGCATATTTTAAGAAACAAGATGCTCAATAGTTGTAGTTTCAAACTTCAAATTCTAAAACTTAAGCTCTTAGTCATCCAACAAAATTTTCTAGTTTTTTTTTTTTTTTTTTGTACTCATGGAGAATTCTTTTACGCCATGTTTTTATTAAATTAATTTTAGTCAATAATTTTTATAGTTTGAATTTTTCAATAGTTCATTGATATATATAATATTTTTGTTTGTTTGCTTTTAAATTTATTTCATATTAATTTCAGCTCCACTTAAAATTTTTTTGATCTTATCCATTAGATCCGAGAAAGGAGGAACGTAGTCACGATGCTCGAAAGTTGACTCAAAAGTACTCTATCCATTGAGATCTACTTGAAAAAAAAAATTGACAATATCTCGTACATGGGAAGTTCAATTGAGAAATCCTAAAACATTGAAGATTTAATTGATCAAAAATAGTTTTAGGACTTGATTGAAAATTAGTAGCAGGATTGGGGACAAATACGAGGTTATCCCATTCTACCTGGATAAACGCTTAGACACGGTACGGTCGTTGGTGGCGGCAACCAATTGTATTCTGGCAAGTCAGCATAAAAGTGTGATTAAAAATAATATTGTCAAAAAATAAAAACAAGTGGAACCCACGGCGCGTGTGATGGAGGCAGCGATCTTGCATTTGGCGCGTGAGTGTCGCTTTATTTACAATTCATGTTAATTCAGCAACCTTTAGCTCAGAGCAATTAAAAATACAGTTTTCAATTTATTTATTTCATTGATACCTGGGAAAGTTACTTAAATAAAACAAAGAATTAATTGAAAAGTATATATATAAAAAAACCATCTTACATGCGGCGCGTGAGCGTTGCTTTAGTTATAATTTATTTTTGAAGAAAAAATATAAAATAAAAAAGTAATTGAAAAACAAAATGAATTCAAAAGAAAGCATAAGGCCGTAGTAATGTTCAAAGCTAATTAATTAAGTTCACAAAGAAGAAGAGTCTAATTGTGTGCTGTGTGATGCTTTGATTTGAACATAAATAAATAGTAGTTTGGTTTAAGTAAAATAAATAAATAAAAACATCTAATGAATGTAAAAGCAAGCTAAAAAAATAGAAAATGTTCATTGGATGTCTTTTGGAAAATGTAGAAGTTTCAATATAAAAAGTATAGATTGCAGCCCAAGGTATATATATATATATATAATTTGGGAGAAAAATATGTTACAAGATCATCCCAATCGGGTAGAATCGGGCTAATGGACCGACCAACCTATCTTTGACAATTATGGGCCAAATGGTGTTTTTTAATTATGCAAATGTTAGTTTTATTAGGTTAACCTTAAAGAATGTTCCAGAGGTCTTTAATTATTCAAAATACATAAAATAAGCAATGAATTGTTGCATGGAAATCTACTTTAACTTTTTACTTTTTACAAGTTTTCTTTCTTTCTTTATTTTCTTTTCCTTGTAAAAACTATTTTTCTTTGACAAATTCTAAGAAAAAAATTGGATTTTTTATCATTTGCTTTATGGTAATTTTGTTGTGAAATGTAAAAACAGTTCCTGCTATTTTTTAACTCATAATAGTGTAAAATGTAAAAGCAAATGAAGTTTAAATTTTTATCCTTTTAATTTAACATTTAAAATCATTATGCATAATTTAAATTACAAAACACACAAACTCTTTTGTAAAATTATAGTTCTACCTTCTTAAAAATATAATTCTTATAGTATTACGAAATAATAACATAATTTATTAAAATAATATGGATACAGATATAAAATATATTTTTGGCTTGGGTTTGGGCAAAATAGGTCCAATATTGTCTTTTTCATGAACTTTTTGCTATTGAGTGAAGATAAATGCTAACAACACTCTCTTTAATATTTTCTTTTAAACACTTATTCAATAAGAGTGTCAACATCATTTTTTTTAATAATTATCTCAAACATCTAAGTAAAAAATTAGCAATTAGAAGATTACTGATATTCTATTTATAAAAATATTTTAAATTATAACTAATCTTATATTATTTAAAAGACTTATACTATTTCTAAGACTAAAATATATTTTTTATTCTTTTGCAGAAAGCACCATAGTAATGGATAATTACTCATTTATTATAAAAATAAAACACTCAGCGTTTTATTCAAGAAATTAAGAAAAGAAAAGATAAATCGTAACTCTTAATTTCAATTTGATAGTTTTTTCAATAATCTCAAAGCTAAGCAAATAAAAAGATGAGTATTTTAGTTTTTTAAATAATATAAAATTAGTTGTAATTTTAAAAACTTTTTAAAAATATGAAACATGAGTTATTTTTTGTTTATTAGTTTTTTTTATGTTAGAAATAGTTAAAAAATTTGATGTAGATATTTTTATTAACCAAATTTTTAATAGAAAATATTAAAAAAGGCGTTGCTAGCATTTCTTAGCGAGGGAAACCTGGCAATAACCAATCAATAGGTTGGTCAGTTGGCATCCAGCCAACCCTAGAGGGATGGTGAGAATTGAGAAGAGTCACAGCAACTTGAGCAACAATCAGAAAATACGAAAAATTGAAGGGGTAATGTTAAATATCACAAAAATAAAGGGCAACCATAAAAAAATAATGCTATAAAAGAATCGAATCCAAAAACTGTCCCTACCAAAAAAACTAGAGGCAAAGAGAAACCAAAGAGATGAGCTAACGGCATTGACAAGCCACACGATTCGATTCTCTACCATGATATATATTGTTTCATTTGACAAGTTGCCACACAAATACCAATACCCATTTTCAGATTCCTAGAATTAGAGTAAGTTTTGGTTCTTTCTTGAAGCGGGGTTTCTCTAGTTTAGCTTACTGTTTCGTAAATCTTCTTTTTTGTTGAATGCTGTTGTTGCATGTCACTGTTTGCATTATTACTGGTGTTAGTGGTTGTAATTCGAGGAACCCTGTTGAGGAATTGGTCTATTTGTGTTGAATCCACATGGGTTTGGTTTGTTTTAGCTTAGTGGGTATGCGCATAAATATATTGTTTTGTGAAATGAATTCTCTGCTTTTCATGATTTTTTTAATTTTTCTTTTTTTTTTAGAAATGGAACTAAAGCTTGACTATTTAGAAGCTAACTTAATAAAGGTTCATCTTGGTATAACGAATTAAAGTGGTCATGGTAAAATTTTGCTTATTTTGATCCATTTCCCATTTTCCTTTCATCATTTTGATCCACATTGAATTCATTTGTTTTCACTGTCCAGAAAAAGGAGGTTACTTTCTTTTTTTTTTTAATGGGCATTAGAATTGAATTCAAGGAAATCCTCTTCAAAGTTGATTACTTGTCATAAACTGAAATAACGCTTATTCAACTTTGCTTGGTTTGATTACTGTTCTTTTTTTCTTTTTCTTTTTTTTTTAATGGGCGAGTTTGGAGATTGAACCGCGTGTTAATTTGTAAACTTTTACTTTCATGCAGAACATGGAAGCTTAGGGATTTTGATAAGGTTTATATTGAGTTAACAAAAAGATGTTGCCTGTTTGCTCTGCGACACCATGTTGTTCCTCTCATTCTCAGGTGAGATTCACTTTCTATATGTAATTAAATCACGCTATTGCCATTTTTCTATCATTCTTTTACCTCAGGGTTTCATCTATGCCCTTAGATTTGAGGATGCATGACCTAATTGGGTGAAGATCAAGCTGAGACTATAATTGAACTTTTGCTAAAATAGAAAAATTTCTGGTGTCAGAAAATAAAATAAAAGAAATTTTTGGTGTAACTAGACATGCCTGCCTTTGTATAAAATATGGTTGATGCAAGTGAGTTGAGATATCTGGGGTGCCTAAGTGAAGGTTTTGAATTGAAGGTATCAGCTGACACTCATGCTCTAATATGGTATCATAGTCCTGTGCAGCATTCTCTCTCATTCTGTTTGCTAGGCCTAGACATCAGAGGGATGCTGAGTAAATCCCTTAAAAATCTTGCAGAAAGTTTGGTATGGCCTTATAAACTGCATGCACCTCTCTCTTTAGTAGTTCAAGCTTTTGGCTGTGGTGGCATTTTCTCTGCACTTAATTTAATTATTCCTTTCAGAACTGAAATTAAGATATGAGGTCTCAAAGACTCTTCAATATTCAAAGTCCTAATCCATCTTTAAAGAACAGAATTTGACTCTTCTTGCTGAAGTATTGCGTGTAGTAACTTCCATGCACTTTGCTTATCAATTCACCATGTTATGCATTATTGTGTCACATCTTTCTTCATATATCTCTGGAATGGCATTTGTATTGGCAAACATTTCTTTCATGTATTTGAAACCATAAATACTGCAGATTACATTCCATGGAAGTCTGCGACCATTTTGCTCAGTCTGGAAGGATATTGAGTCCAGATGTTATGTAGAAGACAGGGTACTTTTGGGAATGTCAAACGGAACACATCCCCAAAGAATTTCCTTCAAAACACAAGCTGTAAAGTCTTTGTTCTCCAATTTTGTTGAAAGCAATGAACAGTCAGTATCCTTGACTTTCGTTAATGATCATTCCTGCCCAAATGATTTAGGCAACATTAATTGCAAGTTTTACAATGACTGGAATTCTTCAGTTGGAGCAATCGATGAACAGCACCCTATGGGAGGGGGAAATTGAAATCTTTAGAAAGTTATAACGTATCTGATATTGTAGAGCCACTTGTGGACTCTACGGACCAGTTGACTGAAAATACAGATAGTTTAATGGGACCCATGGAACTTCAAACAACATCCACTATCGATATAACACCAGAGAATTCCGGCTTGGGGTCTGAATCCCTGGAAATGGATAATGATTCATTATCTAGTGCGAAGACCAGTTTTGATGATTTTTTGGGTGGGGTTAGGGACTCCATCAATACTTCAGTAAACAAGGGAGAAAATGCTGTGCAAAGCTCACTAGACACAATTACTTCTTCTATAACATCCATTAAGAAAAGTGCTTCAGAAGCTGTTGATAGTGCCTTGAGTAAAGTATTCTCAACTTTCGATCAAACCGGAGAAGTGACTGGCAATGGATTGACTAACTTTTCAACTGGTCTAAAGGAAGCAGCAAAAAAAGCTACTGGCACATCTGTTGATGTGGTAAGAGGTGCAATTTTTGCAGTGGAGGAATCTATAGCAAAAGGGGCTTCTTTTGTTGTTTATTCTTATGGGTCTGCCAAGGAATTGCTTCCTCCAGAGGTCAGGGGTGCACTGAATCTGTCTGAAGAAAGGGCAACAGAAATATTGAGGCCAATTGGTGCAACTTTCCAACAGGTATATTATACTTGACACATGTTACTGTAATGGTTTGGATAATTCAATGGCAGTTGTACTCTCTTTTCTCTTGACCTCTCACATTGTATGAAATTAAAACATAATTCCATCTCATGCGAACGTTTATTTGCTTTATTTTAAAACTCTTTTTGTCAGAGAAATCAGTCACCGCTTTCACCTTCTAGAACTTGTAGTTGAAAAATCAATTGCATCCATATCTGTTATGCTGCTTAATTATGAGCTGACCTAACTCATTTATGTTCCAAAACCAACACTGAATTTTATACACCATAAGCAGGCTTACATTGCTATCGAGGGGCTGGAGAAAAGTCTTGGCTTGGATCCAAACGATCCAGTTGTGCCTTTCATTCTTTTCCTTGGAACCTCAGCCACTTTGTGGTATGGATGTCCTTTTGTGCATAAAGGGTTTTGTTCATTTAATCTGCATTTCATTGGAAACTTAAGTTTTCTATCAGATTTGTGCAGGGGTTTTTATTGGGTGTGGGCATATGGTGGTTACTCGGGAGATTTGTCCCCGCAATTAACTTTGGAGCTCTTGGCAGGGAAGGAAGACACCATACTCATTGATGTCCGGCCTGAGGCAAGAGAGTAAAATTTTCTGGCCTTTTATATTTTCAAGTTTCTTTTGTTAAAAATTTTAGCACCTCAACGAGAGTGGCTAAAGCTGACTGCTCTCACTTTTACTGTAGGGTTTCTACTGTTCTTTCAACTCTGCTCATTAATAGCTTCTATTTTTCGGTGACCCATTTCATATTTTTCAGGATTAATGTTCTTTTTTTTCAGTAGGAAATATTACTTAAATTACATCCACCTTTCACCCCCATTTCTTTTACATTACTGAAAAAACAATCTCAAATCCAGCATCCTCATTACTCTCCTTTTTTTTTTTTTTTTTGGTTGACTTGGTATTGAACTTGTTGGACCTTATTTATGCGAAGGTTCTTAGAGAAAGAAATGGCATTCCTGATCTTCGGCGAGCTGCTCGGTTTCGCTATGCAAGTGTAACACTACCAGAGGTTGGTTTTCTTTGATAATACTATTATAAGAGGAATATTGCTATTTTTTATGAGGAAGATCAAAGTTTGGAGCAATTGCTTTGTTTCTAGATGTCAAAAAAAAAAAAAAAAAAACCAAAAACCAAAAACCAAAAACAAAAAACAAAAAAAAGAGCATTTGAGCTTGGGTGTATCCTTTTTTTCATAACTTTGTGTCTTATGTTCTTCAATTTTATTCAGGTTGATGGTCCAGTAAGGAAGCTGTTAAAGGGTGGACGAGATCTTGATGATACCTTAATTGCTGCAGTCATTCGAAACTTGAAAGCTGTACAGGTATAGCGATATGTTTTAATACGTTTGACATAACTATTCTTTATGCATGCCTTTATTCTTTTGAGGTTTTCAGAAAGAGAGAATTCGGAATAGTGCAAAAAAGAAAGGAATTTTTTTTGGGAGGGGTGACTTGGGCCTGGTCTAATCAATCTCTTCTGTTTTAGCATCATTGGCCTCGGAGAATATAGGAAATTGCTTTTCAGATCTTTCTATTCTCTAAGACTTCTTTTCACTATGCCCTTCTCATATGTTAAGGATTTTGGTCACTGACTAAATCAATCCAAATGACATGCACGAAATATTCAAGTAGAAGATGCTTGGGTGCAAGGCATTGTCTCGGTGAAATAACTTGTCCTCATAGTTTTGCATTGGATTGTGGTTGGTGTCCTGGATTCAAAGTACCTAAGCTGAAGGTGCTATTAATCAGTGTTTTACGGCATTTTACTGGTGAAATAACTTGTACTCATACTTCCCACTGAATTTTGGGTGGTGGGATTGGTCCAGAAGTACCTAAAATAAATTAATGGGGTGGCAGGGTTGATCCAGAAGTATCTAAGTAAATAATTGGGAAAAATGATGAGTTTTACAAAATGTGTGATTTGGTCATACCATATGCAGTACAGTTCCTACATCACAAACTCCAGAGTTTTCCGTGTTTAAACCCGGCACCAAGAATATTGTCTCAGAATTTTGTTTTTCTTATACTTGTAGGACCGGTACCAGGTAATAGTTATGGATGCTGATGGTTCTCGTTCTAAAGGCATTGCAAGATCCTTGAGAAAGCTTGGGGTTAAGGCAAGCATTTGAAATCTCTAAGATTTTTTGTTGCAAAAATGGCTAAGAATCGATGCCATTGTGGAAACTAAAAGGGGAGAAAGAGAATTTCTCCACTCTCCCCTGGTTGAGTATCTTGTGAATTAAAAACATTTCTGAGAGTTTGTCCCTTATCAGTAACCATTAAAAACAAATAGCATTCTCAAACGTTATGCCAAAAAACATTAATCCTAATGCATGTTTGTTTGGCATGCAAATGCTTTAGATAGAACCCAATTTTATTCATGTTGTTATCTAGATAGTTTCAGCACATGAGTTTGGCTTGGAAAAATTTTTGAGTTATACTCCAGAAAGTGTATTATTACTACGTCAAACTTGTCTTTATGATACCTCTAAAATAAAAAAGGTAGAAAATGTCCTTACCTTGTCTGACTGGGTAAGTTGCAATGCATTAATCAATCTCAATACTCTTTTAGTTCACTAGATAGCTTGCTGAGCTGTATGGTTGCATATATAGCTGGAAGAAAAAAGTTAAATGCACAAGTACAAGATAATACCATGGTTCATTCCTAAAATAATCATATAATTTAGCGAGAGAAGTTGGTAGTATTTTGCTGTATTGAACCATGTGGCCTGCATTATAAGAAAATTGCCCAATGCCAGTGGTGTCTGTTGTTAATCTGGAACTGCAAAACATTGAAGCTTATTGCTAATTGTTTGTTTGCATTTTTACATGACAGAGACCATACTTGGTCCAAGGTGGCTTCCAGTCTTGGGTAAAGCAAGGTCTCCGAGTCAAGGAGCTTAAACCTGAGACCGCGCTAACCATACTTAATGAGGTAAAGTTATTGCATGATGGTTGCATATTCTCTTAACTGGTAGATTTATCTAGAATACAATTTTTTATTTGTTGCAAGCCATTGATCAACTCGAAGTATATGTGTGGCAGATGACATGCTTTAGTAATTCTTCCTTTGCAAATAATATATTCAGTCTGCTCAGATGAATCCTGTGGAGTTTATTAATTTGACATTTATTTCCAATACACATGAAAAGAGTGAAATTCTTTGGCTGGGTGCACTTTGGGGACCCATGGATACTTTCAAAATGGTATTCAGAAGGCACAGAATAGCATGTACACACACAGACATATCACATATGAGGTATATGTGTGTCTGTGCACACGACTATATAGATTTACATGGAGACACACAAATAGTAGTGTATGTGTGTGTGTAGACTGTGTGGGGTGCTACTTGCAATCTCACGCCTGTACATGCATGCACCATGTGCTTGTATTTACATAATGGATGGGCTAACATAAACGGGATAAGCAGGCCACAGGGATTGTGTATATTTTGAAGCATGATGTTGCTCAGATTTATGAAGTCAAATTATGAACAGCATCCAAATGACTGATTCATTCACAATTTTATGCATCAAATCCGAATAAATTTTTAGAAAAATGATTATTTGTTTTGAATGCAATCTAATGATGTTAAAATTGGTATCTCTTTGCTAAATCCTATTGGTTCAGATTGGATTATTTCTTTAGTGCACCTAATTGAACTGCTGGAAATTTTGTAGTAGAATTTCTGGTTAGTCTAACTGTAGTTTTAGAAAATTTTCTAACATGTTAAGTGTTACCAATCAAAGGACTCTTGAAGCTATTGTGTGCATATTGTATTAAGAAATCAATAAGAGGTCCTGTCCCAAATAGCTCAGTCCAAGTCTATATCGACGTTTTGAAACATTCAAACTAGTTGACATGATTCTTTACAACTCAGAAAGCTCATATGAGCTCAAAAATTATTTCATAATGTGCAACAAGCTAACTTCTTGGATTATGTCACAATCTGAGAGGAAGGTTGTTCTACTTGTTCATACAAATCAACAACCTTCATGTTCAATCAAAACATTTGTCTTGTTGCAAACACAATTTGGTTCCTTGGGATTTACATTCAATGTGCTTTGTTAATCTATGATATTCTTTTCATGGATTGAAAACTTTAAATACACGTCCATTCTGGAAGTGCTTGCTTTTTTTAGCGCCAGATCTAAGCTTTTCACTATGTACTTGTTAGTTGTGACAACTTGGCATCATTTCAGGAGGCTGAGGCAATTCTAGAAGATATTAGACCTTCACCAGTGCAAGCACTTGGGTATGGTGTGGTAAGATGCAGATTACTTTTTGTTGTGCTGAAGTACGGTTAATCATCATCAAACCATGATTGAGAAATATTTATTGCTTACCATGCAGATGTCCAGTGCATCCTTTGCTAATAAATATATTTACGTTGTGGACAGGGTTTTGCTGCAGCATCGTATGCATTGCTAGGTGTGTACATTTTCTTCCTCATGGACAGGCTTCCTGTTACTTTCTAAGAACGATTCCTCAAAACCTTGAATAGTTTGAAATATTTCAGTTCTATTATTTAGAACCAATGCTATATATTGTGTTTTTCTCTTTCTTTCTTTCCTCCCATCCTTTCTTGCCAACCAAGCTTGAAGTTTGTTTCAGAGTGGGAGAAGACCTTACAATTTATTGCCATTCTCGGCCTTGGTCAGGTATACTCTTATATCTGGTCAATTTCTTTCACACACACACGCACACACTCTCACAGATATTGATTTCTAAGCTGATAATGGTTAAAACAAAGTTCACACGTTCTGAACCTGAAATATTGTGCTCGTATGCAGATCCTTTGATGTATTCCATAAAATACTGTGTATTTGACCATTAAGCTAGATGCCCTCTGTCTATTTTGCATGTGTACTAACATAAGGAAAGTTTTATATCATTGCTAAATTTTGTTTAATGACCTTGAGTTTCTCTAATTATTGGTTTGTCATGCTCCACCAGACCATTTATTGGCGTGTTGCTTCTTACAATGGCCCTGAAGATTTTAAGCAAGATGTGAGGTATAGCCCACTCCAGGAGTCTTTCATCATTCATTCATTTATGGTTTTACTTACACAATTGTATTCGGTAAACCTATACGGAAACAAGGTTTGAAATCAAGTCTCTGTTTATTCATGCTCAGTGAATTATGCAAGTTCCATTTAGTATAATGCCAGGTAGATAGGTGTTGTACTCTTGAAACACTAATTATACTCTTGAAACACTAATTAGAATATGTCAGTGCAACATCATCTGGGCACCGAAATTAAATGTTTTACTTAAAATGGACCTTTGTCTTTACATGGGAAAGGGTATGGGAATTTTTGTATATAGCTAATCTCATCTGTCTTTAAATATTCTTCCAACATTAGCATATCGACCATGATCTTGATCATGTGAGCAGTCTCTGTTGCGTTGATAACCAATCTGACCATTACATTTTCAAGCTCAACATTTCCTAACCTTCACAAGACTTTTGAGAAGTCATTTATTCATTTGGCAGTTGGATTCTTTTTGGTAGTGGGATCATGTATGACCAAGTTTTTTTTATTGTTGAAGTCTTGATTAATTGGGATATTAATTGTTTCTTTGAAGGCGTTTGTTCTCCCCAGTTAGAGTTGGAGCTCAGACATTTTCATGGGCTGCTGGAAAATTAGATAACAACCGCATCGGACTACCTACATCACCTTCATCTTCAGATGTTCAAAACCGGGTGCTGCAAGCTGCTGCAAAGCACGAATCCCAACCATCTGAAACTGAAGCTGAGAATCCATCGCCTGAATCAGCGGCTCCTTTAAATGAGAATGTAGATCTTAAAGAAGCATAGGCACCGAGGAGGCATTTACTGGAGTGTGGCACATAAATCAGAGAACTTACCTGAGTTGTACATATAAAGAATGAGAAACATTCAGCTGATGCTGACGTCTTGGAGAACAAATTTTGGATGTTAATACCAGATAAATGAACAAGTTTTGTACATTTCTCTCATCAAGTGCATTGATTTCGTGAGTTCATTGATGCCAACACAGGATTTCCATCAATAATCGAACAAATAACGGACAAATAGACAGTTTGCCTAGTTCATTCCCTAATTTTCCATGCCGTGCTGACACTGAATAAAACTGGGGCCTTTGCCTAGTTGTTGGACATGACGGTTATAGCAAGTGTAATGAACGAAACAACGAACCAAAGCAAGGCCAGTTACAGGAATCTGTGGTTCATTCAGCAAACTCAAGTCAGAAACCTGACTAGTTACAGGAATTTGTGGTTCATTCAAGTCAGAAACCTGACTAGTCACGGGAATTTGAGTTTTTTTTTTTTTTTTTTTTGAGTTGTAAGTTTGTTGATCATGTGATTACGTCTTATATGTGTGTGTGTGTATATATCAACACGCGCCAAAATTAAAAACCTGAAATCCCCCCTCTGTCTGCACGAATTCGTAAGAATTTGGAAATATATATATATTTTAACTAGAAAAAGGAAAGGAAGTTTCTCTTTTTGCATGTTTTCATTTGTTATATATGACAATTAACACACGCAAATTCTTCAAAAATGAAAATAATTTCAATATTATTATGTTCACAATCCAGTACAACAATTAAGCACCAACATCAAACCTTTTCTCTAATTTTTACAATTTCATACGAAATTAAACACAAGAATTGGGAAAATATTTATTTCTCATGATTGTAAAAACATAATATTGCAAATTGATATTTGCTATTTTTGTTGTCTTAATTTACTATGATAATATTTGAGAAAACTTTGTTTGGTTCTTTTTCTTATATATATTATTTTGGGTTGTTATTGTATGATGGTACTTTAATAGTTATCTTAATTTGCAGTGACATGATAAGACATGTAAATTTATGAGTTGAAAATAGGAAATTAAATGAAGATGAAATTAAAAATATACAACTTATCATGACCATAAATGCTTGTGTAAAATTGCTGGCCAAGACGGCAAAACTAAGCAGCAAACCAGTAAATTAAGGGCTCAAATTCTAGAGTAAAGAGGTGATCTATTGCTTTGCTAGTTGGTAATTTTATCTTCTAGAGTAAAGACTGGTCACTCAAATTCTCATCAGAAATACTGCTGGGTATACTTTCATCAAAGTGAAGATAAACCCCACATCTTTTCAACTTGCAAAGCTTTTGGATCTCCCCCAGCAGCGTCCTTACGTTGTCCGACTCCGAATGAGAAGATTCCACCACTGGGTAGAATTCGAATGTAACTTCATTGCCAGAATATTTACTCAATTGATTTTCAAACACTAAGGGCTCGTACTTTAAAAACATGTGATCTGAGTCATATAGCTTGTCGAACTGGAAAACACATGGATCATAACCGGTCTCGAAAGTGATATCATCATGCTCACCGTTTTTACTTCTGACATGCCACTCAAAATCGATGACAACTTCATGATCAACAATGAATTTATAAAGCAAATTATCTGGGGGAATTAGAGGGATTAGAAAGACGAGACAGAAAGCAAAACCCTTGAGCTGATGACAATTTGAGGGCAACTTCATGGTAACTGAAGATCCCACTCCTTGATCCCCCAACCATTCTGGAATTTCACTCCCTGGTAAAACCATCTCAATGCCTTCAAATGCAATCTGTCTAGACTGTAACACAAAATCCACATTTTCACCATTTCAAAAATATGATCAACCAAGTAAGAGAGAAACAGAGAGAGACAGTTAGGGGATTTGAGAGAGAGACCTGAATTTTGAATAGGAAATCTGATATAACTGCTTTCTGATCCAACTTGAAGCACTTGGAAAAATTCAACCCGTACTCTAAATTGCTTAAATTGATGATTGATACGATTTCTAGCGATGCACAGTCCCATGCTCTTAGAGTCCATAGTGAAGGTGGAAGCTCTGGCAGCTCTCTAATAGGCGTTCCACCTACATTCAGATATCTCAAAGATATGAGATACTTAATTGATGAGGGCAGCTCTTTAATACCTGTTTCTCTCAAATTTAGATGGCCCAAATGTTTTAGTGGCTCCATAATTTCTGGGAAGCTCAAGAGTTTTGAGCAACCCCTCATATCCAATGTTTGGAGTCTGGTGAGAAAATGGATTGAGGAAGGCAGCTCTTTAATACCCGTTTCACTCAAATTAAGAGAATACAATGATTTCATAGGCTCCGTAATTTCTGGGAAGCTCTTGAGTTTTGAGCAACCACTCATATCCAATATTCTGAGCCCGATGAGAAACTGGATTGAGGAGGGCACCTCTTCTATAGCTGTCCGACTTAGAATTAAATCTTTTATATCTCCTAAACCCTCTGGAAACCTGGTAATATTTGAGCAACCACGTAGAGAAAGGGCTTCCAACGTACTAGTAATTGATGGTGGAACTTCTCTTATTGAAGTTTCACTTAAATCTAACCGGTTCATAATTCCTGAAACGATCTCTGGACACTTACTCATATCTGGGTGCCTAGTTATAGTAAATGCTCTGAAAACCTTTGAATCAAACCTACTTGGAAGACTTCTAATATTGTAGCATTCATCGAGATAGAGTACTTCCAGCTTGTCAAGGCATTGAAAGGATGACGGAACCTCAATTAAACTTTTACAGCCTTGAAGACCTAAAAACTCTAAATTGTTGGCCTTTGATAGATCTGGCAATTCTGTCAAGCATTCACACCCACTGAGGTTGATTTTCCTTAAATTTACAAGATCCTGTCATAAGAAAAAGCATAATTAGAAAATTTGGGCCTTCAACTTTTCTATTTCTCCAACATAGACATAAACACATTTGCATCAATTAAATCAAATATACCTGTACTCCTCTCCAAAGTTTTTCAATCTTACTCCCATAAAAATCAAGTTCAACGAGGTTTTCGGCATTAAAATTTTGTGGCAACGATTTCGAAGGGAATCCAGTCCAATGGAGATATCTCAGCTCATCAGAAAGATATTTGAGACCACTAGAAGGAAGGTGCAATCCAGAGAAGGGATTGCCACCATAGAATTTGAGAAATCTAAGACGATCCATCTTAGCGAAAGCATCAGATTCCAAGTGCATCTCTCTTGATAACTCGGATGTGTCCAAAGATATGCCTTCAATTCGGTCACTTCCCTAAAAATCAAGGATACAGAATAAATAATACAATCTTTTTAAAAATCTGCTTGAAAATTCAAATTTTTAATAGATATGAAATGCCTTGGTAAATATGTCACAGGAGAGAAGAAAAAGATAGTTAATGAGTTTAGCTTTAACCTTCTTTTTCTTCAGTACGTGAACCACATCATTAGTATCACACAACCGGCTACGTTTGCCAGGGTTCTTAGATTCTGCACGAACAATGCTCAATGCCATTTCTTGTAGTAAAGCATGCATTTTTATCATGCTGTGAGGAACTGTTATGAGGCACTTATCGATGAGGGTGCTTATATCGAATAGCACAGATGGACCGTAACAGCCTTGTAATACTCTTGTAGCACAGTTTTGCTCCCATCCTCTGTAAAAACATGCTATATCAAGAAATACAGATTGTTGCTCCTGATCCAGTCCATCATAGCTAATCCTCAATACATTTTCAATGCGAGGGTTCAGAGCTAATTTGTTCAATGCACTATGCCATTCTCCATTGCTTTTACCAAACAAAGCAGAACCCAAAACAATAAGAGCTAATGGGTTGCCTTGTGCAAGATTTACTGTCCTTTCCAACAAATATCCATGATCAATTGTTGGATTTGTATTCTTGAAGACTTTCATGCTAAAGAGTTGAAGAGCTTCTTCATGGTTCAATCCGTCGACCTTGTATATGCGCTCTTCACCAACCATTTCGTTAAGCAATTGCTTATCTCTACTTGTTACCAGAATTTTACTTCCTGGACCAAATGAAGATTGATCTTTAAAAATCATTTCTTGCCATTCTTGCAACTGCATTGAATTATCCACATCATCAAGAACAATAAGAACCTTCATTCGGTGAAGTCTATCCCTTGTAAAAGAATTTCGGAAACTCAAAGGGCCCATATTTGGAATTTCTTGGCCTAATAGTTGCAAAAGAAAGTTTCTTTGCAAATCAACCATTGAACGTACTTTTAATTCTTCCCTAAAGTTTGCAAAAAAGGTTCCTTCAAATTGAGTGTGAATATTGCTCCATACAGCTTCAGTAATCGTTGTCTTCCCAATACCGCCCATTCCCCATATTCCTACAAGGGAAACATCTTGCGATTCCATGTTTAACAAGAAATCAATTTTGTTAAGGCGTGCGTCAATTCCAACCAGATCCATAGCGTGACTGGAGGACATCTTTGACAATTTTTGCAAAATATCTCTCACAATTTTCTGAACAAATTCAGACTGCAATCTGACAAATTAACATGAAGACATATAGTATTTGTTAGTAGGATACTGTTTTGGTCTTTTTGCTATGTTTAGGTTTGGCATCCGTTCACATTTGGACTATATTTTCTATTGGGTCACCAAAAGTACTCATTTCGGTTGAGAGAAAGAGATTTGAAGGAATTATGCAAGAAAGGAAATGAAATTGAAAATACAGTCTGGGCAAACTTATAAAGATCTAAATTAATCACCGACATGCATATGGTAAAAAAAACAAAACAAAAAACAGAACAACAAACGCCATTATCTCAAAGAAGATAATTAAGAGAGCTTACTCAAACTTCTCTAAGCCCCATCCTGAAAGATTGGCCGCGTCGTTTAAAGCGTTTCTGAAGCTCTGCACTTTGTCCATCGCCAAAGCTTTCTCTTCTATAAGTCTAGCAAATGCATCTCCAAAACTTCCATTCTGATTTCTAACATGAGATGGATCAACCAAGTAGAAAACCGGAACAACTATCTGTCCGTTATTTTTTCTCCATTCAAGAATCTTTTCAAGCTCCTCTAAGCACCATTTGGAAGATGCATAGTTTTCAGAAAAAATAATCACAGAAAGCTTGGACTCTTCAATTGCTTTCAAAAGTGAAGGCGAAATTTCCTCTCCTCTCACGAGCTCATTATCTATAAAGGTTAGGATTTGTTTCCGCTTCAATGCATCATAGAGGTAGCTGGTAAAACCAAAACGAGTGTCTTCTCCTCTGAAACTAAGGAAGACGTCATATTTCTTTGGAGGGGTAGGGTTTGAAGTAGAAGAAGAAGCCATGAGAGGAAAAAAAAAAATTGGAGGTTTTTGGAGTCAAAGAGATCAAGGGAAGAAACTCAAAGACTAAGCAACTAATTTTAAATCTGTGGCTAAGAATATTTTTAAGTCTGTAGCTTTGGCATATCTGAATAATGGGGTTTCAGATCTTGCCGCATATTAAGGAAATTTCCCATCACTTTCCTGAACAATACAAACAATCTGGCTTTAGAGATGACCCCAAGTCATCGGTTTTTTCTATAAGTCTTCGGCCCAAGTCTATATATATATATATCACTAAACTCCGGTAATTTCATTGCTGGATTTTCACCATCCCTCGTAAAATGAGACCAATCTTCAATATCGCTCGTTACGGAGAAAAACTAAAAGAGCTTACACAAATGAACAGTAAGATATTGTTTATTTATTATTCATTCGCTTCAGTTCACTATTTATTAAAATGGTAATTTTATAATTTTATATAATGATATTTTTGTAATTTTCTTAATAGTTTTTTGGGTATTTATTTTGAAATTTTACACTTCATTCCTTTTTTATTCTTTATGTTTTCAAAATATATTTTTAAAAATATTTTGATATCTCATGATTTTAACTTGATCCATTTTTATCTCATATTTTTTCAAAATACACTTTTTGTTTCTCATATTTTTAAATGATGTTTTTAGCCTCTTATGGTTTTAGATTTTAGAACAAACACATATATTGAATTATATTTTTTATTAATTAAAATTAATTTCTTAAATTTATTGTTTATAATAAAAATTTTCATCAAATTAAATTTTTTATGAAATTTTATTTGTTAATAAATATGATTTATCTTTCTCTGTGTATGCATTTTTAATAAATTTCTTTACCTTATTTTTTATATAACCAATTTTTTTGGAATAAAATTTTAAATTATTTTTATTACACTCTATTAATTTTAATATATTTTTTATAACTTAAATTTTTTTAAATATACTTTTTAATTTGTACAGAGTATGGTAACGATATATACAAAAAAGTATTGAGATCATTGATTTTATTAAAAATTAATTATGCATCCAAACATATAACACTAACTATTTTCTATTAATTATTTTTAATATTCTAAATTTAATTTATTTTAAATAAAGTAATATTTTAAAAGAACCACCTAATAATTTAAATACATATTTTTATACCTAATCTTATTGATTTTGTGTATGTGTGTCTATAGATCAAATGTACATATTTTTAAAAAATTTTAAAAAATTCATTAGTTAGTTTGTATATAAATTTTTATATTGATTGTTGATATATTTTTCCGATGTAGTCTTGTAAAAAAACATTAAGATATTTTAAAAAATTTTATATTTATATTATTGTAGGTTTTTATTTAAGAACAAATGAATAAAAAAAATGAATTGTGTTTTTTTAGCAACAAAATCTATGAAAAACATAAATAAGCATGAATGAAATACTAAATTTAATTAAAAATTATGAAAAAAAATAATTTTTTTAATTTTAATTTTTAATTTAATATATATTAGTAGAAAAAAACTAAAAGAATTAAGATATTTACTATTCATTTACTATCGTTTTAAACTTAGATTCACTATTTATAGTATTGTTTGATTTTTCGTCTCCTATCTTTTCGTTAATTTCTCTTTTGTCACCCGATGGATTTGAAAAAATCCATTTTTATCCTTAACCGATTCTCTTTTTAATTTTCTTTTGGACATTTTTCATCATTTCCTTCTTCTTTTTTCCAGATTGAGCATTTAATGCTCCTATCTTTTTTCAATGTTTTTTTCTTCTTATTTTCAGCAAGGAAGCTAAAGCCACTTACTATTCAAGAGTGATTATAAATTAGTTCCTCTTTCTTTGAGAAACAAATTAATTAGTCCCTTTGGTTAAAAAAATTATTTTTTTGTCCTTTTTGCTATTTCAATGTTTTTTTTTTTTTTTTTTTTGCTATAAGAAATAGAGAAAGCATAAAAAAAAAGCAAATATATATAAAAAAGATAGTTTATAAAATAAAAAAATAAATTATTTATGGTCAACACTAATTAAAAAAAATTAAATAATTTATTTTTGAAACCACAAGAATTAATTAATCCATTTCTCAAAACGAGATGAACCAATTTATAATTTAATTTGCAATTCAAGAATCTCTTTCATCATAGATTAAGAAGTAAAATTTATGGGAACCAATTTTGTGATAGTTTTTATTTCAATTTATTGACTTTAATATATTCCATCCAACTTAGATGGTTTTTTTTTAAAACGTTTGTTTATACTATGATCATTATATATATATATATATATATATTAAAAATTAGTTATGTATCTCGTATACATAATATCATTAGTCCCTTCGTTCAAAAACTAATTTTTTTTGTCTTTTTTGGTATTTCAATGTTTTTTTTTTTAATGAATAGAGAAAGAATAAAAAAATAAGTAAAAATATGAAAAAATACATTTTTTAGAATAAAAAATAAATTATTCTTGGTTAACACTGATTAAAAAATTAAAAAATTTATTTTTGAAACCAAAAGAATTAATTCATTCTTTTTTCAAAATGGGAAGAAATAATTTATAATTTAATTTGTAATTCAAGAATCTCTTTCATCAAAAAGTAAGAAGTAAAATTTATGAGAATCAATTTTGTAGTAGTTTTTATTTCAATTTATTGACTTTAATATATTCCATATAACTTAGAAGATTTTTTTTAAAAAAAAATTATTTATACTATATACTCTGAATCTATTAAGCATGATCATATATATATATATATATATATATATATATATATATATATATATATATATATATATATATATATATATATATATATATATATGTTGAAAATTAATTATGAATATGCATACATAACATCATTAGTCCATTTGGTTCAAAAATTGATTTTTTTTTTGTCATTTTTTGTATTTCAATGGTTTTATTTTTTGTTTTAATAAATAAAGAAATAATAAAAAATATGAAAAAAGACTTTTTTTAAATAAAAAATAAATTATTCATGGTCAACATGATTAAAAAAATTAAAAATTTTATTTTTGAAACCAAAAGAATTAATTTATTTATTTTTCAAAATGAGATGAACTGATTTATAATTTAATTTGCAATTCAAGAATCTCTTTCATCATAAATTAAGAAGTAAAATTCATGGAAACCAATTTTGTATTAGTTTTTATTTCAATTTATTGACTTTAATATATTCCGGACAACTTCGGTTTTTTGTTTTTACAAAATAAAATTATTTGTACTATATATATATTATTAGTTTTGTTGAAAATTAATTATGTATATGCATACATAACACTAATTATTTGTTATTTATTCCTTTTTACGTTCTAAAATCAATAGTTTTAAATAAAATAATTGAAATATTTATCATAGGTTTTATTAAAAATTAATTATGTATCTCCACACATAACGCTAGTTATTTGTTATTTATTCTTTTTTATGTTTCAAAATCAATATATTTAAATAAAATAATTGAAATAATATTTTGAAAGAACCTTTCAATTATTTAAATAGAATTTTTTATGCTAATATTATGGATTACTTTGTTAATAAATATATATAAATCAAACGATTTTGCTTAACATATAAATTTGATTTACATTAATTACGAGAAATAAGATTTTTACCCTCATTACACCATACAAATTGTTGACCTTATCTATATATAATGATTGTTCAACTGTAGCGTAGCATAGATATCAAACTAATAGAGTTGCTAGAAGCTTTATACGAGACCCATTGTTAAATAGCTACAAAAATAATAAATTTGCCAATTATTTCTTTCACTTTTGCATATGTACTTGTGACAATGGAGAAGTCGCATAGGGATTTTTGCAAAACCTATGTAATTGATGCGGAGAGATTTCAAACTAAAAGAGTCAATAGAATATTGAGTAAATTATAAACCAAAAGAATTAGTTAATTTATTTTTCAAAATAAGATGAACTAATTTATAAATTAATTTGTAATTCAAGAATTTTTTTCATCATCAATTAAGAAGTAAAATTTATGAAAACCAATTTGTAGTAGCTTTTACTTCAATTTATTAACTTTAAAGTATTCCATACAACTTAGATTTTTTTTTAAAAAAAATTATTTGTATTATATATTCTGAATCTACTAAGTATAATATATATATATATATATATATATATATATATATATATATATATATATGTTGAATATTAGTTTTGTTAAAAATTAATTATGTATATGCATATATAACACTAATTATTTGTTATTTATTCTTTTTTATGTTCTAAAATCAATACTTTTAAATAAAATAATTGAAATATATATATATATATATATAGTTTTGTTAGAAATTAATTATTTATTTGTACACATAAAACATAACACCGATTATTTTTTATTTATTCTTTTTTATGTTCTAAAATCAATATTTCTTAAATTAAATAATTAAAATAATATTTTGAAAGAACCTTTCACTTATTTAAATACAATTTTTTATGCTAATATTATTTATTATTTTGTTAATAAATATATATAAATCAAACGATTTTGCTCAAGCATATAAATTTGATTTGCATTAATTACAAAAAATAAAATTTTTAACCGTACTACATTATATAAATCATTAATCTTATGTATATAACGGTTGTTGGATCGCAACGTAGTATAAATATTCAACTAGTAGAGTTGCTAAAAGCTTTATACGAGACCCATTGTTAAATAGCTACAAAAATAATAAATTTGCCAATTATTTCTTTCACGTTTGAGAAGTCGTTTAGGGATTGTTGCAAAACCTATGTAATTGACGTAGAGAAATTTCAAACTAAAAGAGTCAATAGAATATTAAGTAAATTATAAATTAGTCTTTTTAGTTTTAGAAAAGAAATTAAATAATTTTTTTAAAAAATAAATCATTAGCCTTTTCATTAGTGTTGATTATGGTTAATTTAATATTACTCTGTTCTAAAAATATCTATCAACTTTTCTACATTGTTTTACTTTTCTTTTAATTTCTTAAAGCAAAAAATCAAAATAAATTGAAAAAAGAACGAAAAAATTTAAGTTCCAAATAAATTTAAAAACATAGAAATTATTAATTAATTTTTGAAACTAAAATTCCTATTTACTTTATTTTGAAAAACTAGAGAAACTAATTTATAATTTAATATTTATGAATAAAAGAACTAAAATATGATTTCTCCTTTTTCTCGCAAAATATAATTTATCTTCGAGAGATTATTTGGTTCCATTTTACTTCAGGTCATTGCTAATAAAATGACATAAAAGAACATATATTATTTGCATTTAATTTAATTTAAAGATAAGAAGGATTTGTTAATTGATGCAACCAGCCCAAATATGATTTCTCCAATATTGTGAAAGAGTGCAATACATTAACGAATTGATGGTTCTAATCTTTCATGCAAATCACTACTTAAATCTCTAACCTAAATCTCACACCAAAGGAACTCAAAAGGACTCCCATGAATCTTACCATGAACTAAAAGCAAGGATTAAACTCAAATTCACTCAACATGAAAAATGGAATTTAGCTTTCAACGCATTCAGTGCTGGATCAGCTTACAGGTACAAAACAGAGCAGAAATATAAAACTGTAGAAATGACAGCTTTTACAGGGTGATCAACTTCTCTGGGTTCGAGGTGTCACGAGATGGTCTCATCACTACCATCGGTGGTGGGGTTATTAGACCAGCTCTCATAAGAATACCATGCACGGTGTCTGTAGGTTGAGCATCAACCGATAACCATTACCTGCAGAAGCAAGTAGAAGAGTAACTCAAAAACAACAAAAACAAGATTACAGAGCCTCCAACTCATTTAATCAACCAGGCAAATAGACACAGCTATCAAGAGCTTTATCCATCAGTTTTCTCCTTTAATTCATTAAACAAATGTATAGCATGCATATTGATCTCTTCTGCAGTATCATGTTTTTAGTAAATTAAAAAATCAAAACTCAAAAAACTTTATTTGGATCAAAATATAGTAAGGAAAACGAAACTTACCAGCATTGATCAATAGAAGAGCATCAAAGATATTCATTCGTAATCAGTCTCATCAACTGAATCCTCTCCGTAACTACTGGAATTAGTAAGGACTGTATTCTTGGTCACTCAAATACTCATCAGAAGTACTGCTGTGCAGACTTTCATCAAAGTGAAGATATATCCCGCACCTTTTATTAAGCAAGAAAGTTGGTTGAGATAATTATCTCTGCATAATGGAAAGCTGATATTAGTTTTCATTTTCTCTGCTCTCTCTGTTTTTCTTTCTTAATCTCTATGCACTTTGTGCATTCTAACACCTTTTGAACTTGCAAAACTTTTGGATCTCACCCAGCTGCTGTTTTGTCCTCATCGAATAGTAAGATTCCACTATTGGCAAGAATTCAAATGTAACTTTATTGCTAGGGTATTGAATCAATGGATTTTCACATACTATGGGCTGGTACTTTAAGAACATGTGATCAGAGTCATATGGCTTTTTTAACGTAATTCCTTGCGTTATGAAAATGACATCATTATGCTCATCGTTTTTACTTTGGACATGGCAACCAATATATACGGCAACTGGATCTTCATCGATAAAAGGGTGAAAGAAATGATCTGAGAGAATATTTAGAGGGAGTGAAAAGACGAGGCAGAAACCAAGTCCCTTGAGCTGTTGACAGTTTGAGGGAAACTGTATGGTTACTGAAGACTTCACTCCTTTATCTTCCATCCTTTCTGGAATTTCAATCTCCGGCAAAAACATTTGAATTCCCCAATTCTTGATCTTTGCAGACTATGACAAAAAAAGGCATGTTTTTACAATTTCAAAAGTATGATCAACCAAGAAAGAGATAAATAGGGAGGGAGAGACACTGACAGGGAGAGGATATTTACGAGAGAGACCTGAATTTTCAAATGCATATCTGCTGACAGTGATCTCTGATCCAATTTGAAGCAATTTGAAAAATTCAAATCAATCAAAGATTGGCTTAAATTGACGATTGATATCGTTTCTAGTGATGCATAATCACACGCTGTTAGAGAGTGTAGTGAAGGTGGAAGATCTGGTAGCTCTCTAATAGGCGTTCCATCTATCATTTTAGAGAGAAGTTGCAGGGGTATGAAGTCTGCAAAGATGTGGAATTGAGGCTGCCCGAGTTAACTATCGTAGAGGATTTTCTGCCTCTTACCATGGGAAGTGCTGATGTCATCCTTGGGTTGAAATGGCTGTCCACTGTGGGGAAACCCAAGATGATTGGAGAAGGATGACTATGACTTTAGAGCTAGATGGAAAACATATTATGCTCAAGGGAGATCCTAGTTTGACATGGGGCACTGGTATCATTCAAGTCACTAAGCAAATGTGTGAGGAAGCAAGGAGATGAGTTGTTACTGGAACCATATCATGTTACAGCATTTGTTATTGAGGGTCCGAGGGAAGTAGCAACTGATTTACGAGAGGTATTGGAATTTGAGGATGTGTTCAGGACAACTACTAAGTTACCACTGAGCGTGACCATGACCATGCCTTAAGGAAGGGACGTGGCCAATCAAGGTGCGACCATATCATTACCCCCGCATTCAGAAGAGTGAGATTGAGAAATTGGTGGTGAAACATTGGCTGCTGGTGATGTGCGGCCGACTAACAATCCTTTTTCAAGCCCAATATTGCTAGTGAAGAAGAAAGATGGGAACGAGAGGTTTTGCGTTGATTATCGAGTTTTGAATAAGACTACCATACCAGATCGTTTTCCTATACCCAATGTAGACGAGTTACTAAATGAATTACATGGAGCCAGAATCTTTTTGAAGCTAGATTTGAAGTTAGGTTACCACCAAATCAGGGTTCAGCCACAAAACATACCCAAAACAGCCTTTCGCACTCATGAGGGGCACTATGAGTTTCTTGTAATGCCTTTTGGACTGACCAATGCATCAAAAACGTTCCAAGCCTTAATGAATGCAATTTTCAGGAAGCAAATTCGGAGATATGTTTTGGTGTTCTTCAATGATTTTCTAGTTTATAGCCCCTCTATGGCTGAGCATAAGCTACATTTGCGTGAAATTCTAACCATTCTTCAAGACGAAAAAACTGGTTATTAACTATAAGAAGTGTTGTTTTAAGTAGCCAGGTTGGAGTATTTGGGTCATATAATTTTAGTTGAAGGGGTAATGAATAATTCGAAAAAGTGAGAGCTATGGAAGAGTGGCCAAGACCCAAGAATTCGAAGGAACCGATGGGATTTTTGGGGCTTATTGGATATTATCGATGCTTTGTAAAAAATTAAGAAAAAATGGCAGGTCCACTAACCCAGCTGCTCAAAAAGAAGGCTTCGTGTGGACAGAGGAAGCCACCCAGATTGTTGATGTACTAAGACATGCTGTGAAGACTGTGCCTATCGTGGCATTTCCAAACTTTGATGGACCATTTGTGATTGAGACAGATGCATCCAAGGTGGGACTTGGAGTTGTTTTATCTCAAAAGAAACGAACTATTGCCTTTTACAGTCAACCACTAACCGAGAGAGTTAGATTGCGGTTGATTTACGATAGAGAATTAATGGCTATTGTATATACAGTGCAGAAGTGGAGATACTACCTCTTGGGAAGGCATTTTGTAGTGCGTGCTAACTAGCAGAGCCAGAATATAAAAAATATTGATAAAGTTAATGGGATTCATCATCCTCAACTCGAATCCATTGTGGTAGTCCACTTTTTTCATCATTTTCAATGAAATTCTGACAGTCAGTTTTTTTTGTTTTTTTTTTTTTTAAATTGAGGTTAGAGAATTGAAAGAAGGGCTAATTAAAGTTAGGTAGGGTTTTAACTTGAGGTGCAAACCAAAATTTGACTTTAATCAAAACCTAGGGTTCTTGATTATTTTTACGTAAAATTGATTTGGGCGTTTTCAAAATTTTGAGTTCTAAAGTGTTTGAATTAATTTGATTTCAAGAGAAATCAAGTCAATTAGACTAATTGCACAAGAAATTGAAAAAAAATTAAAACCTAGGGTTCGGCCAAATTGGGAATTTTTTGAGAAAATCGATTTGAGGTTTTTCAATCTAGAGGAAATTATGAGTTTTAGGAAGGAGGAAAGGAAGAAGAGAAGAAAAAAAGAAAAAAATTAAGTGGCCATATGAATAAATTGTAATAAATTGTTTTTAATTTGGAAATGCTTAAGAAATCTTCTTTAAAAGAATGATCAGTAAAAAAAATTATTATTTTTATTCCATAAGAATTTCCAAAATCCAAATTGGTACTTGTCTCATAACTCAAATGCAATATAGTTCGATTGGGTTGAATTTAATAAATTTTAAAAACACTAAATCTTTTTCACAATGGTGAAGTTTAATAATTTATACAAACACAATAGTGTTTTTGATTGTTTTTTCAAAAAAGTATCCGATATTAACACTATCTTTTGTATTCCCGTTGTAGATTAGAAATAGGTAGCACGTTCTTGTATACAATATTGTTTTTTACGCTTAAATTTAAAGTCATAGAACGTACTCCACTATTTCAAAATAACTTTTCAATTACCACCAAAAAAAAAAAAATAGTGAAGAATATGGAAAAACCATAAACCAACGCCCCTATGTTTGTACGAATTAGTAAAATTCACCCATATGAAAAGATTTAGTCAAAAGTTATCCTGTGTTTGCAAAATCTAGTCAATTCAACTCAACTGGACTGTATTGCATTGAATTGTAAGATGAGTACCAATTAAAAGTTTGCAAATGCTGAAGAAATAAAAATAACAACTTTTGTATTCAAATTTTTTTAAAAATTTTCTCTTTTTTTTTTTTTTTCCTTATAATTTTATTAAGGATTTCCAGTTTTTTGTTCAAGTTTTACTTCTTTTCTAAATTTTTTTAAGAAACTCATAATTTTAATTATTTCTTAAATATTTTCATTTATAATTTCTATTATTTAAAAGTAACAATCATTTTCAATTTTTTAATGGTCGAGAGTATTTAAAAAAAAAGTATCAAAGTATTTCGATTTTTTTTTATTCCTTAAAAATCTTCAAAAGTTTATGTTTTCGTCAACAATTATTTATTTTTATTTTTAAAATGATAACGGAAATAAATAATATCATGTCATCAAAATTTTTAAAAAATAATAAATTGTTTTTAATTAATTAATTAATTTTTATTCCTTAAGAATTTCCAAAATCCAAATTGGTACTCGTTTTATAACTCAATACAATATAGTTCAATTGAGTTGAATTTAATAAATTTTAAAAACACTAAATCGTTTTCATAGTGGTGAAGTTCACTAATTCATACAAACACAATAGTGTTTTTGATTTTTTTCCAAAAAAGTATCCGATATTAATTAAGAGCTTACTCAAACTTTCCTAAGCCCCATCCTGATAGATTTGCTGCATCCTTTGAAGTGCCTCTGAGGCTCTGCAGTTTGTCCATTGCCAAAGCTCTCTCTTTCACAAGTCTAGCAAACGCATCTCTAAAGCTTCCTGTCTGATTTCTAACATGAGATGAATCGACCAAGTAGAAAACCAGAACCACTATCTGTCTGTTATTTTTTCTGCATTCAATAATCTTCACAAGCTCCTCTAAGCACCATGCTGAAGATGTATAGAAAACCAGAACCACTATCATCATAAAAACTTTCAGGATACAAATCCAAATATTCCTTGCATTATTCTCAGATTAAGAGTTGAACTCGCAATGATTATCTTCTCATCCCCAATCCTCAAATGTTTGAATCTCATTTATTGATGAAACATAATGGATCACCCAACAGAAAGCAAGCAATCAGAAATGGAATAGTCAAAAGGTCGAACCACAGAGAACATTGCAATACCTTAAAGGCAAGGAAGTGTTTATCAATCTGCTTGAAAGCCCAACTGCTTCTGTTTTCAGCAATCGGTAATGAATTTTATCTCTGCTATTGCAATCTAACGAAGCCCATCCACCTAGTATTTTTTTTTTCATTACTGCCTTTTTTCATCTTTTCTTATTCTGATCCAACTGGTACATGAAAACTAAAGATCTAAAAAATTAAAAACTATTCTATATGTGGATGGAAAACTGGTACAATTTTTTTTTTGGACAATTCACTTTAACTATGCTATTTCAATCTTCCACTTATAATCATTTTTTGGACTGGACAAGACATCAAAATATTAATTTATTAGCATTTTATATAAAATTAACATTACGGTCAAAGACTCATTAAAAGCAAGAAGAACCTAAAAAACAATAAGACAAACCTTATTAGATAAGGATAAGTAAAACTAGACAAATACTAGATAAAAATAAATAAAAAAATTGAAAACATTGAAAAAAAGCTCTTGCTGATGACAACAATTAAGAAAAAACAAGATATTTTCAAAACCCCAAAGTGAGAGTAATTTATGTGTTATTTGGATAATTTGAAAAGGATAACAACGTTGTCAAAATTATCTTATTTTTCTTAAATTGCATTAGTTCAGTAGACACCATTATTGAAGGTTTGATGACATATTTTACTTCTAAATTGTCATGGTTGTGGTAAAATAAGGTTTGGACTACCAATTTGGTTTATTTTGACTTTAGCTTATTAATTTTCATGTAAATTTCATCATTTTTCGTTATTTCGACGGTTAACGTCTAAAATGCTTAAAACTATATCGTTTTAAATATTTAAATTTTTTATTTACACTTAAAATTATCTTTGAAAAATTATTTGAATAGCTTTTTTTAATCTAGGCCCCATTCTGTTTTTTATAATTATTGAATTTTTTAAAATAATTTTACCGAGTTGAAAAAAATTGAAATGCTTAAAATAACGTTATTTAAAGCATTTTAGTTAACGACTAAAACTTTGACCATCGGACATAACCAAAAAAGAAGAAGACAAAGCTTGTCTAAAAATAATAATTATGAGTCGAAATTTATAATTCAAAATTTATGTTACTATAATCCTAATAGTTTGAGAATAAAAAATATGTCATTAAATTCTCTATTGAACCAATATGGTGTGGTTCCATGAAAGGATCAAAATATCCATTAACCATAGGATTTGTATAATTTTAAATGGGTTCAAACATGAATAATATCAAATCTTAAGCTAAAATAAGATGTTTACTGTAAGTCTTAATATGTTTTAAACTTAAGTTCAAAATCACATGTAAGACTTGTTAACATCCAATTTTTTCCTCTATTATTTTCATCGCAAAAATACAAAAAAGAAATAATAAACGAGACCAAAAATGCCAAGTATAAAAAGAAAAAAAAATCAATCGAAAAAATTAATTTAGATTAGTTTTAAGAGGAAGCTAATTTAAAAAAAAAGAAAGATTGGAATATATATATATAAAAAGACAATTAAGGATATAATTAAAAAAGTTGAAAACCTTAATCCTTTAATTTAAATAAAAGGGAAGCACGATTAGAAGAAATTAAAAAGAAATGTTCTAATTAATTGATATTTAAGGGTCTTATTGAAATAAACAACCGCAATCGAACTTAAATCAATAGCTTATATAGAAAAGGGGACCAAAGAGGACTTTTTCCAAAAACTTATAAAATACCCTTAAAAACCCTTTTTGCATTTTTTTGATATATTGTATGTTCACTCACCATCTTTAACAAGCCAGCCGACTCTCTGCAACAAGAGAAAAACCTCGCCTCGCAAGCTTCCTCCTCTCACCCGAAACCAACCCCCACGCCCACAGCCCCTTCTCCTTGCCTCACAGCCTCCCTCGCAGCCATACCCACGCAAGCAACCTCGCCATAGCTAACCTCGCCCAGCCATCTCGCCCCACTTGCAGCCACCCTCACACAGCCCACACCACCAGCCTCCTTCATGTTACTTGTACCCTATCGCATAAGGAGTATATAAAAGGAAGATCCTCCTCTTACTTATAAAACACAAACTGACGAGTAATAAACTCTCTTCTACTAGAAAAGAAAATCTAATTTTATTTATTTATCGTTGTCATGGGAGATACGCTGGGTTACTATATCCGTGAATATGAACCAAAACGGTTAAGCAAAATTACAAATGGATTCAGTGAGGATAATTATGTCGAAAAGTTCCAATTTGGCAAAGTTTAGCATGGGGTTTATGCTCGCAATGATGTGGTAGTGAAGATTTATGAAGATGATAATACTCTTTGTGAAGTGCTCCCTGGTGATAATGTAACCCGCTTGAAGGTAATCAACTACTAAACTCTTACTCTTTATTATCTAATGGAAGGCAATGGGTATTTATTGGAATAATTCATAGATTTTCATATTTATCTATATAATATATTGTATTAGAAATAGTAGTTGGATTCGATTAATTATTCCAATTGTATCTCCTTTTTGTAGGCTGAAGTTGAATTTTACGAGTTTTTAGGCAGAAAAGGTCCCTTTACCATCCAAACGTAGCTGCCTTGCTTGGATATTGCGAGTACAGTGGACATCTAGGCGCTGTTTATCTTCTAAAGTCTAAGGCTCACAATACAGTGTATAATCTGTTAAAAGAAGGATATTTATTTTATCTGGAGCCATTTGGGCATCTAGTATCGTTGATGAGAGGGGACCACTATTTAATTGATCCATGGACAATTTTCTGGCTATTATTTTGCTCTTTCTGGTAATTTCTTATGATAGTCACTGATTAGTATTTAGAGGATTGTCCTTTGCTTGAATGATTAATTTGCTATTAATAACATGTTCTTGTTTGGAGTATTTCATGGAGTCTATTGACTCAGTAGGATGATTAATTATAAGTGATGATCGAGCAAACAAGTACTTCTTTGTATTTTCAGATAGTTTTTCCTGGCCAACGAGGATCAAGGTTGCCCCTGGATTTGCTTCTGTATTGGAATATATGCATGCTTGGAATATACCATTTTGCCCTACTTGATTCGCAATGTAGATGCAGCTCATATAATGCTTGATCAGGTCTGCCTTAATATCTTCCGATTCAAATATTGTTGGGATTCCCTCTAATAATAACAACTTATTTTCTTTGCACTACAGCTTCTTGATATAGGAGTTGATAAGTTCATTTTCTTTGATTTGTAGTATGACAACCCTATATTATTTGACTTAAGTATGATTAGTAGTGGCGTTGTTACCGATAGAAGAAACCTTATAAATCAACAAGTGGTTGGGTGCTATGGATATGTCAATCCAAATTGTGCTCGTCAAGGTATTTTAGTATCACATACATATATACCTTTAAAGGTTTAGTTTCCTTTTGTCTTCCTTTTTCCTTTTTCCGGACCATATCTTTATCATTTGCATAGTTTCTAGCATGCTTGGAAGCACTGTTTTTGTGAGCAAACGTATTGATTTATCTTGCTTGGTTTCCTTAAAAGTTACTTTCTGTTCTCTCTCACTATATCACTTGCTTATTGGCAATACCGCAACAGGCAAATGGTCAGATAAATGTGATTTTTTCTCATTTGGTGTTCTGCTGCTGAGTTTAATAAGCAAAAGAGTAGACACAAAAGGAGATGATGATACTCATTGTTTTTGAATGGGCCAAAGGTGAGTTCATACAGAGAAAATCAACAATGGGTTCGAGTACTTCATTCGTACACCAAAACCTTGAGTCTGGACCTTTTTTTATTTATTCTAGTGAAAGAATCAAAGTCACAAAGCTAGCAATGCAATGTGTGAAAAATGATCCTCAGAAGTGCCCGACCATGAAGCAAGTTGTCAAGTATTTAGGGAATTTGCATGCTGTTCAGCTTCATGCTTCCAATTTCGCCATTGATCAGGCACTTCCTGTTCTTATTTATAATGCTAAGCAACAGCCAGATCAGTATTCAGGTACATGATATTAGCTATCAATTATTTTCTGTATACAATAATATTTATTCTGTATTCTCCTCCTTTTCTGCATGGTCGGGACTTGTTAAATAAATCCAAATAACAGGAGCCCTAAACTTTTGCCAGATAAGATGATGAATCATGGTTTATTCGTTAGTATATAGCATCTTCCATGAAATGTTATTCATAGGGATTTGGGAATCATGTTTAAAGGCTGTACACATGAGAATTGATCATTTAGCAGTATATTTCTTGTCCATGAAACTTATCTTGGTTATGTAAGCTAACCCGCTAAGATGCTGCTGTGACTTTGATGAATAGGATATTTGAGAGCAATGCTTAAGGGATGTGATTTTCAAATCTTATATTGGAATTTGAATAAACACCATGGAAAATTCTATGCATAGATGTGCAGCCCAATTTTAAAGCTGTTCTGGGAACATCTTTCCAAATCAATTCGCTGCGAGGACCAGTTATACAAAGTTTATAGAAATATTTTTGATTGTGGTCAAGCAGGTGAGAAGGTATTCTTAGCAAACTATCTTTTTACTTGTCATTTAATTTGCATATTCTATTCCATTCAAGTATATTTTTCCCACACCCTTTATACCTTATTTCTATTTAAATGTCCCTAGGGAAAGGTTCTTCAGGACAAGATCACAATTTGCTACAGGTATTTTCTTACGAAGAGTTGAGTATGTTCACCAAAGGATTTGATGAAGAAAACTTCATTGATGACTTTCAATTTGGAAGAGTGTTTCGTGGAAGGATTGAAGGAAGCCCGGTGACAGTGAAGGTTTGGGAATTTCAATGCTGGTATAAGGTTGAGCCGGGCCATAATGAAGGCAGGTTGATGGTATGTTGCCAAATATGATATAGTTTTGTTCATTGATTGCAAATTGAAATTTAAAGTTCATTTTTTGGTTAGCTAATTTGGATTTTGTCTTGTAGGATGAAATTGTTTTGCTTCAGCATGCTAAACTGGTCTCTCATCCAAACTTGGTAAAGTTGATAGGGTACTGCTATGAAGGGGAGAATCTTGGTGTTATTTATGACCTTAACCCATTGGATACTGTATATAACCTCGTAGCGAAAGGTACTCGTTCTTTTTCTTTAAATTAGTTGTTCTTGTATGAAAATATGGTTTGGGTTTGTTTGAAGCTAAAAAAGGTATACGTTGCTTGGTTGAGTTCAATGTGCCCCCTCTCTTGATCTTCTATTTCAAGGCCCCTTTTTCCTTCATAACTGAGTGTGAAGAGTTATGTAGTCCATTCGTTACTTGCTGCTTGTTTAGGAACAATTGATGAACTGCACCACATAAAACGCAATTCATGCTGAGGCACCTCTTACATTAGTGCTTTGAGTTAGAACAGTGCCTTGGAGACTGTTATATCACTCCATTTTTCTTGGAAATTTGGATGAGTGAATTAATATTTTGAACTGTAGTTAGGATATTTTTTGCTGTCATCCAAGGTGGCATATCTAACTTACTTTAAGCTGCTGCCATTTGTTTTCCAATTTTAGGGAGTTTTACTTGGTTACAGAGAACTAAGGTTGCTTTTGGACTGGCCTGCCTCCTAAATTTCTACATGCTGGTGATTCACAATATCTGCCCTACCTAGTGCGCAACATAAGTGCATCTCATATAATGCTTGATCAGGTTGGTCTCCTTGTCTTTTACCAGATCTTGTTTCCTCTTTGCATCTATGAGTCAGTGAATACTCTTAACGTGCTCTTGTAACATACGATGCTTTGATATATAAACAGGACTTCAACCCAAAACTATTTGATTTCGGGACGTTTTCTGGCGGAATCCTACCTTACCGTGGACACGAAAAATACCCATGCGTGCATGGATGCAATGGTTACATGGAAGACCTTTACTATGAAATGCCAGGTAACTTGCACTTCTGTCTGTTATGTAGAATATGTTACTTGCTTGGTTACATGTTGCACACTCTCACACACTTGGTAACATGTTTGCAATATTGTTGCATGTTCATTTGTTAATCCTTGAACACGAGCTGACCATGCTGTACGCTTTCCTGCTTCTTCCCATTCTGGTTCTCTGAAGATGCTGCATGTATTTGCTGGAGTCGTTATAGAAGTCCAATAATAACTTTTAGAACCCTTGGCATGCAGGACTAGAAGAAGATGATGTGTTTGCATATGGTTTGGTGCATTTGAACCTGATATCCAAAAGATTTTGTTCAGAAGTAGACATTATAACTAATGACATGCCTCTTGATTTTAACCCGTATGGGAATTAAAAAAAAAAAAAAAAGTCAAATAAATGGGCACCGCCCAAGAAAAGAAAAAAAAAGAAAAAAAGAAAACAAAAGTGAAACAGTGTACGCAGATGGACAGCCTGTCCATTTGCGTGATTGATGCTTAGGAAGCCTATAAATTAGCCTCCACAGCTCATTTCGTTTTATCCTAAAATCTCGGAGAGTATCAATGGTTAGTTAAATATAGAAAAAGTTTTTTCTTATTTTTTGTAAAATAGAGAGAAGGTTTATAACTCGTATTATTTTTTATAGTGAAAATTCTTCTATTCTTATCGGTGGGTTTTTCTTCGTTAAATTTGTGTGTTCAGTTTTTTTTTTTTTTTTTATCTCAAATTTATTAACTGTGATCGTGTTCTAATCCAGTCAGTTTTTCAGCATCTTACACCAAAAATCCGCAAGCATGGCCTAAATAAAAACCATAAACATGTTAAGTTTAAAAGCAGTGCCTATTGCAGTGAGCCCCTGACAGAGGGAGTTCTCTAATCTTAGGCCTACATGTCACCATTAGGTATCGGTGAATACATTACTGCAATTAGCTAATTTTCTCTAGCTGAAAGCAAGGATAGACAAGAATATCATCACATGACAGATGCTAGATATTAACATATATTTAAAGTCCAACATTCAACGGCATCCATTTAGCCGTTTTAACAGTTATCTTTGCAGAAACATGAGAAATGGAAAATGCAAGTTCAGAATAGGCAAGGGAAAATGGCATTAAAGATGTACAACCTATCATCCCATCCATGCTTGTGTATGATAGACCATACAAGACTCTAAAAATGACTGAGTGGATGAAGGAACATGAAAAGTGTCCAATGACTTCGAAAGAATTGAATGAGGAGCCGTATTAGGTGAAAATCTCATGTACGGTTTTATAGAGTGGCAGTATGGGTGACTTATCTGTCAAACTTTTCCACTATAACCCCCCAAAAATCAAACTCTACCTTAAGTATAAACTGTACACCAAGATGAGCTCATGATCTGCCAAATCTGCAAGAAATGATATTCTCTACCTCAGGCAAGATGACATTTCTAAAGTGCTTCGGTGCTTGCATAAACTAAAAGCAGGCAAGATAACACTCTAACGTGCATTCATCCATTTGCTCACTAATGCTAACTACAGGATTTTCATACAAAAACCTAACTTCTTGTTTGCCGAGCATCATCAGTGGTTGAACGTGTGCATTAAGAGCAAATATAATGAACATAAGCATGGACTAAAAACAAGAATTAAACTGAAGTTCATTCAACAACCTGAAAAAGGGAATTTAGCTTTCAATCCATTCAGTGCTGGATCAAGCTTATAGGTACAAAACAGAGCAGAAATATAAAACTGTAACAATGGCAACTTTTGCAGGGTGTTCAAATTCTCTGGGCTTGAGTGGTCACCAGATGGCCCCTTTTCTGTCCCATCACAACCATCGGTGGTGGAGTTATTAGACCAGCTCTCATTAGAATGCCACGCACGGTGTCTCTAGGTTGAGCACCAACCGATAACCAATACCTGCAGAAGCAAGTAGAAGAGTAACTCAAAAGCAACAAAAACAAGATTACAGAGCCTCCAAATCATTTAATCAACCAGGCAAATAGATGCGCCTATCCGAGAGTTAACATTCACCTTTCTCATTGTGAAGATATCTCTTACATGAAATAAATGTATAGCATGCATATTTATCTCTTTTGTGGTATCATGTTTTAAGTAAATCAAAACTCAAAACACTTTATCTTGCCAAAATCTCCAGGATTATAAAATCAGGTTCACCTTAGACCACAGAATCTCCTTTTATCTTACTCATTGTGAAGATGTCTTCCCACTTTATTATTAAGATATGTAATCTCATTTTATCTTGCATTGTATTAAGGTTCTCATTAACCTCAGTAACCTAAATTCTAGTTGAATTTTTATAAGCCCACGTGAAAGAACACAACAAAGAATGCTTGAAGATTGACGAACGAAAGCATATTTCTGATCAACAAAAGGCCACAATATAATTATAATTAGACTTTGAGAACCCAAAGTTTAGTTAGATCAAGTACCTGAAAATGACGAATCGCTAGCAATGTGGTAAGAGATCTGGAGTAGGCTTGAAATTAATGGCTGAACCTTCCACTGACTGGCCAGTCAAAATTAAAATCTGAAAAAAAAACAAAGGAAATATACTGGCATCAAAATCTTTTTAGCTAAGAATGATTATAGGTATATCAAAAATACAATCACAACTGTCATAATATTATCTTTTAGTGTTGTTGATCAAAATATTGTAAGGAAGGCTGTCGAACAAAACCCAGAAAATATAAAGTAAAAGATCCAAAGCACAATTAAAAAAGAATAATTGAAAAATAGAAGTAGCAGTGAGTTGAGTTTTTGAAATTGAAGTTAGTGAAACTTTGTAAGAAATAGAAAGGAAACCTACCAGCAATGGTTAATGGAAGAGCATCAAAGTTCTAGGTAGATTTTCATCAAAGTGAAGATATACCCCGCAACTTTTCACCTTGCAAAGCTTCTCCGTCCTCATTGGATCGAAAAATTTCACTGTTGGGTAGAATTCAAATGTAACTTCTTTGCCAGAATATTTACTGAGTTCATTCTCATTGCCAGAATAGTTACTGAATTGATCTCCAATGCCAAAATAGTTAGTGAATAGAGATACTATGTCGTCGTACTTTAAGGCCCTGTGATCTGAGTAATATGAAGTTGTGAAATTTCCACATGTCTGCACGTCACCGAGGACCTCATGCTCACCGTTTTTCGTTTTGACAAGGCAACCAAATTTTATGGAAACATTACCTTTGATGAAATTGCAAATCAAATCATCTGCGGGAATTAGAAAGGCGAAGCAGAAAGCAATTCCCCTGAGCTGTTGACAGTTTGAGGGAAACCGTACGGTTACGGAAGACCCCACTCCTTGATCTCTAAACCATTCTGGAATTTCATTCCCCGGTAAAATCATTTCAATATTTCGCTTCTCTGGAGACTGTAACACAAAAAGCATATTTTTACAATTTCAAAAATACGATCCACCAAGAAAGAGAGAAATAGGGAGGGAGAGGATATTTAAGAGAGAGACCTGAAATTTCAAATGCATATCTGCTAGCAGTGCTTTCTGATCCAATTTGAAGCAATTTGAAAAATCCAAACGAATCCAGCCACTCCTTAAATTCACAGTTGATATGGTTTCTAGTGATGCACAGTCACCTGCTCTTAGCAACGTTAGTGAAGGGGGAAGCTCTGGTAGCTCTCTAATAGGCGTTCCTTTCATAAACAATACTTCAAGTCTGGTGAGAAACTGGATTGAGGAGGGCACCTCTTCTATAGCTGTCCCACTTAGATCTAAATATTCTATATCCCTTAAACCCTCTGGAAACTTGGAAATTTTTGAGCAACCACGTAGATCAAGATGTTCCAACGTACTAGTAATTGATCCTGGAACTTCTCTCACTGAAGTTTCATTTAAATATAAATATTTCATACTTCCTAAAATGATCTCTGGAACCTCGATTAAACTTTTACAACCACGTAGACTTCAAAACTCTAAATTGTTGGCCTTTGATAGATCTGGCAATTCCGTCAAACATTCACAGCAACTGAGGTCGCAATTTATTAAATTTACAAGATCCTGTCATAATTAAGAAAAAGGCATAATTAGACAATTAGCTTCTTCGACTTTTCTATTTCTCCTACACAGTCACGTTTGCAGAAATTTAATCATATTTACCTGTTCTCCTCTCCAAAGTTTTTCAACCTTACTCCAAGAAAAATCAAGCTCAACGAGGTTTTCAGCACAAAAATTTTGTGGCAAAGATTTCGAAGGGAATCCATCCCAACGTAGATATCTCAGCTCATCAGAAAGATATTTGAGACCACTAGAAGGAAGGTGCAATCTAGTGAAGGGATAGCCACCATAGAATTCAAGAAATCTAAGACGATCCATCTTAGCAAAAGCATCAGATTCCAAGTGCATCTCTCTTGATAATTTGGATGTGTCAAAAGATATGCCTTCAATTCGGTCACTTCCCTAAAAATCAAGGATACAGAATAAAAAAATAAATAAATAATATAATTTTTCTTTAAAAAATGTGCTTGAAACTTGAAATTTTTAATAGATATAAAATTCCTTGGTAAATATGTTGGAGGAGAGAAGAAAAAAATAGTTAAAGAGTTTAGCTTTTAACCTTCTTTTTCTTCAGTACATGAACAACATCATCAGGATCACACAACCTGCTACGTTTGCCAGGGTTCTTAGATTCTGCACGAACAATGCTCAATGCCATTTCTTGTAGTAAATCATGCATTCCTAGGTTGCTGGAAGAAGCTGTTATGAGGCACTTATCGGTGAGGGTGCTTATATCGTATAGTGCAGACGGATAACAGCCTTCTAATACTCTTGTAGCACGGTGTCGCTCCCATCCTCTGTAAAAACATGCTATATCAAGAAATATAGATTGCTGATCATGATCAACTCCATCATAGCTAATCCTTAGTACATTTTCAATTTGAGGGTTTAAAGCTAATTTATTCAATGCGCTATGCCATTCTCCATTACTTTTACCAAACAAAGCCGAACCCAAAACAATAAGAGCTAATGGGTTGCCTTGTGCAAAATTTACTGTCCTTTCCAACAGATTTTCATGATCAATTGTTGGATTTCTATTCTTGAAAGCTTTCATGCTAAAAAGTTGAAAAGCTTCTCCACGGTTCAGTCCCTGAACCTCGGATATGCACTCTTCACCAACCATTTCCTTAAGCAATTGCTTATCTCTACTTGTTACCAGAATCTTACTTCCTGGACCAAATGAAGATTGATGTTCAGATATCAATTCTTTCCATTCTTGCAATTGCATTGAATTATCCACATCGTCAAGAACAATAAGAACCTTCATTCGGTGAAGTCTATTCCTTGTAAAAGAATGTTGGAAACTGAAAGGGCCTATATTCGGAATTTCTTGGCCTAATAGTTGCAAAAGAAAGCTTCTTTGCAGATCAACCATTGAACGGGTTTCTGATTTTTCCCTGAAGTTTGCAAAAAAAGTTCCTTCAAATTGAGTGTGAATATTGCTCCATACAGCTTTAGCAATCGTTGACTTCCCAATACCACCCATTCCCCATATTCCTACAAGGGAAACATCTTGCGATTCCATGTTTAACAAGGAATAAATTTTGGCAAGGCGTGCGTCAATTCCAACTAGATCCATAGTGTGACTTGAGGACATCTTTGACAATTTATTCAAAATATCTCCCACAATTTTTTGGACAAATTCAGACTGGGACCTGATAAATTAACACGAAGACATAGTATTTGTTAGTACGTATGATATTGTTCTGGCCTTTTTGCTATATTTAGGTTCGGCATCCGTTCACCTGAGGACTATATTTTCTCTTGGGTCTCCAAAGGTGTACCCATTTGAGTTTAAGAGATAGTAATAATGCTACAATTAATCAATCCTTGACATTTGAAACTTCATGTAATTGAAGTATATGAAAGAAAGTAGATGTATTAAGAATATCACAAACTTATCTCAAAGAACATAATTAAGAGAGCTTACTCAGACTTCGTTAATCCCCACCCTGATAGACTGGCCGCATCCTTTAAAGCACTTCTGAAGCTCTGCACTTTGTCCATGGCCAAAGCTTTCTCCTTTATTAGTCTAGCAAATGCATCTCCAAAGCGTCCTGTTTGATTTCTAACATGAGATGGATCTACTGAGTAGAAAACCGGAACAACTCTCTGTCCGTTATCGTTTCTGCATTCAAGCATCTGTACAAGCTCCTCTAAGCACCATTTTGAAGATGCATAATTTTCAGAAAAAATAATCACAGAAAGCTTGGACTCTTTAATTGTTTTTGAAAGTGATGATGAAATTTCATCTCCTCTCACAAGATCATTATCTATGAACGTTGGGATTTTTTTATTCTGATTCAAAGCATGATAGAGGTGGCTGGTAAAACCACAACGAGTGTCTTCTCCTCTGAAACTAAGGAAGACATCATATTTCTTGGGAGGGATAGGGGTTGAAGTCGAAGAAGAAGCCATGAGGAAAAAAAATAATAGAGGGTTTTGAAGGCTAGTTGAAGAAAGAGATCAAAGGGAAGAAACTCAAAGACTACTTTTAAGTCTTTAGCTTTGGCATATATGAATAATGAGGTTTCAGATCTACGTATTATATTGGCACATATCAATGAAATTTCGCATCACTTTCTTGGACATTTCACGCAATCTTTCTTTGGGACATCCTTTATGCTTTGAATACCAAGAAAAAGTAGAACTGGAGAGATGAACTCAAGTCTTCTACTATATTTTCACAAAGATCTCAAGTCTTCTGTTTTTTCCACCAAGTCGTCATCCCAAGTCTTTGCTTTTATGGAAGTTGACTTTTATTGGCTTCTTATATATATATGGCTAAAATCCGGTAATTTCATTGCTGGATTTTTACCATCCCTCGTGTACTTATACCATATGTCGGTAACAAAAGAAAAAGGTAATTGATCAATCAAATTTCATGCTTCTTCACCAATCACCCTCCACCGTACCAAAGGAACTCAAAAGGGCTCCCATGAATCTCAAATAACAAGTAATTTAAAATTTGTAGCTAAGACTAAAAAAAGTCTGTAGCTTTGGCATATATGGATAATGAGGTACAGATCTAAGTATTATCTTGTCACATATTAAGGGAAATTCGTGTCACTTTCTTAGACACGTATTAAAGAAATTTTGCATCACTTTCTTGGATATTTCGAACAATCTTGCTTTGCCCAATAAAAGGAAAAAAAATAAGGAAACAAAAGCGAAGCGGCGTACGCGGATGGACAGTCTGTCCATCAGCGTGATTGATGCTTGGGAGGTCTATCCCAGCTCAGTTCATTTCATCCCTAAATATCAAAGATATCTCTATTGCATCAATGGTTAGTTAAATGTAAAAAATATTTTCTTCTATTTCTTGTAAAATAGAAAGAACATTTGTAACTCCTATTATTTTTTATAGTGGAAATTCTTCTATTTTTGTTCATGGTTTTTACCGTCATTTGTTCTAGTATTTTTCATGTTAAATCTATGTGTTCAATTTCTTCTTTATTTTTTCAAATTTATTAGTTTTGATCGTGCTCTAATTCGATCAGTTTCTCAACAAGTGATACAAGAGTTTTGGTTTAAAGAAGTCTTGTAGCGAGTACAAATACGAGCCTGATTTAAGTGTATATATCTACTGATCGTATACTCTTTGATTGCCACACTAAAAAATAAATCTTTTTCATCAAAAATTAAGTTAGATTACTATTCAGTTTTAGAAGGTATTTGATACTATTTATGTGTATCAAAACTATTCATATGTACAACACTATTTGCGTAAAATCGGGAGAGCTCAAAAAATTACTCGTTTATGTGTATAGTTACTATTCATACATACGATAATATTCACATAAAATAATAGGAGCTGAAAACAATACTATTTAAATATATAGATACTATTCATACATATGATACTATTTATACGTATGGTACAATTCACATAAAATAGTGGAAGCACAAAGCAATTCGTGATAGAAGCAATGACAATAAAATTTGAGACTCGAAAAATTCAATGAGAGTAATTTCTTACTCGTGAAAGTTGAAAATGAAAGCTATCATAAGAAAATATAATTGCCTAGCAAGTATGAGTGAAAGGTCGGCGAAATTTATAGATGAGAATAAGTGGAATCATATGGATGAGAATGCTAATGCAAATCTTCATCCGGCATTAGCAAATGTAGTGTTGTCAAACATAAAGGAGAAGAAAGCAACAAAAAAGATGCGAGATCATCTTACTAAGTTGTACAAGGCCAAATTACTTCACAACAAAATTTTTCTTAAGAAAAAATTTTATAGTCTCCGAATGATTGAATCTACTTCGATGACACTATAAGAAATTCACTAAATAGCAATGAAAATTAAACAATGCTAAATATGGTGTAAAAAACTTCTCGGATTTTTAGTTACGGATTAGAGACGAATTAGCTATAAAAAATAGCAACAATATATTAATATTGTAGCTTTTTTTTTTTTTTTTGTCCTGGCAATTGCTAAGCTGTCGCTATTCCCATCGCTAAACGTTGAAAATTTGGGCAACTTTTGGAAATTCAAAGGCGCACCAAACATGGCTATTTAACGATGGACACTAATTTAGTGACGGATTAATGACGGGTTTGTTTTCATCGCTAATCTAGGTTTCTTTAAAACCCAGCGATTCCCCTCTCCTCTTATTTTCCCCAATTTCTCTTCCTCCATAAGGCTGCCGCCCTCCTCCAACCCCTCAAATCCTTCACAAAACTCCTCAAATCCATCCCCCATCAATCTACAACCTCTTCAAACTCATTTCTCTAAAAAAAAAAAAAAAAAAAAAAAACCTAATGTTTTTTCTTCATTTCGGCGAATTTCACCCAAATTAAGTTAGTTTTTTATTTTTTAATTAATGTTATTAATTTGTTGTAATTGATATGTTAATTTTAAGTATAATTTCTTGATCTATAATTGTGTGTATATTTAATTTTTAGTTTGTTGATTTTTTTTTGTTAAATATTTATTAATTTTTGTTAATTTGTTAGTTTAATTTGTTGAATTATGGAAGACCATTACTATGAAATGCTTCTATGTGGTGGGAGAACTTGAAGACCATCTCGGGAGGTAACTTGCACTTCTGTCTGTTATGTAGAATACGTTACTTACTTGGTTACATGTTTCACACTCTCACACACTTGGTAACATGCTTGCAATATTGTTGCATGTTCATTTGTTAATCCTTGAACACAAGCTGACCATTCTGTACGCTTTCCTGCTTCTTCCCATTCTTGTTCTCTGAAGATGCTACATGTATATACTGGAGTCTTTATAGAAGTACAATAATAACTTTTAGAACCCTTGGCATGCAGGACTAGAAGAAGGTGATTTGTTTGCATATGGTTTGGTGCTTTTGAACCTGATATCCAAACGAATTTGTTCAGAACTAGACATTATAACTGATGACATGCCCCTTGTTTACAAGTGGGCCAGAAGTGAGTATGAAGCACAAATGTCAGCGGAAGGCTCTGCCCAATCTAAGTCATTTTCACTAGTGCACCATTGGCTCAAGGAAGAGGATGATTTTTATTCCAATATACCCTGCCAATTTAGCAACGTGACCTTGCATTTTTTCTTGTTCAGGTGCGTTCTTTTGTGTTTTCTTCTATACGTGATTATGCTTCTGTAACTGACAGCAATACGGCAGTCTCCATTTAACTCATTTATTGGGTTATTCATTGAATTAGGCCCATTCTGATACTTCACCCATCTCATTATAAGGCCTATCTGTTCAAATCTCCTCACCCAAAAGCCTTTGTTATAGCCCGTGCCAGATAGAAAACGCATCTTTACAATTTGAATTAAAAAATTATAGAGTTGATTTAACCCCTTTAATTTTTTAAAACATTAACTCAAATTCTTTGTTGTTGTTTGTAACTGATTCTACATTAATCTTGTCCACGCTGGCCATCACTCTCTCTAGAATGACAGATGCATAATCTTGGCCAAACACATCAGCAGATTTTCCACTTCATCTGCCATGACATCGTCTTCTTCATGGTGAATTCCAGGAATTGCAATAGAAAAAAATGGTGTTGAAATCCAGAAGATCTGACTGCATAGATTTGTGAATTATGATAACATGTCTGTTTTCTTCTATCTCTAAATTTACTTCATCATCCTGTTTGTATGTTTTATGGAAATCAGAACTCTAGCTTTCTCAATATTCATTGCATAAGCTGCGTCCTTGTCAAAACCAACAACTCTTCCATAAGGACTTAAAATCAAGCTGATGCAGTCCTTGTTCCAACTAGCTAAAGGCAAACCAGATAATTCTATCCAACAGAAACATTCATGAGGAATATCATATTAAATTTGGCACAACTCTGATACTACTTTGTTGGAATTTCTCAGCACAAAATATTTGAGGAGAAAAAATGTCACATAACACTATTTTATTAATTATAAATACTTATACATCACTTACAACTCTTTGAACATAGAATGATTATTTTTAATGCAAAAGATCCACTAAACATGACAAGTGCAGAGCATACTTTGAATCATTCTAGTGTTTTATTCCTATCACATTTGTACATAATACTCTCACTACCCACTCTAGCTCACACCACTCAAACAAAAGAAATCTTCTCTTGTTTCCTAACTAGTTTTCTATAGCTAATTGTTTGTTTCTCAAATTCTTACTTGAACCAAATTCATGGAAGAGGTATTTATATTAGTTGAAAATTAATCATAACCACACATTTAGTCTACATCATTAATGAGGTTAGGAGAAAGTTAAGAAAAATCTAGAGATGATATATTTTGTAGGGAGAGAAAAGAAAAATCTAGAAATAATATATTTTATAGAGAGAAAAAAGAGAAATCTAGAACTAATATATTCTAGAATATGGGTTTGGATTTAGGCTACATTTGGGCTTTTGGTTAATTTTGAGATTAGGATAATTTGGGTTAAATTAGTGATGATTCTTAATACTTTCAAAGAACAATTTTAATGTTTGACCGGCATCCTCTAAACATCATAACGTTGTATCAATAGATTTGAAGGTAATTAGGGCTTATGAACCTCCAAGGAATCGCAATTGAAAAGGGTCCAGGCCAATACCCTTCAAATCAGATTGTAAGCAGCCATAGTCTACACTTCCTGATATAATGGCCACCATACTTCTCCTCAGCCACTCTAAATCTGCCTCATCCATCACGTAAAAAACTGTTTTCCTCTTTGCATCAGAGTTCTCACTTCTTACTTCCACATGACTTCCTACTTCTGCATAAGTTTGATCATCAGTAGCTTTGCCGTATTCAAACCTCTGCAATATCACTATTTTCTTCATCTGAGGCACGTGCTTCACATTCCCAAACTTCTTTTTTTAAAAGCATGACGAGTTAACTATTAATTTGTAGGAGACAAACCATATTTCATTCAAACTATTCAGCAAGATGTCTGTCTGTAATTCAGATTCCAGGTGAACAAAGCCAAAACGTCTTCCTAGCTTGATAGTTTTCCTTGCAATAAACAAATTCAGAACCTTACCATAATCTGAAAAACTTCCCTTAAAGATCTTGCACCAATCCACTGAGGAAACCGCTTGAAATAAAGGTTATGTGCTGAAGTCTGTGATTCTTGGCCAAATTGGGAAAAGGAGGCTGTAAAGTTTATTGGTACAGAGGTATGGAAGGGGTTAAGATAAGCGTGATTACTAGGTTTAGGGTTCTATGGTAGATTATGATTCTTTGGTAGAGAAGGGGGTTTCTTTGGTAGTGGGAGGTTTTTTGGTGGGGGGAATGAGATGGGTTTTTTGGAGAGCATTCTATTTTTTTTTTGTTGCATTCTTGAATTGTATTTAGAGCTTCCAACAAACACGAGGGTGGATTATCTTTTTTGAAAGCTCTTTTAAGTAATATGGCCATACGATTTAAATCATACTTGGATGTCTGCAACATAAGGAGTCATCCATTTGGCCGTTTTAACAGTTATCTTTGCAGTGACATGAGAAATGGAAAATGCAAGTTCAGAAAGGCAAGGAAAATGGCAATTAAAGACGTACAACCTATCATGCCCATCATTGCTTATGTATAAATATGCCATAAAAGAGTCTGAAAATAAGCTGTACACCAAGATGATCTCATGATCTGCCAAATGTGAAAGAAACGACATTCTCTGCCTTATGAGTGGGAACTGGCTAGGAGGATGTGCTTCTGTGTGCTTCACTGCTTGTGTAAACTAAAAGCAGGAAAGATAACATCTTTAAAGTGAATTAATCCATTTTCTCACTAATGCGCTTCTCTTGCGAAACCCTAACAAACGAAAATAAACGGGAATACACATCTTGTTTGCGTAGAGCATCATGAGTTGTTGAAGGTATGCCTTAAGAGCACATATAATGAAACCAAGTATGAACTAAAAACAAGGATTAAACTCAAGTTCATTCAACAACATGAAAAAGGGAATTTAGCTTTTAACCCATTCAGTGTTGGATCAAGCTTACAGATACAAAACAGAGCAGAAATATAAATCTGTAGCAATGGCAACTTTTATTGGGTGATTGACTTCTTTGGGTTCGAGGCATCACCAGATGGTCCTTTTTTCTGTCCCATCACAAGCATCGGTGGTGGGGTTATTAGACCAGCTCTCATAAGCATGCAACGCACGGTATCTTTACGTTGATCACCAGCTCTCATAAGCATCCAATTACTGCAAAAGCAAGTAGAAGAGTAACTCAAAAGCAACAAAAACAAGATTACAGACCACCAACTCATAAGCATCCAATTACTGCAAAAGCAAGTAGAAGAGTAACTCAAAAGCAACAAAAACAAGATTACAGACCACCAACTCATTTAATCAACCAGGCACAGACATAGCTATCCAGGAGCCTCATTTGATCAACCAGGCACATAGACATAGCTATCCAAGAGCTTTATGCATAGTAAAAACAGATCCATCAGTTTTCTCCTTTAATTCAGAATCGACAAAAGTTAACATTCACTTTTCTCATTGTGAAGATATCTCCTACATGAAATAAATATATAGCATGCATATTGATCTCTAACGTGGTGTCATGTTTTTAGTAAATTAAAAATCAAAACGTAAATTAAAAATTCTAACAGGAATAGAAGATCATTTGATTATCTAGCAATGACTTAAAAAGTTATCTGGAAGCTTACCTTTAAAAAAATCATATGCTGATATATTACAATATGTCCTTGGCAGCAAAGAGGAGATTGAGTAAGCAGTCTGAGCAGTGATCCTGACAGATTTATCTCCTCATGCACGGTGCCATGATCGAGCACAATGTTTCTAAGAAAAGGAAATCGCTCCGTCTCTACTTATTCCACTTTAGATGTCATATTATCATATCTGACAATGCCTCATATTATTCAGAGCAACAGAACGTGGATCTGGGAAAGCGAGTTTTAAGGCTGTTTCGGTGTGCCAAACTTATGAGTTTAATGTTTTCTTCGTTTAACATAAAGTTGAGAAGATGTCTCCCACTTTGTTATTATGATATGTGATCTCATTTTATCTTGCATGGTATTAAGGTTCACATTAAGCCCTGTAACCTAAATTCTAGTTGAATTTATATAAGCCCACATGAAAGAACACAACAAAGAATGCTTGAAGATTTCTGAACGAAAGCAATTAGAATTAGAATTTGAGAACCCAAAAGTTCAGTTAGATCAAATACCTGAAAATGAGGAATCACTTGCAATGTGGTAAGAGATCTGGAGTGGAGTGGACTTGAAATTAATGGCTGAACCTTCCACTGACTAGTCAGTCAAAATTAAAATCTGAAAAAACCAAAGGAAATACACTGGCATCAAAATCTTTTCAGCTAACATGATTATAGCTATATCAAAAATACAATCACAACTGTCATAATATTATCTTTTAGTGTTATTGGATCAAAATATTGTAAGGAAGGAAACCTACCAGCAATTAAAGAAATATAAAGAATAATTGAGTAGCAGTGAGTTGAGTTTTTGAAATTGAAGTTAGTGGAACTTTTGAAGAAATAGAAAGGAAACCTACCAGCAATAGTGAATAGAAGAGCATCAAAGATAATCATTCGTAATCACTCTCATCATCAACTGAGTCCTCTTCACTCAAATACTCATCAGAGTGCTTCTTGCTAGGTAGATTTTCATCAAAGTGAAGATATACCCCACACCTTTTCACCTTGCAAAGCTTTTTGATCTCACCCAGTTGCTCCTCCGTCCTCACCGGATCGTGATATTCCGATACTCTTGGGTAGAATTCAAATGTAACTTCTTTGCCAGAATATTTACTGAATCGATTTTCCGATACTATGGCCTCGTACTTTAAGAACTTGTGATCTGAGTAAAATGGAATTGTGATATATCCATTTGGCAGGTCAGCGAGGGCCTCCTTATGCTCGCCGTTTTTAGTTTTGACACGGCAACCAAATTTTATGGGAGCATGTTCACCTTTGATGAAATTGTAAATCAAATCATGTGAGGGAATTAGAAAGGCGAAGCAGAAAGCAATTCCCTTGAGCTGTTGACAGTTCAAGGGAAACCGTATGGTTACAGAAGACCCCACTCCTTGATCCCTAAACCATTCTGGAATTTCACTCCCCGGGAAAATCATTTCAATATATCGCATCTTTGCAGACTGTAACACAAAAAGCATATTTTTACAATTTCAAAAATACGATCAACCAAGAAAGAGAGAAATAGGGAGGGAGATACCTGAATTTTCAAATGCATATCTGCTGACAGTGCTTTCTGATCCAATTTGAAGCAATTTGAAAAATCCAAACTAATTGAGCCACTCCTTAAATTGACGGTTTCTTGTGATGCACAGTCACGTGCTCTTAGTAAGTATAGTGAAGGGGGAGCTCTGGTAGCTCTCTAATAGGCGTTCCATCTATATCCAGAGATTCCAAAGATATGAGATACTTAAATGATGAGGGCAGCTGTTTAATACCAGTTTTACCCAAATCAAGAGTATCTAAAGATTTTATAGGCCCCGTAGTTTCTGGGAAGCTCTCTAGTTTTGAGCAACCCCTCATATACAATGTGTCCAGTCTGGTGAGAAACTGGATTGAGGAGGGCACCTCTTCTATAGCTGTCCCACTTAGATCTAATTCTTCTATATCCCGTAAACCCTCTGGAAACTTGGAAATATTTGAGCAACCCCCCATAATCAATGTTTCCAACGTACTAGTAATTGATCCAGCCACATCTCTTACTGAAGTTCCACTTACTGATAAGGATTTCATATTTTGTGAAATGACCTCTGGACACTTACTGATACCGAGACACTTAGTCATACTCAATTCGCTGAGCACCGTTGAATCAAACCTAGTTGGGAGACTTCTAAGATTGTAGCATTCATTGAGATAGAGTGTTTCCAGCTTCTCAAGACATTGAAAGGAAGACGGAACCTCTGTTAAACTTTGACAGCCTTCAAGATCTAAAAACTCTAAATTGTTGGCCTTTGATAGATCTGGCAATTCCGTCAAGCATTCACACCCACTGAGTTCGATTCTTCTTAAATTTACAAGATCCTGTCATAAGGAAAAGTATAATTAGACAATTGGCGTCTTCGACTTTTCTATTTCTCCTACATAGACACGTTTGCAGAAATTAAATCATATTTACCTGTACTCCTCTCCAAAGTTTTTCAACCTTACTCCAAGAAAAATCAAGCTCAACGAGGTTTTCAGCACAAAAATTTTGTGGCAAAGATTTCGAAGGAAATCCATCCCAACGTAGATATCTCAACTCATCAGAAAGACAATCGAGACCACTAGAAGGAAGGTGCAATCTAGTGAAGGGATAGCCATCAAAGATTTGGAGAAATCTAAGACGACACATCTCAGCAAAAGCATCAGATTCCAAGTGCGTCTCTCTCGATAATTTGGATGTGTCAAGAGATATGCCTTCAATTTGCTCACTTCCCTAAAAATCAAGGATACATAATAAAAAATAAATAAATAATACAATTGTTTTTTCAAAGATCTGCTTGAAACATCAAATTTTTAATAGATATAAAATTCCTTGGTAAATATGTCGAAGGAGAGAAGAAAAAAATAGTTAATGAGTTTAGCTTTAACCTTCTTTTTCTTCAGTACATGAACAGCATCATTAGGATCACACAACCTGCTACGTTTGCCAAGGTTCTTAGATTCTGCACGAACAATGCTCAATGCCATTTCTTGTAGTAAAGCATGCATTCTTATCATGCTGTGAGAAACTGTTACGAGGCACTTATCAATGAGAGTGCTTATATTGAATAGCACAGAGTGACCATAACAGCCTTGCAATATTCTTGTAGCACGGTTTTGCTCCCATCCACTGTAGAAACATGCTATATCAAGAAATATAGATTGTTGTTCATGATCCAGTCCATCATAGCTAATCCTTAATACATTTTCAATTCGAGGGTTTAGAGCTAATTTATTCATTGCACTATTCCATTCACCATTGCTTTTGCCAAACAAAGCTGAACCCAAAACAATAAGAGCTAATGGGTTGCCTTCAGCAAGATTTACTGTCCTTCCCAACAAATTTTCATGATTAATTGTTGGATTTCTATTCTTGAAGGCTTTCATGCTAAAAAGTTGAAGAGATTCTTCACGATTCAATCTCTCAACCTCGTAAATGCACTCTTCACCAACAATTTCCTTAAGCAATTGCTTGTCTCTACTTGTTACCAGAATTTTACTTCCTGGGCCAAATGAAGATTGATGTTTCAAAATCAATTCTTGCCATTCTTGCAATTGCATTGAATTATCCACATCGTCAAGAACAATAAGAATCTTCATTCGGTGAAGTCTATCCCTTGTAAAAGACTGTCCGAAACTCAAAGGGCCCACGTTCAGAATTTCTTGGCCTAATAGTTGCGAAAGAAAGCTTCTTTCCAAATCAACCATGGAACATCTTTTTAATTCTTCCCTAAAGTTTGCAAAAAAAGTTCCGTCAAATTGAGTCTGAATTTTGCTCAACACAGCTTTAGCAATCGTTGTCTTCCCAATACCACCCATTCCCCATATTCCTACAAGGGAAACATCTTGCGATTCCTCGTTTAACAAGGACTCAATTTTGGCAAGGCGTGCGTCAATTCCAACTAGATCCTTAGTCTGACTTGAGGACATATTTGACAATTTCTTCAAAATATCCCCCACAATTTTCTGGACAAATTCAGACTCCAACCTGACAAATTAACATCAAGACATATAGTATTTGTTAATACTTAGGATATAGTTCTGATCTTTTTGCTATATTTAGGTTCGGCATCCGTTCACCTGTGGACTATATTTTCTCTTGGGTCTCCAAAGGTGTACCCGTTTGAGTTAAGAGAAAGTGATTTGAAGGAATTATGCAAGTTTTATACTTTGTCTCAAAGTAATAATAACGCTACAATTAATCAATCCTTGAAATTTGAAACTTCATGTAATCGAAGTATATGAAAAAAAAGTAGATGGATTGAGAATATCACAAACTTACAAAAATCTGAATCAATCATCATACCGACACTTATGCAGCAACAATAACCAACATGCATATGGTTGAAAAAACAAAGAAAAAGAACAGCCACTACCATTATCTCAAAGAAAATATTTAAGAGAGCTTACTCAAACTCCCCTAAGTGCCTCCCTGATAGACCGCCCGCATCCTTTAAAGTGCTTCTGAAGCTCTGCACTTTGTCCATGGCCAAAGCTTTCTCCTTTATTAGTCTATCAAATGCATCTCCAAAGCTTCCTGTTTGATTTCTAACTTGAGATGGAGCAACCGAGTAGAAAACCGGAACAACTATCTGTCCATATTTTTTTCTACATTCAAGAATCTGTACAAGCTCCTCTAAGCACCATTTTGAAGATGCATAATTTTCAGAAAAAATAATCACAGAAAGCTTGGACTCTTCAATTGTTTTCGAAAGTGATGATGAAATTTCATCTCCTCTCACAAGATCATTATCTATGAACGTTAGGATTTTTTTATTCCGATCCAAAGCATCATAGAGGTGGCTGGTAAAACCACGACGAGTGTCTTCTCCTCTGAAACTAAGGAAGACATCATATTTCTTTGGAGGGATAGGGGTTGAAGTCGAAGAAGAAGCCATGAGGAAGGGGAAAAAAAATAGAGGGTTTTGAAGGCTAGTTATACAAAGGGAAGAAACTCAAAGACTAGAAGCAACTAATTTAAAATCTGTAGCTAAGACTGCTTTCAAGTATGTAGCGTTGGCATGTATTAATAATGAGGTTTCAGATCTAAGTAATATATTGGCATATTAAGGAAATTTCGCATCACTTTCTTGGACACTTATTAAGGAATTTCGCATCACTTTCTTGGACATTTCGCACAATCTTTCTTTGGGACTTCCTTTACTCTGTGTTTGGATAGGGAGGAAAGTGAAGGAGAGGAAAGAAACGTTTACTTCGTTTGATTTGAAGAGAAAACCAATAAAAAAATATATATTAAATAAATTTCAGATTGATGGGACCCATTTTTCTCTTAAAATTGAGAGGAAACTGGGAGAAAAATCATAACAAAATTAGGAGAAAACCTATGAAATATGTATATTGTCATTTTTGCCCTCATCTCATCTGCCTCATCCGTCCCTCTCCATTTCTCAATTCCATCCAAAAAGTCGGAATCTTCGCTAAACCTAGTGTGAAAGGAACTGCATGTGTCCTCTCAAATTTATCTCTCTCTTCTGATTTGTTAGTTATTCGCCTGGGAGATCCTTCTCTTGCATTCTTTGCGAGATTGTACTTGTGATCTCCTAAAAGACCAAAAAAATCAATCAAATCCATCTTTTCTCTCACCACCGGCCACCATTGCAGCCCTCTCTCATTGCCGCCGAGGGCCATCCAGCCAAAAATCACTACACCCGAATCAGCGAGCTCGACCCGTTTCCTTCTTCTCCTTCACCCGAACACCCACTTGTCGTCACACCTACAGGCACTAACCACTGACACTGCCGTCTCTCCCACAGCCCCACTTGAACCCAACGTCAGCCCTTCTCTCTCAAAACAAAACCACAACAGCAGCAACCACTCCCACACACAACAAATAATTAAATTAATAACCCATTATTTCCCTTCTCCCACCCTCCTGCCTTTTCCTGTGTAGTGGGATGAGGTATTATACAAAAAATCTTAGCAAGAAACGTTCTTGGTTGGCTATGCCAAATGGAAAAGAAAAGAAGAGCAAAAAGAAAGAGGATAAAAAGTAATTAATCAAACCAAAAATCTCATCTTTTTTTTTTTTTAATTTAGAAGTGGAGATATTTTGTAATTTTACAGGTTATGTTAGTCGAAAAAAAAAAAAAAAACATCATTCGCAAGTTGTTCACGTGTCGTTTAATTATTAAACCATGTTAATAACAGTACAAAAATTATATCCAAAACTTAATTCTATGTCCCAAAAAAAGGTGAAAATTCTATTAAAAAAAAGAAGGAAAAATAGAGATTATTTATGAGAAGATATTGGATTCAAATTTGATATTTGAATAGCTTGTGAATTTTTAACTTTTATGCTCCATTGGAAGTTAGGACTCTTTTTACATATAATAATAATAAATAAATAAAAGTAAAAAAATTGTCACAGTCAACTCAAAAACCAAAATGACAAGATAGAATTATAAAGGTCTTATTGTTAATAAGGAATAAATAAAAATGTACAAACATCATGTATACTTGCAAACTATTAGATTAGTATCAATTTAATACTTAAATTATTTTTTTTAATTAATTTTACAAAATTAATACAGAATAAAAAAAGCTGAAAAAATGATGGATAAAAACAACTAACTTATTATATGCATAGATAATAATATATGTCATACATATTTAAATTAATTTTATGTTGATAATTAATCTAAATTGACTATTGAATTAATTAATTAGTAAAGAGTTATCGATTATTCTATGGAGACTATTTATTATCCATCTTGTCATTTCATATAGATGTTATATGCTAGATTTTTATTTTATTATAATTTATGTAATTTTAATGAAAAAATATTCATACAAATTTATTATAAGTATTTAAATATGAAAATGTAATCATATGGGTATTATAGTAAATATATAATAATATATTTTCTTTCGTTTTTTTTTATAATTATCCAAATAAAGAAAATATTTTTTCTTTCTTTTCATTTTTACTCTTATCCAAACAAGTGAAAAATATTATTTTTTCCTCTCATTTTTCTTTCCCCTCACTTTCTTTCCTTTCTTTTCTTTCCTCCCAAGAGTAAATATCCAAACACAGGAGACCAAGAAAAAGTTGAACTGGAGAGATGACCTCAAGTCTTCAGTTTTGTCTGCCAAGTCGTCATCCCAAGTCTTTGCTTTTATGGAAGTTGATTTTTATTGACTTCTTTTATATATGGCTAAAATCCGGTAATTTAATTGCTGGAATTTTACCATCCCTCATATACTTAGACCATATGTCAATAACAAAAGAAAAAGGCAATTGATCAATCAAATTTCAGGCTTCTTCACCAATCACCCTCCACCGTACCAAAGGAACTCAAAAGGGCTCCCATGAATCTCAAAGAGCAAGTAATTTAAAATCTGTGGCTAAGACTACTTTTAAGTCTATAGCTTTGGCATATATGGATAATGAGGTTTCAGATGTAAGTATTATCTTGTCACATGTTAAGGAAGTTTCGCATCACTTTCTTGGACACATATTAAGGGAATTTCGCATCACTTTATTGGACATTTCGAACAATCTTCCTTTGCCCAATAAAAGGAAAAAAAAAAAAAAGGAAACAAAAGCGAAGCGCCGTACGCAGATGGACAGTCTGTCCATCAGCGTGATTGATCCTTGGGAGGTCTATCCCAGCTCAGTTCATTTCATCCCAAAATATCAAAGACATCTCTATTGCATCAATAGTTAGGTAAATATAAAAAATATTTTCTTATATTTCTTATCAAATAGAGAGAAGCTTTGTAACTCCTATTATTTTTTATAAAGGAAATTCTTCTATTTTTGTTCATGGTTTTTACCCTCATTTGTTCTAGCGTTTTTCACGTTAAATCTATGTGTTCAATTTCTTCTTTATTTTCTCAAATTTATTAGTTGTGACCTTGCTCTAATTCGATCAGTTTCTCAAAAAGTGATACAAGAGCTTTGGTTCAAAGAAGTCTTGTAGCATGCAGTACAAATCTGCTCTCGATTTAAGTGTATTATCCACTTATCATATACTCTTTGATTGTCGCACTAAAAAATAAATCTTTTTTTATCAAAAATTAAGTTAGATTACTATTCACTTTTAGAAGGTATTTGATAGTATTTATGTGTACCAAAACTATTCATCTATCCAATACCATTCATTTGTATAGCACTATTTACGTAAAATAGCGGGAGCTCAAAAAATTACTTGTTTATGTGTATAGATGCTATTCATACATACGATACTATTCACATAAAATAATAGGAGCTGAAAACAATACTTGTTTACATATACGGATATTATTCATACATATGATACTATTTATACGTATGATACTGTTCGTGTAACATAATGGAAGCACAAAGCGAGTTTGTGATAGAAGCAATGATTGTAAAATTTGAGATTGAAAAATTCAACGAGAGTAATTTCTTACCGTGAAAGTTGAAAATGAAGACTATCCTAAGAAAATATAATTGCCTAGCAACTCGTCAATGAAAGGTTGGCAAAATTCATAGATAAGAATAAGTGGAATGATATGGATGAGAATGCTAAAGCAAATCTTCATCCGGCATTAGCATATGTGGTGTTGTCAAGCATAGAGGAGAAGAAAACAACAAAGAAGATCCGGGATCATCTTACCAAATTGGACAAGGCCAAATTACTCCACAACAAAATTTTCCTTAAGAAAAAAATTTATAATCTTCGGATGATTGAATCTATCGCGATCACGGTACAAGAAATTCACTAAATAGCAATGAAAATTAAACCATTGCTAAATATGATGTCAAAAACTACCTAGGATTTTTAGCGACAGATTAGAGACAAATTAGCTATAAAAACTAGCAACGGCATATTAATATCATCGCTAATTTTTTTTTTTTTTGGTCTTGGCGAGTCTCTAAATTGTCGCTATTCCCATTGCTAAATGTTGAAAAATTGGGCAACCTTTGGAAATTCAAAGGTGTGCCAAACATGGCTACTTAACAATGGACACTAATTTAGCATCGGATTAGCGATAGGTTCGTTTCCATCACTAATTTGGGTTTCTCTAAAATCTAGCAGATTCCCCTCCCCTTTTATTTTTCCCCATTTCTCTTCCTCCATAAGGCCGCCACCCTCCTCAACCCCTCAAATCCTTCACAAAACTCCCTAAATCCACCTCCCATCAATCCACAACCTCTTCCAACTCATTTCTCTAAAAAAAAACCTAATGTTTTTTCATCATTTCGGCCAATTTCACCCAAATTAGACTAGTTTTTAATTTTTTTAATTAATGTTATTAATTTGTTATAATTGTTAGGTTAATTTTAAGTATAATTGCTTGATTTATAGTTTTGTATTTATTTAATTATTAGTTTGTTGATTTTGTTAAATATTTATTAATTTTTGTTAATTTGTTAGTTTAATTTGTTAATTAATTTGTTGAATTGTTGAATTTTTTTAATTATTAGGTTAATTTATTAATTAAATATAATTTAAAGTTATTCAAAATTAATTTGCAATTAATTAAGTTTATTTTATTAATTTTTAGTTAATTAATGTAAAATGTTTGTTAATTAAGTTAATTTAATTGTTATTTTGAATTTAATTTTGTTAGAATTAGAATTAATTAAGTTAATTTGAATTATGTTTAGTTAATTAATTAGCTATGTTAAATTTGTTTAATTAGTTGGATTAGAATAAATTTTTTAATTAATTATAATTTTGTTAATTAAATATAAAATTATTGTTAATTAAGTTAATATAATTGTTATTATAAATTTAATTTGGTTAGAATTAGATTTAATTAAGTTAATTTGAATTATGTTTAGTTAATTAATTAATTATGTTAAATTTGTTTAATTGGTTAGATTAGAATAAATTTTGCATTAATTTTAATTTTGTCAATTAAATGAAAAATTGTTGTTAACTAAGTTAATTTGATTTTTATTTTAAATTTAATTTGGTTAGAATTAGAATTAATTAAGTTCATTTGAATTATGTTTAGTAAATTAAAAGTAAACTTTTTTTTAATTAAGTTAATTTAATTGTTATTTCAAATTTAATTTGGTTAGAATTAGAATTAATTTGTTAGAATTAGGATTAATTAAGTTAATTTGATTTATGTTTCTTTAATTAATTAATTAGGTTAATTATGTTTATATTAATACTTGTTAATTTATTTTTATTTTAAATTTAATTTGGTTATAATTAGAATTGATTAATTTAATTATTTTGTATATGTCGAGATACATCATTGCATATCGAACCCGAGGAATCGGAGACTCTCGAGAATTGAAGAAAAATATAGTTGGCTCAATGCTCTGCAATGGAGCTGAGAGGAAGAGTTGGTGATTTAATTTCGATGGAGTATTCGAGACAATCGTTGATCTCGGTGTGCGTAATGTTTGTGTGATCATTTAAAATATTTGTTATTTAGGAAATTTGTAATTTACAAAAGAGACTATCAAAATTTTATTAGTTGTTTAGGAAAATTATTAATTAAATAATTTTGTGTTGCCTTGGAAATGCAAAAACAAAATAATGAGGCACGATCATCAATTAATGTATGTTAGGTGTATGGACGAGTATTTAAATGATAATTTTGTGAATGAGGTTGAAGAATTTGCTTGCATTTGTTGTTACTCATCTTAAATGTATGGACGAGAAGAAAGTTAAAGTGTCCTTGCAATCATCGTAAGTGTCGAAATAGAAATTTTAAAGAAGTTCACATGGTTAAATACCATTTAGTGAGATATGGTTTTGTGCTTAGATATTATGATTGGATACATCATGGGAAAGTTGATTCATGGAATTAAGTTGTGTCAAAAAAATTTCATGAGGGCAAAGAGTGTTGTAGTCAACCCCTCGATCCATATGAAACAATAATGATGGATATAGTCTATCCATCATTTAATCGATCTTGCACAAACAAAGTATCAAATCCCAACACTCAAGGTTTTTATGACATGTTAAATGTGGCGAATAAAGAGATTTGGCTCGATCACTTTCAATTATTTGTAGTTGCTCGATTGTAAACCTCAAGTCAAAACACTATTTTTCCGAAAGGTGTTATGACGAGATGTGTAGATCGATGAAGGAGTTGATGTCAATTGATAACTATATGACAAAAGATTTTTTATAGCACTAAAAAGTTGGTGAAAGGAATGGATTTATCAATAGAAAAGATTCACTATTGCAAAAGAGATTGCATGATTTATTGAGGAGAAGACGGTGAATTAACCGCTTGCAAGTTCTATGAACATTCTCGATATCAAAATGCGGGATGAGGATTGTAAGAGCAAAACATGTCCATGCATAGATTTTTAATTGCATCATGTGTATTTCATTCATAGATTACACTTGCTGGGCATTGTTCACTTTTATTCTTGCGAGTGTAGGTGAAAAAGATAAGAAATGATGGCACGTTTTGAACTAATAGTCGTCGCTAGGCGCCAGCTAACGTACCAACGAGTGTACTAGCTATGAGTTAGAGAGTCTTAACTTTTTCTTTTTATCATGTTTTGGAACCTTATTATGTGTACTAGGGTTTATACTTATGGCTTGTAAAATAATTGTGCATTAGGATAACTCTAAATAATAAATAAGTATGGATGTGGTTAGTTAGTAGTAGAAAATGGTTTATATGTGATTAAATTGATAAGTAAAATTAATTGGATATAAAAGTTAAATAATTGGATAAGGGATTAAAAATTTAAAATGATTTGGAATGTACTAATTGGAGAATTAATTGATCTAAATGACTTGAAGGTTATAACAAAATTTATTGATTAAAAATAATCAATTTAATGAGGTAAGGAATAATGGATTTTAATAAGTTTTGCATCATTGTATTTAATTAATATGAATTTAATTGAACTAAGAAATTAAGATGGAGTTTTATTAATAATAGCCTCCAATAGGCTAAATAAAGAATTTATCCAAATCATTTAACTGAATTTATAATTGGGATATTATACATTTTATAAGAATAAGTTTAATTATTAAATGAAATGGTGCTAGTTAATTAAGGACATAAGGGATTATTAGCTCAAATAATTCAAATTTTTATGGTAAATATGAATTTATTATTCAACTAGTTTATTGAATTGCCGAAAATAAATTGATTTATCATGGTAATAGCCAAATAACTAAATCCGAATTTTTTATGAGAATAATTAAAGAAAATTAAAGAGGCAAATCATGTTAATTTAGTCCAAAACATTATTTAAAAATGTTGGAAATTAATTTTATAAATATGGATTTTTGGACAAAATTATGGGTAATGTTCCTACACAATTTGGTAGGAAAAATTGTCACCAAGTATAGTTCCTTTGGAAAAATTTTATGCCTAACTCTAAACAAAGGTGGACCTAAACAAAAATTAAAATAAAATGAGCTTCGACAAGTAAATGTTAATTAATTAGACAGTAAATAAGAGACGCGACTTGATGTCTCCCGTTCATTGCACTTGGAATGTGAGACATTGTCGATAATATTCCTCTCCTATTTTAGGTTCTAGGTCGGAGGTATTATAGAATGATATCAGAGCAATTTTAATCTAGTAATACAGGTTAAAAGTCTGAATAAGTACACACTCATCCGTTCTTCAGAACAAGTAAGTATGTTTGATTAATTGTGATTACTATTTATGTTTGACTGATTATGTTCAGTAAACATCATTGATCTTGGCGCATACTAAGGAAATTTCGCATCACTTTCTTGGACATTTCAAACAATCTTGCTTTGGACTTCCTTTATGCTTTGAAGAGCAAGAAAAAGTAGAACTAGAGAGATGATATATATGTGTGTGTGTGTGGCTAAAATCGGGTAATTTCATTGCTGGATTTTTACCATCCCTCGTAAACTTAGACCATATGTCAATAACAAAAGAAAAAGGTAATTGATCCATAAAATTTCATGCTTCGTCACCAATCACCCTCTATCATACCAAAGGAACTCAAAAGGGCTCCCATGAATCTTGCACCAAAAGTCCGCAAGCATGGCCTAAATACATCACCCTTAAGTCCAACATTCAACAGCATCCATTTAGCCTTTTTAACAGTTATCTTTGCAGAAACATGACAAATGGAAAATGCAAGTTCAGAATAGGCAAGGGAAAATGGCATTAAAGATGTACAACCTATCATGCCCATCCATGCTTGTGTATTGTGTATGATAGGCCATACAAGACCGAAAATGACTTGAGTGGATGAAAGGGGAGCTTCTCTGCCTTTTAAGTGGCAACTGGCAAGTGCTCTTAGATCACCTATCCTATGCGTCCAAGTGCTTCACTGCGTCCAAGTGTAAACTAAAAGCAGGCAAGATAACGTCTCTAAAGTGCATTCATCCTTGTGCTAACTAATGCTAACTACGAGGATTCTCATACAAAAACCTAACATCTTGTTTGCCGAGCATCATGAGTTGTTGAACGTATGCATTAAGAACAAATATAATGAACACAAGCATGAACTAAAAACAAGGATTAAACTCAAGTTCAGTCAACAACCTGAAAAAGGAATTTAGCTTTCAACCCATTCAGTGCTGGATCCAGCTTACAGGTACAAAACAGAGCAGAAATATAAATCTATAGCATTGGCAACTTTTACTAGGTGATCAAATTCTCTGGGTTCGAGGTATCATTAGATGGTCCCTTTTTCTGTCCCATCACAACCATCGGGGGTGGAGTTATTAAACCAGCTCTCATTAGAATGCCACGCACGGTGTCTGTAGGTTGAGCACCAACCGATAACCAATACCTGCAGAAGCAAGTAGAAGAGTAACTCAAAAGCAACAAAAACAAGATTACAGAGCCTCCAACTCATTTAATGAACTAGGCAAATAGACATAGCTATCCAAGAGCTTTATGCACACTAAAAACTGATCCATCAGTTTTCTCCTTTAATTCAGAATCAACAAAAGTTAACACTCACCTTTCTCATTGAGAAGATATCTCCTACATGAAATAAATGTACAGCATGCATATTGATCTCTAACGCAGTATCATGTTTTTAGTAAATTAAAAATCAAAACTTAAACACTTTATCTTGCTAAAATCTCCAGGATTATCAAGTCAGGTTCGCCTTAGACACGGAATCTCCTTTGATCCAGCTAAAACACGAGTAGTAAATTTATATAACCCCAAATGGAAGAAACAAACAAAACAAAAACAAGTAGAGTAGAAATAATATAACTAAATGTTCAAAAAAAAAAAAAAAAAACAACTCACTTCACATGGTCAACATTAAGACCCAATCTTCTAGCATCGCCTTTAGCTGCAAAAAAGAAAAGCAGAAATGTAAAAATAACTAACTTCCAAATAAGTTTCAATATTCAAGCTATTGCGAAAGTTAAGCTCACTAATCAAGATGTTGGCCTATACCCATACACGCTACTTAAATTTATTTTTCCCCACACCTGATTATCTTTGTGCTTTAAAAATTTCAGACTTCAATTGAGGACACTCTAAACTTTGAACAGCCAGTGCTATCAATGGACATGTTAAACTCCATATACATATAAATAAAAAATTATAAATGCATCCCACTTTACAAATGATAACGCCATAAATTTTAAGTCTTTAATAACAAAGTTATCTGCACATAAATATGATAATAAGAGAACTTGAGAGTGAACCCAATACAGAAAAAGAGAGGTTGAAAGTGAATAAGCCTTCAAATTTCAAGTCTTTTATAGTATAAAATCATCATGTAAACTGACCATATGAAAATAACAAGAGGCTAGAATAAAAGAGGGAACCTGCTAAGGGGTCATAGAAACCAAGAACTTGAAGATGTTTGCCATCTCTTGGGGTATGGCTATCAGCAGCAACGATTCTGTAAAATGCCCTGTTTTTGCATCCCAGTCTAGCTAAACGAATTTTCACTGCCATTTTCTTGGGTTCTTCAAGAGAGAGAGAAATGAGAGTGAATTACAGAGAGAGGAAGAGGAAGAAGCGTGGATATGGGTTTTTATTTGGATAAGGAGGATTGGTTGCTATGTGGATATGGGTTTTTCTTGTTGATGATAAGGGTTTTTCTTACTTGGGCTTTTCCACTTCTTTCTTGTCAAAACTATGACGTTTTATTTTTATTTTTCCTTTCAACTAATTATAATTATATATATTAAAAAAAAAAAAAAAGGGAGAGAGTTTTTGAAAAATTATTTCACAAAATTCCATCATCCTCCAATGTTATATTTGTTGGGATTAGGGTTTGATCTGGTCTGGTCCATAGTGTGGAATTTTTTTTTATTTTTTTATTATATATATATATTTTTTTCTTTTTTTTTTGGAGAGAGGATGAGAAAAGTCAACCATCTAACTTTAATTTTCATGTTAACAATTTAGAATAATCATGTCCCTAGTGAAGAAGATTGTCCACTTGCTTCCGCTAGCCATAATAAAAATATTAAAAACCATTCAAATAAAAGTTGATTATCCTACTTGCTTCAGCCAGTTTGAAAACTGCTCGTTCCCTGTCCTGTCAGTCATCATTCTTGGTGCTCCAAGCAGAGTCGCCTTAGATAAAAAAGGAAACCAGCAACTCTGGGCATGATTCTGTCACATAAAGTCCTTAGGCTCTCAAGTGTGTTAATACAGAACAATGAGGAATGCCATTGCTTCCAGCTTCATCACAGTGTATACAAATGGAGGGAAAAAATTCTATCCTCGCCAAAAATCCAAAACTTTTGAGGCTGAATTTTTTGACAAGAAATATACTAAATGTGAACCTACATTCTCCCATTTGCACATGTGAACATCTGCAGTTTTTTTTCCCCCCTTCCTTTTCAGACTCAACAAAATTGCTGAACTCCCACCGTTGCTGTTTTCATAGGTGTCCATTCGATTTTTCAAAGAATATCCTGTTCAGGATGTGTGAAAACAAAAATGCCCCATTCTCATTCCTTCTCTGCAATTACCACAAAAACATCATTCAGTGACCACCTACGTCTCTCACTTTTGGCTGGCGGATTGATAACAGCTCTTTCAGCATTAGCTACACGGTAACCAATGGCAATCTCTCTTCTCTGTCGGGCTCGTAAGAGTACTTCATAGAAACTCAGTTCCTCGCCTTCACGAAGATAAAGGTCTGCTTGCCTTATTTGTAGCTCATTTCCCTGATGGAGGCAAAATGTTTCATGAATGATGAGTAAAATGATTAGAGGATCACAAATTCCAACATCATCAATAGCAACAAGTTCGCCAACACAACCAGGAATGAAGCTGATCAGTGCTAGAGGATTGTATAAGCAGTAAATACAGAAAGCCCAAAAGCAAAGCCTTTGCAGTTGTGGCACAACATATTAACTGGCTGAAGTTATCAAAACCACAATAGGCATACCATTATTTGGATGCAGGGCTCATACCATGGACTTTATCAATACGAGAAGCAGGGCATCAAAATCCATTATAAATGTATGATTCAAAGGAGTGACCAACTGAATGCACCAGGGAAAGAAGCTGATGGTCGACCATTGTGTTTAAGATATCAAAAATAAATCCTTTAGTTTAGCTGTCTTAAGCCAACTGAAGCCACAGAATGCATTAAGAAAATCCAACAGCATCATAAAGACAATATAACAGCGTACATTAAGAGAACTGTAACTGATTCAGATCCTTATCGAACTACGGAGAGAACAATGAAGAGGAAAGCTTTCTAGAACTAGCATACAGTATACAGGATGCAAATGACTTCTTCTGAGGGGAAAAAAAGATTGAATATTGTTAAAAGGGGTTTCAATTTCTTCCCACTTGCAAGAGTTGGCCCAAAAACTAGAGCAATCCTGTAAAAACTGTCAAGTGATACATTCGTCAAACTCTCACCTACAAAGAACTTTCCAAATATTCGTTGAATTCGGCAAGACTGCAGAATCTCAGTTATTATTATTTTTTAACCTTTCACTTATAAGCATTTGAATTAAAAATATAAATGATGCACCTGTTGGAATTTTCTATTGCAATTTTTTAAGCCCACTTTGCCCTTCGATTTTGGGTTTGCCATAGAATGTAATCAGATCTCAGAATTTAACAGAAGAGAAACAAAAGAATACCTCCTCCGCGAAGAGCTCTTCTAGTACATCATTTATTTGTTGATCCTCTGCAACCATGGCCAATGCCATGCTGACAAGCTCATTTGATAGAACGTAATCACTGATCTTTGACATGGATAATAAATTTTTAGTTCTTGGGTCCAGAATTTCACTTATTATTACAGATTTATCCGAAGCCTGTTGCATCTCCCCAATCCACGAACCTTGGGAGAAGCTTCCTCTGTGAACCTGGTTTAGCATGGGGAGACGCTTCGACTGCATGGATCATGAGAATAAGAACGAATGAATACAAAGGATCAAAAAGCACCAAACAGCACTAAATCTCATAAGTGATCTCCAATGTCACCATAATAGTTAACACCTCGATCTATCTTTTCTTGGGTTCTAGAGAGAATAAACGATTTTTTTTCGCTGGCTTTTCCTTAATTTTACGAGGAGACGATCACATACTCTTCAGAAGTGAAGGCAAAAGCCCCTCTGAACCTAAGATTATAGGGCATCTTGGTGGATGGCATGCAACAAAAATTGTTTGAAAAAGGCTGAAAGGTGACTGAAAAGTCCATCTCGAATGGAAAAGACTCAACCACACAACCGCAACGGAACCCCCCCCTCCCCCAACAAAAAAAAAAGCAAACAACAAAACTCATTGATTCAGTTTCACAGCTTTTAAATCGTAGATGATACATAACAATTCCGGTTGTTGTGTTCGTGTGAATTTTCCTTTGAAGTTGTTGAGTTTTTATAGCAGCTAATCATTAGGCCTTATATTGTATGAATGAGTCATAGACTATCCACCAGGATCGAGTACCTGAATATCACGAATCAATAGCAATGTGGCAAGAGATCTGGAGTCTGCTTGAATGGCTGAATCTTCCACTGACTCATCAGCCAAAATTAAAATCTAAACAAACCAAATGCTGCATCAAAATCTTTTAAACTAAGAATAACAATACTTACTTCAAAAAATATAATCCCAAAAATCATATCGTTGCCTCCAAAACCCAACATTATTTTAGGTATTACTCTATACTTACTGAATCAAAAGATTGCAAAGGAAGGCTTTCTAGATGACGTCTTATGACCGCATTTCCCTCTCGATTAACCAGATGTATATTTTCCAATCTATTCAAGTCTAGACCACCATCACTAAGCTTCTTTTCCCTCTCACTTTCAGGAACATCATTGAACATCCAGAGCTCTGAACCTTGTGCTAAAAATGCATCCAACACCTAAACTTGCAATGATAAGTAAACATAGTATTAATATTGTGATAGAAAACGAAAAATTCTAAGAAAAAAGAGTGCTCCCTGTTGAAGCAAAAAAAGTGGAAGTAGAAAGAATAGTTCCAGTGAAGAAACACTTGCTGCAACTAAAACTGGAAATTCAGTAATGATACAGAAGATTCTGAAATGTCTACCACCACCACTTTGCTGCGTCGGAGAAGTTATGATTTCAGAATCTTATAACATTACCATAATCATATCTTCCATGTCTCGTCTCCAACCACAAAATAATATCCTTTCTGCAGACTTTGGAACAATGAAGTCTTTCGGTAGACTTCCTCTCCATACCTGCAGCATCCAGGCGAAGAAAAGAAAAGATTAGGGGCTTCACAAATGAACTTACCACAATCATATCATCAATGTCCCTCCTCCATCCACAAAGTAGAATCTTCTGTGGCATTCTTGCAGGTCGGGCAATGTGCATGAATGATGCTTCTTTGACCTGAATGATGAAATTGATTATATTATGTAAGTTCTTTTATTATGGTATGCCCACTTACCTAATTCCCACCGAAGGCACCATTCTAACATGCACATCTGAACTGGTTCTTTATATAGAACAACCAGCCTGAGCATGATCTGCTGTTTTCGTATTTGTTTTGTTTCCTTTTCAATTTTATTTGTCCCTTTACATCAAAAGCTCACAACATATCCTTTACTAAATTACACGATCTAGTATTTTGTGCAAAGAATCATCCATAAAGGGTCTACGGTAGACACATCAGATGCTAAGCAACAGTTTTCCCCAACCACGCAGCAACATGTACAACGCCAAAGAGTTCATGCATATGTTATTACATACTTACCTATAGGCCAATGAAATGCTAAAACTAACTAAAATGAATCTATTTGTTTATGGATATGAGCTAGGACCATTCTTAATTTCCTGTATGCAGATATTTGCTGCCTTCATTACGGCCCTTTCTTTCCCTTTTCATTTCATAATTTTATCTCGGATAAAAAAGCATCCTGGCTCAAGTAAGCTAAGACGGCTTCCTCTCGCTAACTGCCTAAGGTATAGGTCCAGTCTCTTATCATGCACACACCACATAGGATAGCAGAACAAAGAAAGAGATGCTTGGGAAAAGAATGCAAGCAATATATAAGGAATCTTTATTTCTGAAGGAAAATGAAAGCACCGTAGGTAATGCTGCTGGAGCATAGCTATCGTCATCTTCTGCTATGACAAGGACTTCATCACCTTCTTGTAGAACATATGAGTCTTCAGGATTCAGGATAATTTTACCCCCACAGGAAGCAACCTTGATCCCACAAGGTATAGCATCAGGAAAACTGATTAGTATGTCCTCAAATTGCATGCCGTGCAACTGTGGCCATCTTTTGATGTAAAACTCACAATTTTCAAACCCAAGTATGTCTTCCCAGATCTGTCATAACCCATCCATATTTATCACATACACGAACAAGCAGGAAAGTAGATTACAGCATAATAATGAGTAATGACACCAGTAAAAAAACAGTGAAAAAATCAGCCAGGTAAATAATGCTCATGCTGATGTTAAAGAATGTGAATAGAGTATTAAGAGTGCAGAATTAACCTGTGCAAGTCCTGGCTGCCGAGCACATTGAATCATCAAGCGGCCAATAACATCATGAGCTACAACAGTTTCAACAAGTTCTCCACCAACAAGTTTCACAAGAACCTCATTGTCAAGATCACTTAGCTCCACCACAATGTGCCCTTTCAGCCCTTCTTTCACTCCTGTAAGACTTAAGACGGTTCTCAATGCACGAGCATCACTCTGAGTAAAACCATAAACGAGTTAATGGTTATCAATATCAAATATCAAGCACATCACTTGTTCACTCAAGTAGCAGACCTGGTCAGCATTCCCATCATCAGCAAGGACAACTATTGCACGGGCCTTGCAGACAGATACCTGAAAACTCAAGTCGTTACCAAATCAAGAAAAGCAACAGAGGAAATAATGGTTTCACCATTCATGACAAAGTAGAGATTCCCATCATCAGGTTTGAAGGAAGAAGAGAAAGGAAGTTCAAGGTGGACTTGAAGAGTACGTAAAGAAATAATATTCATAGGAGAAACCACGACAAGAAATGCTATGTGCAATCTTCAAGAATACAATGAAAAATTGTGCAATAAAATACTTTAGGCAACAGTTAATCATAGCATTCTTGGAACTGGAATGCTTTAGCTAAATTAATTATGGACCCTTTCAAACAAAGGGGAGCAAATATGGCCTGAAATTAAATTAAACAAACAAAAAATTTTCGAGAGGATAACCAATCAGGCCATTTAGCATTAATGAATCACTTATTATTTGTACGACTGAAGAAGATTGAATCTGCCCAGCTACCACAACTTTCAGCAGAGAAGACATCTTTATGTTTACAACTTTTAAGCAATATCATAGAGCGTACGCATACCTTTTTCAGATCAGCCAGAATTAAAGGGCTCCCGCTTCTGCATATGACAGATGTTCCTTTAAAGTCGAATTCCATTTTAGCAATATCCATTTCCATCTCTTCTTTGTCTCGTTCAGCCATCACTACAACAATTCCTCCCCCCAAACTCTCATTGGCTATGGCAAGCTGATTCAGCAGTGATCCCTAGTTTCAGAATAAAATAATTGGTGACTCAGGAAAAATCTGCAAAAAGATTCTGCAAGCACCTAAATATATTTATTTTTGTTTTATCCCTGCCCTTTTATGAAGTTCTTCAGAGATTTTTTATACTAGGAAGGGGATTATTGTTCCCAGTTTATTTAAAGGGTCTCTTTGAGATGAGCTTCCAACACTATTCGCAACTAAGCCATATAATATTGCCAGCAAATGTGTAGAATCAAACAAGCTTCAAACTCACAAGATGTGGAATCAGTATCTTACTAGTTTATCACTCCAGCCAAGAATTAGAGTATGGTTTTGCTCAACCACTTCGCTTCTTCCTTTCCTTAATGAATCAAACTTCTCAGAAATAGCATCAGACACAAGTCCAAGCATCATAGCAAAAATAAGCATCCCACCAAAGCTAATAGAAACAGAAACAAGCCTTGGACCAATCCCTTCAGAATTAGCATGATTGCCCGAATCTGCTACAAACGTCCAAGACAACCAAAGACAATCCGCTAAACTATCATCCGTCACACCAAACAATGCCAAACCACCAAGACAAATAACCAGCAATGTTGCAACCAACAACGCCAAAGGCTTTGCATATGGATGAACAGATAAAAAAACATCCACCCGATATGCAAGCTGCTTATTCAACAACAACTCTTCCGAAACATTATCAGACGATCTCAATGTCGATACAAAATCAATGTACTTGAAAGCAAGAACCGGAATAGACAATAGCATAAGTGAAACAATCAAAGCCAATTTCTTTAACCCATTATTACTACCATAATCATAATCATCAATCTCCTGCATTACTGAATCAAAAGTATCTACATTGGATAACAAATAACACGCTCGCAATCTAACATTTAGTTTCAATATTTGATCCTGCAATAAAAGAAAAAAAGCACAGTTAAGTAACAACAAAATCTTGCATCAAGGTCAAAGTCAACTAACAAATACTTTAAATGATCAATGTAACTATATAAGATTTAAAATCACTAATATAGATGATAAAAATCAAAACTTCATATAAAAACTCACCTGCAAATCAATAACTTGGTTATGTAAAGTGAAATTCTTGTGCACTAATGAAGTCAAAGCAGTAATCACAATCTGCGACAGCTCAAAAAAACCCACTTCAAAAAATCTTCTTTTTTTACTTTCACAAAATCAAGCTAGCAAAACAGTAAAGTATAAACACTTACAGCTGCTGTGATGGCCAAATTCCATCTGACTCTGACCCGATGACCCGATGACCCGGAAGAAACCTTCTCAGTAGACTGTTTCTTCTCACTGGAAACAACAAGTTTCCGGTCCAAAACGGAGTCACTTTGGTCTTGTTTTGAAGATTTATCCGGACGCCGAGGGAACTCCACGCGCCGGCGAAGTCTGCCATAGTTAGAAGTAGTGGTGGGAGAAAGAGAAGAAGATGATCGAAACGATGGCGGTTTCGAGAGGTTGGAATCAGGAGAAAGTTTGGGAATAGTGGAGAATCTGCGGTGGGGCTTTGGAGGTTTGGGAGGGGAATGGTGGATGAAGGAAGGAGAAGGGAAGAACCAGTCCCTGTTGAAGGAAGGAGAAGGTGAGTCTTGGGAGTCAAGGGACATCGCGGGGTTTTTCTGAAATGTTTTCTGCTGTTGTGTTTGATACTTCCATTAATGATTAGAGATACTTTTAGTAAGTCTAATGTTTTACTTCTTCTTCTTCTTTTTCCTTTTTTCAATTTTTTTTTTAATATACCATTCGGAAGAAAGATTTCTATTCTTTATATAATTTCACCACTTCAGAATTAAAGTATTTATGTGAATGAAAATATTTAATTTATTTTTTTATAAGTATATCTTCCTATCATATTGAAAATAGAATTAATTATATTAAAAAATATAAAATTTAAATTCATTCAATAAATATAATTTTAGAATTCGAATATATGCATTGAAAAAAATTATATAAAAACTAATTTAATCATTTTCAATAAATATAATTTTAAACTTCGAAAAATACACATCGGATAAAATATTTATATCTAAAATTTAATTTTTTATCATTGACTAAAAACTTAAATTTGATAAACTAATAATAAGAATCTAATTTAATATCGTAAATCTTCTATATTAGTAATAATTAAAAAGTTGATAGTGAAGGAGAAGGTATTAGAATAATCAATGTGTGGAAATTTATCATGAAAAAGTTATAAAGATTTAGAATTAATTCTTCTTTAAATCTTTTTCGGTTAAAAGCTTTTATACGTCCTATTATTCTTAATTTTATACTAATTTCTCTTTTTGCTTTTATTTGTCTTAATATTCCTTCTTTTTTCATTCTCAGAATCGTTTTTTCGTTGACCAAAAAACCAGGATGATTTTTCCATCATCTAATAATCCTAAACTATACATTGAACGTTGACTTGTGTCAAGTGTTATATATATACCTATCCTTTTTATCTTATAACCAGAAAAGATAAAAGGTTAAAAAAAAATTTAAATTGTTTTGTACTTTCTTCTTTTTCCTCTTCTCATTCTTCACCACCACCAATCACCATGATAGCCACAACGTTCTGACCCACAAGACACCAGTCGTGAGACGCCACTCCCTATTCCTTTAGGAACAACTAATCATTAGATTAGATGAAAGAAACTGAAAAGTAGACCAAGATGATTACGACTTTGCAACCTTAACAGAGAAATTGCTAAGAGTTGTTGACTTTTTTTCTTTTTAAGTTATGGTCACCTAATTAATTCGTAAATAAAAAAAATAGCGTACTTATCAGCCGTTTCACATTTGTATAAAATCCCATAAGAAAAAAAAAAAAAAAAAAAAAAAAATTTCTTCTTTGGATTTATCTTATTGGTGAGATATTATCTTCTCAATTCAGTTCGATCTTGTAGCAATTAGCAAGTGATCTGGTTTGGCACTCAATCAAGCTATGAGAAGAAAGAAAACACAAAGCAAGCAATAAATTTGAGGCAACTAAGAGCTTGCTAACACATATAGAGAAATGGATAAATTCTTATATCAAGACTATTCAAAATAAAGATAAAAAATTTAGAAAGGTTTCTAGTCGTTCAAATAAATAATGTCGGATTCGAGTTTTTGTTTATATAAAAAAAATTTAGATAACTCGTTTTCATTTTGTATATCTAACAAAATAGCAAGGGATTAATCTGTAATTTTGAGACCGAGATATCCCAAAGGATTCAAAAATAAGGATCTTAAAATGATTTTGAGAGTATAAAAAAGATACCAAGACTAATAAAAATAAAGAGGAAAATTTTGTACCAAAAGTTGAAAGAAGCATGAAAACTTTTAACCAATCTTCGTTCATTTTTAACCACCATATAGTTTTATTACCATTACTTTTGGGATCATCATCCTTATTAGCCTATGGCAATTTTATGTTTCATGTAAAGATAAAAGAGGGTATTCCTTTTTTTTTTTTTCACAATATATTAATCATTCAACTTTAGGGATTGGTTTAGTGGTTAAAAATATTTGTTTTTCTTAATTTTTTTGGTTCAAATCTTAGGATCATATCTAGGAAAAATTATTTTTTTTAATATATCATATATAAGGATATATTTTTAGAATTGTTTGGAAAAAAAAAAAACCTTAATCTCCATTAACATATAAATTGATCCGAAAATATTTTCAATGTAAAAAAATATTGTTCATTGGATCAAAATAATTGAGTTCAATCATAATAAATTTTGTAAAACTAAGTATAATTGTACAAAAAAAAATAAAAGGAACTATGATTGTATAATATACTAATTGCGTAATCACCAAATAACAAGCAATAATCCGAACCCTTAAGCATGCTTCTAGCTATTATGGAAACAACAGCAGGATGTTGCTAACGGGCCATGGCCATTACCTTCGTCATTACCTTCTTGGGCTTCGGTCTCATCAAATACCAAATATATACCAACTGTGGCCCAAAACCTGATGCTTGAGGCTTGGGTTGGGTCAAACAGCCTCGTTCTTCGCTAAGAAAACAAACAGAAGAGATCCCCGTTTCGTTTCTTTTGATTTTCAGATATACCTCATTCAATCCAGGCCAGGGCTTAGCAGAGAAGAGAAATCTCTCACCATCTTCGCCAGGTACTCTTTCTGTTTCTAAAGAACTCTTTGTTTCCGCTAGACCCAAATAAATCCTAGCCATGAAAATAATTTTTTGCTGCTTCTTTTTTTTTTTTTGCTCTCTTTCGAATCAAATCATAGTCTTTGTTTTGATTATTGTTTAAATCAACTTTATGGAATTGTTAATCATATTGTGTTTTGAGCCAAGTTAGTGCTTAATTATTGTCCTCTTTTTTTCTCAGTTAGTTTAAAAATATTGTGTTCTTGTTCCTGTCATTTTGCTAGTTTTTTTCTCTTGTAATTTTGCAAGGTTTTGCTTTTAGTGAAAGATGGATTATGGAAAAAAATGTTATTTAATTATCGGATTCGCAATGTTTGTTTTCTTTAAGCAGTGTACTGTATTATAGCTGTTGGGTTTTGATGGGTGTTTGTTGAAGCCAAGAAATTTCAAAAGGTGATTGATTATGTTTCAAGGTGAAAGCCAAATTGTTGCTATGTTCTTCGGAAACAAAATGGGAATTCATTTTTTAGCTTTTAACAAATGGGAAAGAGAGAAGAAATGTTGACGAGTCTGTTTGCTGCTTTAAGTTTTTTTATAGGTTAGATATGATTTTCGTTGTTGTTAATATTTAGGGCGAAATATTCTTTTCTCCTTTGATTGGTTTGGAGTTAGTTCTTCCTAGTCAGGGGCAAGCTTTGACTGCTTCTCTTCTATTGCTTTTGCCATTTCTTTGTTTCAACCTCTTACTGTGATGAAGTTGACATTCTGTCAAATATGTGTAGAATCTACTACCATTTCAAAACTTGGTTTGAAATTCAGTTTGGTGTAGTCTATTTGGTTATTGGAGTTGGGTGTTAGTTTTCATGTAACTATCTTTATTCTCATTTTGAAGTTGCATTTCCGCATTTGATTTTCAATTCTGCCACAGTTATTGCATGTTATGTGCTGAGGCCTTCACCAAAATCTCCGTCCTGTGCTAAAATGTGAATTTTGTAATTAAATCAACTTCATTATGAAATTAGTTAGCCTTTTTTTAGTATTCTGTCTTTCATTGCGCTCCCTTCACTTTTAAAGACACCTTTGAAAACAAGAAGACAAAAGGGATATTTTCAGCAACTAAAATATTTGAAAATCTTAGTCATTAGTCCTGCATAGTTTGTATGATATAAAAAACAAAAGTCAATTGATTTTTAATCTTTTTAATGTATAGACGAGAGAAAGAAATATGGAAGCATCTAGTTAATGTCTTTAGTTTTGATGTGTAGGATATGTTTCTGTTAGTTGTAGTAATGTATAGCTCAAACTCTTTTCCTTTCTCATGTTGGTTAGATGGTGGCTTTTGCTGGCAAGCTGTGAGTTTTGATTGAGTTGCTTTGGGCACTATCTATTTCAACGTTTATGATTTTGAAGTTCACATCTTGTCAAATATTTATGTTATTTTTACCATGTTGAAATTGTATGGTACAGTCCTTGCTATTTGGATTTTTTTTTTTTTTTTTTGGGGGGGGGGGGGGAGGGAGGGGGAGGGGGGCTGGAGTTTTGAATTTGCATCTTATTGTCTCTCTGTGAGACTCATGTCATCAGTTTTGTTATTTATCTTCACTTGATCAGGTGTGGATCTAATATGCATAGAGGCCTTTGGCTCCCCTTTGGAGTCAATTGTTTTTTTTTACTGCCTTGACTATTCTGTCTTACGCTAACATGTTAATATGCCAGTATTTCAACTTCAGTGGAGATTAGTTAGCTTGCATTTGGTGTGTTATGCCATTTGTTGTACTTTGTATGATTTTATGATCATTTTATAACAGGAAAAGAAAGGGGATTTTTCAACTTTGGAAATATTTACAAATCTTAGCTAAGAGTACCATATATCTGAGTCTTTAGGCCTGCCTTGTCTGCAATTGCAATAAGATGTTTTTCCTATTTCCTATTGCTTATTTTACTTGACATTCATTGATGATTACTTTAATTTATTCCAGCTGAGTATTTTAGCCTGCCCTTTGAGATAGCAGAGGTCAAGATGCAAGTTCTTCCTAGGGAGGGTGAAAGTGCTTTGTCCGTGTCTGGTCCAAGGCCGATGGAGTGGTCTACTGTTCCATACACAGGACCACAAGGACCTGGGAAAAATGGAAAGCAGCGTAAATCTAGCTTGGAATCGCCTATCATGTTGCTCACTGGTCACCAGAGTGCTATATATACTATGAAGTTCAATCCAGCTGGAAATGTCATTGCTTCAGGATCTCATGATAAAGAAATTTTTCTGTGGCACGTTCATGGGGAATGCAAAAACTTCATGGTTTTGAGAGGGCACAAGAATGCAATTCTGGATCTGCATTGGACTACTGATGGGTCCCAGATAATATCAGCCAGTCCCGACAAAACTGTTAGAGCGTGGGATGTGGAGACTGGAAAACAGATAAAGAAAATGGCTGAACACTCCTCTTTTGTGAATTCATGCTGCCCTTCTCGTAGGGGGCCTCCACTTGTTGTAAGTGGATCTGATGATGGAACTGCAAAACTTTGGGATATGCGCCAGAAGGGTGCCATTCAAACATTTCCAGATAAATACCAAATCACAGCTGTCAGTTTCTCCGATGCATCAGATAAGATATTCACAGGTGGTATAGACAATGATATTAAGGTATGGGACATCCGCAAGGGTGAAGTGACCATGACACTTGAGGGCCATCAAGATATGATAACAGGTATGCAGTTGAGTCCTGATGGCTCATATCTGCTTACAAATGGTATGGACAACAAGCTTTGCATTTGGGATATGCGCCCTTATGCACCACAAAATCGTTGTGTGAAGATTTTTGAAGGGCACCAACACAACTTTGAAAAGAACTTGTTGAAATGTAGCTGGGCACCAGATGGAAGCAAGGTTACTGCTGGTAGTGCAGATAGAATGGTTTATATATGGGACACAACTTCTCGACGCATCTTGTATAAGCTTCCTGGCCACACTGGATCTGTTAATGAGTGTGTCTTCCACCCTACTGAACCTATCATTGGATCATGTGGCAGTGACAAACAGATTTATCTTGGGGAAATCTGATTACTATTTTGTCAGTCTGCCCAAAATGAGTTGTTAGTACCAGTGAGGGTATTTCAGGGCCTGCTTGTGAGTACCCAACAAAAGGATTGAATAGGCTGTACTGCTTCTGTAGCTTTCGAGTTGAATTTGACCTAGGGATATTATGTTACATTTTACTAAACTTTCTTATATCTTGCTGAAATGTTTGTAGCTATTTTTGCTTGTCGGCTCTCTTGTTGGAAGGCAGTATCTATGCATGAATCGATTAGTTCTAAATGCATGGCTTGCGCAATATGTGCATAGTGAATGTTTGTTATGAAATTAAAGTTACTGGACTTGTACTCTTTAATCTGGCGAGGTTTGGAAGCTTTGTGTTGCTCATACACTGTCATGTAAGGAAAACACCCCTCCTGTTATTAATAAGTTGTTTGATGAGTTTTATGGAGCAGAGTAATTTTCTAAGATTGATCTTAGAGATAGTTTCCATCAAATTAGAATGAATCCGGATTATGATTGTAAAACTGCGTTTAGAAACAAACCACTGACAATTTTGAGTTCAATCTTATGCCATTAACCAATGCTTCTGCGACGTTTCAAGTGTTCAATGATGTTTTTAAGCTTTATATTGGAAAGTTTGTATTGGTTTCCTTCGATTCTATTTTTGTTTATATCCCCCACTATTGAGGAACAAATGGACCATCTTAAGAATGTGTTGCTTGTATTAAGAAATAATTACCTCTATGCAAAAACGTGGAGAAAATCAAATTGAATGTTAGCGACATAATTTTAAATAACAATCGTTACGTAACGTAGCGGCAATTATATAATAGTAATGGAGTACTTTGTTAACATTATTAGGCGATATAGATCCTTCAAAACTGTTTTATAGGTACAGTGGCAAATAATGACATTACTCCATTATTTGTCAAAAAAAAAAATTGAAACTCAGCAATGACTATTACTGAGGCATGTGTACTTTTTTCCCCCTCATCATATGCATGCTCATACATACAAATTTAGATGATTTCAAGATAGCATAATAGCATTTGTCGTAGCTATCGATTTTGAAAGTTCACGGATCGATCGCTAACCGAGTTGGAATATGAGAAGATAAATAGTATTGTCAATATCTATAATTGCTTCCTAGAGGGATATGTTATTAGTTTTAATAGTCACAAGAGATGCACAACTATTTACGTAACGGACCTCATAAAGCTTTTTTCTTAATTTCATCAACGATTACACCTTGTTCGTTATGAGAATGGAGACTGTATCGCATTGATGGATGCAGAGGCTTGAGCTTGGAAGCTTTGAGCCATTCCAATTGGTGTTACTTTGTGAGGTCTTTGTGGTAGAAGCCATTTCCTCACATATGGTCAAGCATATAGTTCTCAATACAATTAGTTGTGACCTAGATTTATTCTCTTGAGTTCCTTTGTTATTCAAAATCTCTTAGCTTGTTTCCTGGGGAGAAATCTTGAGGAGTATTGATGTGTTTGGAAGCAATTCAATACAACTGGAGTTTTAGAGAATAGACACTCTTAAAATTATTTATTTATATTTATAATTCTTTTTTAATATTATGATTTAAATATTGGTAAATAAGATTTTTACTTTAATGTATATACGACATCGACTCGTCACGATCGTTATTTTACTATCACGATAAGTCGTAATCTACGAATACAATTGCAATCATTTTTTCAACCACTACAGCTATTTAAAACTATGGTTTTGGGGACGTATTATACCTGAATATGGTTTATCTATTGACCCCACCAAAATTGAAGCCATGAAATCCTGGCCTAAGCCTAAGACACCAACAGAAATGAGGGAGTTTTTGGGTTTGACAGGATATTAAAGGAAGTTTGTGAAGAATCATGAATCAATCAGTGGGTTGACACAGTTTGTTGAAGAAATAAGTGGGGAGAATAAGCTGATGAGGGTTTTGAGGAGCTTGTATTGGCTATGTCACTCAGCGGTAACAGAGGTGTGGGTGGCTGTTTTGCTGCGGGAAGGGAGGCCAGTAGCTTATTTTCCTTTGTAGGTATGAATTCAACTAAAGACATGAATCCAACGTTGGATTTCACAAATCCAATACTGAAGAGTGAAGATTTTTTGAAAGTGAAATTGGGGAAGAATTTTCAGTAAATTAGCTTTGTTACTATTTCTTGAAATCAGCCATCTACAGATGCTCGAGTCCTGTGGGTTAGCTCTGGCCCAATAGACTCAACTGGCCATTAACTTCCATATCATAATCTTAAAACTCAAAACTAGCCGTTGGTTAAGCAAGCCAGCCCACTAGAATTGCTGGTCACCAATCAAATCACAATAGGAAAACTAGCCGTTGGCAAGTTAAACCTTGTTTCAACGGTCATTTTTGCATTATATATAATAATCGCCTTCCAAATTTCTCTTCAACAAAGTCCCAATCTCGAAAAGAATTACAACAAATCCAGCTTCCGATTACTAAAAATCATCAAATTTCTCAAATGGGTCTCATAAACAATCACAAATCTTGTCCAGTGACTGAATCCCACCAGCGAATCCACAAATTCTTCACCATATGCAACTACATTCTCTTATGTGCAGCCACCAGTTGCATATTCCTCACTCTTTCTCTCCGCTTATTCCCTTCCCTCTGCGGTTTCTTTGTCATTCTCCTCCACATGTTCACCATCACTGCAGCTGTATCTGGCTGTTCTGCGGCCTTATCTGGGTCCAACAAATGGTATGCAGCTCACATGGTCAGCACCTCTCTAACAGCAATATTTCAAGGATCAGTTTCAGTCCTTATCTTCACACAAACTGGTGATTTCTTGGGGTACTTGAAGTCTTATGTGAGAGAAGAAGATGGTGCTGTGATATTGAAGTTGGCTGGTGGGCTTTGTGTGTTGATTTTCTGCCTTGAGTGGGTGGTTTTGGTTCTTGCTTTCTGGCTGAGATACTATGCTTTTGTTGAAGGAAATGGGAATGGCAGTGCTGGTTCTAGAAATGGGAAAGTTCAAGAAGATGAGTTGAAAAATTGGCCTTGGCCTTTGCAATTTTAGGGATGTGCTTGTAATTATGTGGATTTGATTTGTATTGATCATCATGTTGGTGGTGCCAAATCCTATTCTTCGTAGTTTTGACTGTGTAATTCATGTTTGTAACAATCCTATTCTTTATTTGTGAAAAGAAGTTTACTTTCCTTTTCTTTTCCGTGGTTATTTGCTTCCTTTTCATAAAAAAATAATGCTAAACCAAAAATTGCATCATAACACGAACAATTGAGTTGAAATGTGGCTTTTTTTTTTTTTCCCCTTTAACAGTAACACAAAGGTTCAAAAATCCTTCATCTAACCTCTAATTTTAAGCTGATCTCTTTTTAATTATTTTTTATTTAAAATTAGATTTTTTTATCAGTTTTAATAGTAAAAATATACATAATTTTGTGCACGTAATTAATTTTTTTTAAGCTTTCAAGTAATAAAAAATATGTCAAACTCATGCTTTTCTCTTCAAAATTTGTTTTTTCCTAAAACATTTTTTAATTACTTACTTTTAAGGATGGAAGAATCAAATTATATATATAAACAAACAAAATATCTATAGGCTTTGATATATTTTTAAATTAATGAAAAATCACACTTACATTTTAGAATTAATAAAAATACAACAAAAAACTAAATTCAAATAAAAAATAATTAAGAAATCTACTCAAAATTTAAAATTAAAAAAACAATTCTCAAATAACTTAAATCTCTAAAAAGATTCAAACTATTTCTTCCTTTGGTTTTTTGTTATTGTTAAACATGCGTTTTAATTCTTGGCCACAGCATTTGGCTGGCTCTCATTGTTTTGTTAAAGAAAAATAATACTTTTTGGTTATCTATATTCGTCTTATATGTCTAAAAGATTAATAAAAAATTAAATAATAAAAGATTAATATGAGTTTTTAAATCTAAATAAAGGATAAATAATAATAATATGAATAAAAATTCATGAAAAACTTTTTTTTTGGTCATTCTTTCTTTATTTCTTTCTTTTTTAATTCTTAATTGACCACTTTTTTTCTGCTCAATTGCATGAGCCTTACTCTCGTTACAATAATAATGTCACATTTTTTTTCATCAATTATGAATATAAAATGCACATTTTATTTTATAAACAAATATTGTTGAAATAAATTTTCATACATCAAGACTGAATTAATCTTTATTAGATTTTGAATACAAAAATTTTCTTACACCACTTGCCACTTGAGTCAAAATCAAAGATGATGCATTCATAGTATTTGTCTTGCAAAATGGGGCATTGGTCATTTTTCCAAAAAAAAAAAAAAAAAAATCAAATCAAATAATTAAATGCTTGGAAGAATAGGAAAATTTTTTTTAAAAAAAAATGAATTTCGTCTTAATAGTTATCACAATTCCAAGTAAGAGGATATCTACACCCATCATGTCAGCAGCAGCAACAACAACAACATAAGCAAAGACAAGTCAAAACACCAAAAAGAATATTTAACCGAACGGAAGAGACTTCTTGATCTTTTTGTTCTCTCCTTCTCTTACCTCAAAAAGACCCCAAAGAGGAGAAACACACGCAAAAAAAATGGCATCCTCTTCTTCTCTAATGACAAATCCATTGACTTCACTATTCTGCAAATCCTCAAAACCAGAGTCTCTTCTCTTGGTGGGCCCTACAACGTCAACAACTCAACTGAGGTTGCTGACACAAAACAAGAATCTCAAGCAGAAGCCAAAGTCAGTGTCTTCCTCTGGTTTTTCTTCTTCTTCTTCTTCTTCTTCTCCTGTGGTGTGCAAGGCAGTGTCTATCAAGCAACCAGAGACTGAGATTGAAGGCCTCAACATTGCCGATAATGTTACTCAGGTAAGGTTTGGTGGATTCTATTATGTGATCTCTGAAGTGGGTTTTCTTTGAAGTTTTCAACTTTTATTTTGGAGTTTATTAGAATGGGTTTTGGTTTGATTTATGTTAGAGGTGATTGAAAGTGGTTTTAGAGTAATTTAAAGGATTTCTGATCTGTTTAAAGTTTTTAAGTTTATTAAAATTAGTGTTGATTTTATTGACGGAAGTGATTATAGAAAGCGCTCTTGGAGTAGATTTAAGAGAATTGTGAAGTGGGTTTGTGCTGTTTCTTGAGAATTTGAACTTAATGAAGAAAAAAGATGTTATTTTAAGAGGCATAATTTAAGTCTGTTTTGCTGTGGTGTATTTATTTGGAAATTGAGGTTGAATTTGGTTAATTGTAGAAATTTTGCTGCATGAAAATGCTGTTAATCTATGGCCTGTGGAATTACAATAGGTAATAATTTCAGTTTGAATTGGAGAACATTTTTTTCATCTCTACATTTCAGTTCGATGGGTTAGTCAATGTAATTTTCTCATGTTGTTTTGTGCTTCACATGTATTGTCAGTTAGAGGTGACCTCTTTACTGTGTTTTATGCTCTACTGATTAAAGAAGAACTCCAGTTGTTATTTATAATAACTTTTTTATTTTAGCTAGCTGTATCTATCTTGTATTCTTTGACTACTGTGCATCTACTAGTTTTCGGTTTTTTTTTTTTTTTTTTAACTAACTTATCATTTGGCTTGCATTTTCGAACAAATTAAGAGTACTTAGTTTACTTGTTTATGTCAATTGCTTTATGATGCAGCTTATTGGGAAAACACCTATGGTTTACCTAAACAATATTGTAAAGGGGTCTGTTGCGAACATCGCTGCCAAGCTTGAGATCATGGAACCATGCTGCAGTGTCAAAGACAGGTGAGGATGGTGAAATGCTAATCTATGAACTTAAAGAGTGCAAAATCTTGTTTCTTGCATATGTATAATTAGCAAGTGTAATAATTGGACTAAAAAGGTAGAAGCCCCACAGTAAAATGTCAAGCATAATCAGGTGAAATGTTCCTGAAATCTGTTTAAACATCTGCAGTTCATAGTCAATTACCAATTGATTCTATTGGTGTAATTCTGAATTTTGCACAGTTCATGCTGCTATTTTGGCATCTATCCCAAATTCTCTCGTGATAGGACTGCAGTTACGTATGTATTCTTATTAGTGTTTCTCATATTTGGTCATTGTTTCTTATATTGGGGTTTCAGGATAGGTCATAGTATGATAGCTGATGCTGAGCAAAAGGGACTTATAACACCTGGAAAGGTAATAAACTCATGCATGTTTCTGGAAATTGCAATTCGTTGTGGATTTCTCAGCATTGATATTCCATTTTTCATGCGTAGCTCAGATTTGGTACATCTTGCCAAAGATTGAGTGAAAGGTGCATCCAAGCTATTGGTTATATACAAATTTAATATGCATGAATGCTATGTTGTAAAGTTTGACCAGAAAGAACAATGGTTAGACCTGTATTTAATTTCATGTACTCTCTGCTGTGGGATCATTCAAGGATTGGGTTATCCTATTTCTGTAGGGTGGGCCTTGATTGATACTATTTCTCAAAGGGGATGCTTCCCATGCATAGACTTAAATTTACACCAAAGGGGATGCTTCCCATGCATAGACTTAAATTTACACCAAAGAGGATGCTTCCCATGCATAGACTTAAATTTACACCAGCGGGTGGGCATCTTTTTAATACAGGCGCCTGTATCAATTGCTGATCAGGCACTCCATCTAGCCAAGTGTGCATTTCAAATTGTGGTAATTTTTTCAGAGCTTCTATGCTGAATTGATGTACTGAACCATCTAGTTGCTGATTTGATGCTTTTGAATCATAATAATTATTTGTTCATATGTTAAAAATTGGGATCACTTGCATGAGCTCAAGTCACGTTTACATTATTTCCTTGCATCATTATTGCAGAGCAGGGATTGGCAAATTGGTAACTCTATTAAATATTATTGCTCTTGTATAGCTCTTTTATCATTCTGATGGAATTATTCTCTACTTTCAGAGTGTACTTGTGGAACCAACAAGTGGAAACACAGGCATTGGCCTTGCATTTATAGCTGCTTCAAAAGGATATAAACTCATCTTGACAATGCCAGCATCAATGAGTTTAGAAAGAAGAGTTCTTTTAAAAGCATTTGGTGCTGAGCTTGTTTTAACTGATGCAGCAAAGGGCATGAAGGGTGCAGTTCAGAAAGCTGAAGAAATTTTGAAAAGCACACCCAACTCTTACATGCTTCAACAATTTGATAATCCTGCAAATCCTAAGGTTACTGCTCAATTTTGTCTACTAATAATTTGTCTTCCTGGGGTCTTCCTTAAAATTCAGTGATTTATTCCTATTGAGACAATTTCTATTTTCTGCTGTTACCTGGTCATGGTTCCATTTGGTCTGATCTAACCCAAGGAGAGGGGAAGATCCCTGGTCATGAAAGAAGGTTGTCTTGGTGGAACATCTTTCACATTAGTCTTCTTCTTAGATCCTCAGATTTATGCAATTCATGCCTAAACCTTATCACTAAATTTTCCAGTTATTGGAATTTTTTTTTTTTTTTTTTGGCCGTGGACTTGATTCTGTGGGCTCTCTCCTCGAGAACTTAAGGAATAAGAATGGGGAAGCTCATAGATCTAGAAACCAAAATTTGGATTTAAACGAATGTTCTATTGCAGATACACTATGAAACAACTGGACCAGAAATTTGGGATGATACAAGAGGCAAGGTGGATATTTTTGTTGCTGGAATTGGAACTGGTGGTACCATTACTGGAGTTGGTCGGTTCCTCAAGGAGAAGAATCCCAAAATTAAGGTACTTGTATACAAATCATGCATAAACACCTTCCTCTTTTTGATACCCTTTCAGCTAGTTGACCAACAAATTTTAAACTTTCCTAAAGCAAGTAAGATGGAGGGAATTCCAAGTGTATGTGCTGTAATTTTGTTGTCCTGTTGGCAGCAAAATGTGCTCAAGAAAGATTTTTTTTTTTTTTTTGTTGCATTTTCACCTATTGTTTCCCATTTAACATTTGCATAATTTAGGTTATTGGTGTGGAACCTTCAGAAAGCAACATTCTCTCAGGTGGAAAGCCTGGTAAGTATAGCATGTCTACTCACTTCCAATTTATCGTGTTTAAGTTCTTCTACTGTTTCGAAGACTTAAGTACTTATATTTATTAATTGAACATGTAGGTCCTCACAAGATTCAAGGGATTGGAGCTGGTTTTGTACCCAGGAATTTGGATCAAGATGTGGTTGATGAAGTTATTGAGGTTGATGTCTTATCAATCTTCTGTTTCGTGGTTTACTTAGCTTCTACATAAATCCGAATCTCTTTATATATAATTAATTGATTGCCCAAGTAATTTGGACATGATTAACTGAACTTTGATAAATTACCTGTATCATTATGAAATGTGACGTAATAATGTTGGTAGGCATATAAAATGTTAAATTCAGATTTTGATACATGCATGTGTGTAAGAACCACTCAACCCAAACGCTTAAGCTACTTGGCAAGGCCCCAAAAATCATTTTATTTTATGCTTAACATATGTGATATATTGATGGTGCTTGTACGATAAACTGCCTTATCTTTTGAATTTTGATAGTTTCTAACTTGATTCATTAGACATTTATTACTGCTGCAAAATCCTAGTTTCCCCATCATACAAAATCATTTATTATTTTTTTATTCATGAATAACCATGGCCATGTGTTTTATTAATTGAATAAGATTGTTTTCTTCAATCTGGCAGCATAACGATAGAGATGTGACCTATTTATGAACTTAGATTACGCTTGATTTAGAGCAGAGAGCATAAGCCTTATTTCCTCAGTAGTTCCTGCAGAGCTCAATATATCTATTAAGCCAACATTTTGATAGCACTTTGTTGTATTTGGTTGTAAGACACTAAGTGCTTGCATTTATATTTAGTGTGACCAAATCCATGCCCACCATGCCTAGGCAGCAGGCACTGCTCTTTTTTTTCCCCCTCTGCAGGCATCAGCATGTGTTTTTTAAATGCTGTTTAAATCTCTTGGCGCACTTGTAGTTGGTTAACACACCAACAAAGTTCTCACAGTTACTTATTTGGCAGATATCGAGTGACGAAGCTGTTGAAACTGCAAAGCAATTGGCTCTCCAGGAAGGCTTATTGGTTAGTCCTTTCAATCTAACTTTCAGTGTTTTGAAACAAAAGTAGAATACAAGTTCCTGAGAGCCACAATTACACTGCATGTATCCACCCACATGCTGGCCTAAATATAAGTTCAAAGCCAATATATGAGGCAAAAGAAAAACAGAATGGACTACTACATCATCTTTCACCTTTGGTTTTATGAAATGATTAAGTACATTGCTTTCTTTGCAATCACATATACTTAGCCATTAATTATGCTTGCTTATGAATTTGCTGCTAGCCACATGCTGCTCCTTCTCTGTATTTTTTTTCCCTGAATTATGAACCATATATGTGTTGCTTCTATATTAGCCCAATCCAAGATTTACTCTGGTTACCAAATATGGGATGATATCATGTGCCCACTTTTGTGATGATATCATGGGGCTTCTGCAGCATTTTTTTCTTCAGTCTACTAGTGAAGATATACCATTACTTTGTTCTAGTTTGAGCTCTCCTTTTCCTTGTGACCTCTGTCCTCCTTTTTTCTCTCTCAAATTTATTGCTTGATTTTCTTTTCTTATACAATTTCATGAATGCTTTAATATCAGGTTGGCATATCTTCCGGAGCAGCAGCTGCTGCTGCAATGAAGGTCGGACAGAGGCCAGAGAATGCAGGGAAGCTGATTGCAGTAAGTCCTTTCACTTAGATTGAAATGGATGTGGAGTTTTAATTAGTCTGATTTTTCCTGTACCTTTGAACAATAACTAACTGCTTAAAAGTAGCATACCTTAAAAATTGGCTGAAATATTTAGATAAGATAAAGCTTTACATGCCATATCTCTTTCCGAAATGGGTTATTGCATATGGAGCAAAATCTATGAAAACAAATGAAGAAAACAAGAAGGCATCCTAAGTAACTTGAGGGAACCTGTTGTTGCATATTCAGTGTCGTCCATCTACACTTACAAAGGAACCAAAGAAGGTACTCCAGGGAAGCTTTGGAGACTGGAACATTCTTAAAAGAGTGATACACGCTATAATTACAGTACATGTCAATTGTAGTGTCCATCTGGATTCAGGCATGAAAATAATCAGTTCTAGATAAATGAAGACCAAAATTAATGGCTGTTGTAAAGTGATTTATTAGGGGATTAATAAAGAAACATGCATATAGATTTCAGAGGCACTTTAGACCTAGAGTTTAGAGGTAGGGACAGCATTTATTGGTGTGATTCTAGCAACTGTTTTGGTCATATATGATCACTAGTGCTAAATGGACCTCCTCTGTTTTGGGTGTATGAAATGTAAGCTACAGGGTCCTACATTTTTCTGTGCTGTAAGACGAATTCCCTTTTCTTATACTTTGGCACCTCGGACGCATGAGTTTATCAATTGGAATGATCTTCCGTTATGCTTTGTTTAATGTTGGTATTTGCTGAATGAATTCGTTCAGTCTACTAGTTTGATCATGTTTAAAAGATGTTAATCCAAATAGAACTTGTGGCTAACAGCTTTGGCTATCAACTTGTAGTAGGTTTCATAAAGGTTTGCCTTTCAATTGGAAAGAAAGAATTGATCCTGGACCAGTTCATCAAAACATACTAGTTTGTTATACATTAGCAATTGGTTTCCACTATCTCTAACTTTTTGACATCAACAACTAGAAAAGCTAGCTTGCTTAGATCAGTCTCAACAAATTATAAAATGAGAGCCTGTAGTCAACCCCTTGTGGACATATAATTCCCGTTTGCCGATAGCATGTAAAAGTAGCATGAATCATAGAATGTGTTTTTCTATGTTTTTGTTGTTTTTCTTTTCTAGAATTTCATACGTGTGAAAACTGATGATAATTGCGATGTTCTCAGGTTGTGTTTCCAAGCTTCGGAGAGCGGTATATCTCCACTGTTCTTTTCCAGTCAATTCGAGAAGAATGTGCGAAAATGCAACCTGAGCCGTGATAGTCTCTAACTTTGAGTTTCTTTTATTCCTTTTTTCTTTCCACACGTCATTAAAAAAAAAAAAAGAATAAAAAAAACTTTTCTTTTCCATCTCTCATGTGTGTATAATTGTCTGGATCTTAGCTTAACAATCTTGTATCATAACTGGTCTTGGTTTAATAATCTCCACAAATGATTGGTTCATACACGTTTGTGTTAAGCTTTTGAAAGGTGCAAATGTATTGATATTGCAATTTTTAGATGTGCTTGTGGGACTCGAGGCTAAGTTGATTGGCATTATTGGAGAAAGCAGATCTGTCTTGGACTTTCTGGTTGTCAATCCACTCAAAAGTTGAGATATAATACAGTTTTTAACCATATAAATTCTTCTTGCTCCTTAAAGCAATTACAACCTATGGTTAGTGCCTTGGAAAAAATCTATTTAAGGTTGAAATGGTGGTGTTCAAGACAGCTTTTACATCTTTAAAAAAGAATGTGATATGTTTTTTCATAATTATTTATGTTGCTTCAATCTTTTTTCACAGGTTCAATTTGAAAAAAAAAAAAAAAAAGTATCTTTATATCCTTGTATGGTATACACCCTTAGATTAATTGACTATTAGTATTCTTATATAAAAATAATAAATTAATCTAACTTTAAAGTTTATTGTATCCATTTGTCAATTTTTTTTGTCAAAATTAACAGTGATGTATATATATATATCAGGAGAACAAACAGATGCTGTAAATGAGAAAATGAAATTGATTGATTTTTTTCCATAGAAAATTACTATTGAAAAAAATATGTATAATTTATAAAAGCATATTGATAAGAATCAATGAGCAAATCATCTTCTGGCTAGGATGCTTTATTCAATAAACTGTACAACCATGATTATTGGTGGTGCTACTGTCAAAGAATCATTATGTTTTGAAAAGTATGGTTTCTTGGTTTCAAACAAACAAGAAGGTGTTTTGCCCTACTCACTGGTGCAAAACTTCTATGTCAATCAAACAAAACACCGTCTGTACAAGACAAGGATGGATGTTAGGTAAAGTGCCAACATCAATATTCCAAAAATTCTAATCTCATGTTACAGACTTAGATGCATGATAGTCATAAATTAATCATTTGTTTTCATTAGATGGCAGCGTTAACACTGCTCATCCTTAACCCTAGGGTAAAACTTTCATACATTTAATTCACATGAACACTTATAGTTGTAATTTTATATTTATGGGTCTTTTTTAAACAAAAAATGACGTCCCTCGTATGCAGAGTAAATTATAAATTAATCTATCTTGTTTCGAAAAATGAGTTAATTAGTCTTTTTTTTGTTTGTTTAAAAAACTAATCATTTAATTTTTTATATCTTAATTTCGTTAATAACTTATTCATTTCATCAGTTTTTCGTTAGATTAATAATTTTTATTTTTAAATTGTTCTTCCATTGCTGCTTTAGTTTTTTTCCTTCATCCACTCTTTTTCTCTCTCTTCAACAATAAATTGATTAAAGAAACTAAGAGAGATAAGTCGCTAATTTAAGAGAAAAAGAAAAAGAGAAAAATAAAACATGAAAAGAATGATAATTTGAAAATAAAAATCACTAATCTATTAAAAAAAAAATTGATAAAAGGACTAAATTATTGATGGAGTTAAAATGGGAAGAGCTAAATAATTATTTTAAAAAAAATTAATTAATTCATTTCTACAGACAAGAGGGATTAATTTATAATTTACTTGTCATATATGTTGACTGTAATCAGAGTCTCAAATCACATGTCTAGTTACAGGTAGCTTTTTCATTATTATTATTATTATTATTATTATGTTTAGTTAATAGTAGCTTTTTGAACATAGAAACTAAATAGAAAAACAAAAGTAACGAATAAGTGGGTTAGAGGTCCCCCTATCCTACCAACTTTGCAGTCAAGACAGCCTAAAAAGAGTGGTCAGGAACAAGGATTAGAAAGTGTTTAGATTCATATACAAGTGGTTAAAAACTGATTAATTAATTTAATTAATCACTTGATGTTAAAGCTTCTGTCCGTTTTTCCATGTCTGCTGTCTACCTCTTCTTTTTAAGCATGACAAACCCACTTTGGTCCTGTTGTGGATTCCAAGCATGCAAAGCATAAACAGTACTGATTATAGTACGTGAATAGCACCTGCAATATTCTCTAGGGTTTTGCTTAAAGAAAGGGAATCAAAAGGGCTACATAATAATTAATTAATATTGGCTTTTGTCTCTTTCCCCTAA